TACGTATTTCTATAGCTATACTAATGTAGTTTAAGAAAAAATTTTTTATTTTGTTCCAGATTAATTTTTGCTGCACTTCTACTGCGTGCCGCGGAGCCTCTCCAAAAAAAACCGTTCCGCAGAAACGGCTGTTGGGCAGCCATTTTGTAATATTTTTTAATAAACAAAATTTTTTTTAAAACTTCAAAACATGCTTAACAACATCCTTAAAAAGAATTACCCTTTTACTTTTCCTTCCACTTAAAAAAAAATCGCAAAAAAACGTTAAATTTTCGCTCTCTACTGTGGTGTAACCCCTTAATATCAAACATTTATTCCTAATACATTTCCACGGTGCGCAAGGCCCTGTGTGTCGTCCGCCTAGACCCAACCTAATCCAACTCTAACCTCTATTCCAACCTAACCGAACCTAACTAAACCGACGGGATCGAACATGGCGTCATTTGCAGTAGCTGTTGTGTCGAAGAAGCACAATACTCAGTGAGAGTAGCGATATTCTAGTGGTAGTATAGGATACCTGCCGTTTTCGGCCAAATCGCTGCCATTAACCAAGTCACCGGAGGAGAAGCGCAGACGATGGCGGACGCAACGGACGCACCTGTTATTTCTACGAATCAAAGGGCGGTATCGAGGCTGCTGCGACAGCGGGCTCAAGAATTCCTCGCCTCGAGGAAGCACGCGAACAACTTGGTGGATATAATCGGCCAGTGGGACGTAAGTCGGCTAACCTCGACGCGCCGGTTCGCTCGTTCGCCGTCGTCGAGAGACCGCGAAATGACCGCTTTCCTCCTGTTGCAGGAATTCATCTTCCCGTGCCTGCTCACGATAGAGACGATATTCACGGAAGTGTTGAGGCGCGGTGACATGTATCAAGAATCCACGATAGCTCTCGCCATCTCGGGTGAGTCCAAAACCGGTTATCATCGGTGACTTGATAATATTTGTCAATTTGGGCCCCCGAGTATTCGGATATCAGACATCGATTCCGATACGATTACTTAAATTTGCACTATTTAGATAATCCGTTACAAGTTTAGATCAGAACTGAAATCCAGATCCGAAGCGAAATTACTGGCTTTCTACAAACTGTAACTTGGCTGGCAGATACTTTCGCTTACCAGCGGTTAATTAGGCTCCTGCAATTAACTGGGCTCAGTCGCTACATAGACTAATATGTTTTGTTGTACAAAATACAATTTCAGTTGAAGAATACAAATTGAAGAATAAATATTGAATTATATCATGAACAGACCACATGTCTAAATAATATTTTCTTCGTTCCTTTGTTCACTGTCCGAATCTGGTATCCGGATAGTGTCACATCCAAGGAAATATCGGAGCTCTAACTTTTGCATAACATAGTCTACAATGGACAGTAAGAGTATGTTTACAAGAAGTAAGAATAAAAAATGAACCAATTATAGTCGACTATTCTCTTTACACTCAAATATGGTTGGTCAATTTCTTATACTTCTTACAAATATATTGCTCATTGTAGACTATCCTTGTGAGTTTCACAACTGATAGTTTCCACTAACATGGCACCTGTAAAATAGAACCCAGTCCCGAGTCGCGCTACACCAGCTGGTTGAGAAGTTGCTACGACGAGGTGTGGAAGAAGATACTCATGTCCATAGAGAACTATCGGCCGGCCACGCAACAGCAAGCTCTCACTACGGCGATAAAGCTGATGGCGGAGGAGGGCAAAGCCCCATTGGAGCCGCGCGACAATCTGGGTTATCACTTTCCCCTGCATCGTCTGAAACCCATCCTCATGACGCTGCTCTCACCTGAGAAGGACAATACTAACTTAATATCGAGATTCCAAGAGATCACCGGCTATCCTGACGCTTTGTACTACACATGGAAGTGTCTTCCCTCTCTCACTCCGAAGAGGCAACCACAGGCGACTTATATTAAAAATCTTTTGGAGCTTATACATAAAATACCACTGCCAAAGGAGGGTGAAGGTACAGTGTTTGTTTGAGGTTGACAATTACCAAGCGTTAGCTCTCATCCACTTGTGCCGTCTGTTCTTTTTAACTGAACTAGCTCGCACTTTCTCCGTTCAGAATGAAATGAATAATACAATCAAGCACTGAAGGGAAAAGTATACGTGGTTTTGCACAATTAACACTCTATTAACTTGAATAAAGTTAATTTAAATTTAACTTTTAATTAGTTTGTGTTTGACGTAACTTTTCAACTTAACTGAGTTAATTTTTTAAGCCGTTAACTTTTGATTTAACCAAGTTGAAGGTCAAAATTAACTTACCCACAACCCTGACATTCGATTAGCATGCGTACTTTTTTCGTACATAATATTTATATTTCCTTGGTGGTGCAAGTAATCGATTGATATTTCAGAGTGCAAGATGTCAGACAATAAAGAACTCCTGTGCGGACCGCAAGGTACGTTTCTGCGTGCTTGAATTCTCAACGTAATTAATCTTCGCTTCATAACGCTGCCACGAATCTTTCCAATCAGGCGCCGCGTTTACGTGGGATCAGTCGGCGGTCAGGCGCGCGCTCAACAAAGTCTGGGCCTGCGTCATGCACTGGGAACTGACGTCGCAGCTGCACAAGCAACTGCTGGTGGTCCTGCTGGACCGGATCATGCCGTATTTAGAGAAGCCCGTGCTGCTAACCGACTTCCTGATGGACTCCTTGGACATGGACGGTCCTATCGGTTTGCTCGCGCTGCACGGTGTGTTCGTACTGGTCACCAAGCACAATTTGCAGTACCCGAATATCTTCACCAAGCTGTACTCGATGTTCGAGCCCGAGATCTTCCACACGAAGTACAAGGCCCGGCTCTTCTACCTGGCGGACCTGTTTCTCAGCTCTACGTAAGTACTCCCCAACGGAAGAGTGCTACTGAGAGATTGCGTGGAAAACCAAAACAAAAAAAATGACCATGAAAATCGACGTTACGCAACGGATCGGTAGAAATGAACTGCAATTTCGCGATTTCTTCCTTCGCAGGCACTTGCCGGAGACCTTGGTGGCGGCGTTCGTGAAGCGACTCGCGCGCTTAACGCTGGTCACGCCACCGGAGGATATCCTGGTAATCCTGAAGCTCGTGGCGAACCTGCTGAAGCGGCATCCGGGGCTCAAACGACTGATCGACCACCCGCATGGCGAAGGTGAGATCGTCGGCTCGGACGCTTGCACCGGCGCCGGTGACCCCTTCCTCATGGAGGAGCGCGACCCGTTGCTCAGCAACGCGATGCTCAGCAGCCTCTGGGAGATCCGGGCGTTGCAGTGGCACATCCTGCCGAGCATCGCGAACGCGGCGCGCTTCATTCACGAGCCGTTCCCCTCCGTCGAGTACGACATTGCGTCGGCGTTGGAGCGCACGAGCGGCCACCTGTTCGACCGCGAGCTCAGGAGCAAGGTCAAGGACATCATGCTGACGTTCGAGAGGCCGAACTGCATGGCGCTGCCGAAGGGCGAGAAGCTCTTGCAATATTGGCAGCTCACGCATTGATCCGGATCGCCGGGAGTGCAATAGGACGTCGGACTGCGGGAGCCGCGCTCGTCAAGGAGAAGCTGGGTACGACGTCCGTGACGACGAACGAAGATGCGAAGAGGGGACTCTCTTGAGTTTTTATACGATGGCATATCTACGACGGGGAAAGGTGGCGATACGCGCGTCCGCGTCAGCGTGCGCTCGGCGTTGAGCATTTACGCTTTCTGTCTCTCTCTCTCTCTCTCTCTCGCGGGTATGCGCGTTTCGGCGAGTCTCTCGCGCGCGCACTACTTCGACACGGTCTCGATTCGTGCAACGGAAAGCACCGAGAGTGACTTTCGCGAAGCTCCTCGATCGATCGGTCAATCCCATGTGTGGAGAGTTGATCGTCGCACTACATTAGTCCCGGTCTGCAATAAGTTTTAAGCCTTGAGAAACTGACCGATCACAGTTAATTATCCTCCTCACATTCGACTGTGATTGGTCAATTTCTCAAGGCTTAGAGCTTAAAGTATCTATTGTAGACCAGGACTCAGGGAGTAAAAAAGTTCGAGCGTGAAAAGTCGATGAAGTTTAACTTATTAGTATGTAGGTATAGAAATTGAATACGAAATCCTTTTGTAGGCTATTTACTGTGTGTATATTAACGATAGAAATTGTTTAAGAAATTAAAAGAATACATAGTAGCACACAGTATGGAGTGCTGCGACCCGATTTATCCTTTGGTGTACATTATGGTTTTTCAGGCCTAATCTAATATAAAGATACCGAGATACTTTTGTTTTTAATTAGAGCATCAAGTTTTCCACAGGTCCAACTGAGAACTCCGTTCAAGAAATATTATTTATTCAAATTCTATCGCAATAAAAAGCACTTTATTTCTATTTCTGTTTCTGCATCGTTTTTGTTTCCTTTTTACCACCATGTTTTATCGAATATTTTTTCCTCCGGTTTAATCTATATGGGAGAGCTTTCGAGACTTAGCGCCGTTTGTTTCTATTAAAAATGTCAACTGGATCTCTCGCAATCCCCGAGAAACCACGATATAACACATCGTGGGACGGATCAGGCTGCGACAGCTTCGCATATGTTGATACTTTTTAATCTTTTAAATTTACTTTTACATATTAATACATGATACAAATAGCCTAGAAAGAATTTCACATTCAATTCATTCCTACCCTTCTGATAACGAGTTATATTTTATCGGCTTTTTGCAAGATCAATCTTTCTATCCCGCTTGGTCGGAGTTTGGCGAAAATCGCCCTGAAAACGATGAGAAGCAGAATCCGCTCTTGTTCTTTTCTTTTTATTGATTTTTTTTTTATCTAAGTTACACGCGTAAAGCGACGGTTTGCATACGCCGCAGCACGAATACGCGTAAGTGCGCAACGCCGACATCTTCGAGACATCTCGAACTCTTTCGCTGCAAGTGAAGCTCGGTCGGGAAACTTCGTCGCCGCATCGAATTTACGTAGATGAGATAAAAATATCAGCGGGATCTTTTTTCCCTTCTTCCTTCTTGTTTCTTTCGGACATAACGCACACTTTTGTTCAGTTTACGTTTACATGAGACGCAAGAGGGAAGTGTCGGGAGAAGCAAATGCATCTTCGGGGCTCAGTCATCGATTGCGCAAACGTCGGTCAATCGGTCGGTCGCGATCAACCGGACGACCCTCTCGATGCGAGAGGTGTACACAGATATTTATTTCCCCACGTGTATCGGTGTCTATTTTTACATATTGGTGTGGACAATTAGTAAACAAAGGTAGACAACATCATTGTTATTCATTCTTACGTTTTTTTCTCCCCCACATTCGCATTCTTTTGTAATTTAGGGTATAAACATTTGAAAATGTAACCGTATACATATATATAATCAAATATGTACATATAAATACAAACTAAGAATATTACACTAAACTGTAGTCTCCATCGTGTGTGAATGTTAAGATCGCTCAATCATTTTCTGATCGCAATCATTAATACTTTTGCCATCGTTATTTTTTTTTTTCATTCGACGGCTGCATTTAGGAATGACGATGAGGAAAAACATGCATATGTTCGTTAGCGCTAGTACTTTTTTTTTCTTTCATCAAACTTTACGAAGTTTGAAAATAAGCTGATTGCGTGTGTTATCTGCCCCTACGTGCGTGAGGAAAATTTATTCGTTCGTCAACCTAAAAAAAAAATTTTCGGGCAGATCAGTTGAAGGTTCCGTTCAGTGCGTATTACGCAGCGAAAGAGTCGAGGTCCATCGACTCTTCCACGCGACGAGGCAACATCGATTACGATCGATAGCTCCGAGACGAAAAAATTTAGTCCGAATTACAGAATACGAAATTTGCGGAATATCGTTGAACGATGCAAAACTCTGCCGGTTATATCGTTGCAGCGTTAGTCGTAACGCAAAAAATGTAGCGGTGGATCGTTTGTACGCGCGAATATATGTGAGATAATAAAGCTGAAAAAAAGTTTATTTTAATTTAATAGATAGTCTTGTAAAAATTTTACTTTCTTGATACAATTGTTGTTGAAATACGCACGAACAAACTTTCCGTGTTCGCGACATAGGTAAGCATAACTCACTCACTCATTCTCTCTCTGTTACAATTTTATTTATAAACATTATTCCGATCTTACATTTCTTTACTATTTATCTCTCTTGCTTCCCTTCTCTTTCCACGCGTATCCATATATACACACACATATACATATATTACTTTCATCATCAGCCTCTTTGACACATGTCGTCAAGCGTTTTGTATACTTGCGCCTCGCTGCAAATTATCTCTTGTATGTTGTGAAAAGAATTTAAACTTTTCGATATCGAGTGATTTCGATCACTCGTCGGTGACATCAAGATTGTTCGCGAAAATAAAGAGACGTTCTGACGTGAGTATAACAGCTTTTAATTTAATTTGAAGCACACCAACTGATTCGACGAGCCGTTCAACAGATCGGATTATAAACCCTTTCCAGTGTTGACATGATCAGCTGTTCGGTCGACAGAAAAAACAGGAGCGAACAGAAAGCCTGTTGGAAGTCATTGTGTTGACATCGATCTTATCAGTTTGAGCCACATTGGATGCGAACGGAAAACAATGGCAGATTTTGAATAATTATTTAGAAATGATCATGATCAAAAATATACTAATTATAATTGGCAGAAGCATATATTTAAACGCAATTCTGGCCGAACATATGTGTATATACAAATACTTTTATGTACACCGATAAACGTATAAGTTATTATTTCCATAATATCATGTATGATGCCGCTTTGTGTCCAATACCTGAAAAGAAAAATACAATAAAACGGGTTATTTTCGTTCAATTATGGATCCACTCGGTCATTCAACTTTTGCGTGTGATTCTCGTGCAAGAAATCTCGAGAGTGAGAACCGAAAGCGAAACAAACAATCTCCGTGTTCAATCCTATACCCTGCCTAAGGGAACCACGACAAATCGTTTCGCGTACAAGTCCCTTAAATCCCGCAACATTTGACACGTTCCTCGGGGGGGATCGAAGACGAATCGACCTACCTGAATTAAGTGCCGCCACTCTTCCTCATTCAAAGCATGCCTTATCTTCATAAGGATGCTCGTCGGAACGTCGGTCACCGTCGTTGCGACATTTTGCTTGGCAGGCACGTATTGCACCCCTAATAATTGTGACACCGTGGGTCTCGCTTTCGGATCATGCTGAAGACACTTTCGCATCACGTCGATCAGGATGGGCGGCGCGCGCTCGCAATCCTGAGACTCGTCACCGCTCGAGAATCTCGCGGCCGGAAACAAGATGTTCGGCTTAGGATTGGTTATGGCGTTCACCTTCGCCCACTGGGAGCGTATGTGGTGGAAAGGCGTATGACCATATACTAGACTGTACAAAATGCATCCCAATGACCACACGTCCGATTTGAAGCTTATCTGAAGAAGAAGAAAATAAGAGACTCGTTACTTTTTTTCAGCACTAAATTTATAAATTCTCAATTCACTTTCCAATAATTAATCATTTTATTATCATTTTTAATTTAAATTTAAAAATTAATATGTGTATTATTTTAAATTTAATTAATTTCCTCGAATTTAGTCGCCTATTTTACAACTATCCCTTTGAGTAACGTGCACAGAAACGAAAGTATTTACTTATTAACCGAATAATGAACGTTATAATACGTCACGTCGTCTCACCTTGTATTTAACATTGTGAGTCGGCGAGTCCGCGTTCCCGCCGATGTCCATCAGGGCTTCCGGACTGATATAATTTAACGTTCCAATCGGATTATTCTTTAAGACGGACGTCATGTCTGAATTGATATTGGAAGCAATCCCGAAATCTATTAGTTTGAGTCTACCTCGCACCAATAAGAAATTCGCCGGTTTCAAGTCCGAATGTATGACTCCTATATAAAAGAGACAAAGAACATATATATATATATCTTATATATCTGTTGAAGAACAGTGCACGTTTGTCGAATATAAACAATAAAATATAAAATATATGAAATAAAGAAACATGTTATGCTCACCATTATCATGTATGTGTTTTACAGCGATGAGCATTTCGGTCCAGTAATATAGAATCATCATGAGAGTAATCTGCTTCTCCTGGGACATGGATTTCAAGAGACGACTGAGGTCGGTATCGCCCATCTCCATCACCACGTAAACCATGGATTCCTTGATGTGACTGAAGTAATGAAATTCAAGTCAACAAACCCGTCATAAGCGAGCAATTGACATGTTGATTGTCGCATCGATATTCGTTGATATCCGACTATATAAGAGCTCGAGACTTAAGGCGGTCTTAAATATAAGATTAAATCCAACTATGAACATCGGTCCTGGATGTTACATTACAACTCAATTTGCCGTAACTCGACATTATCGTGTACTCACTAGTCGAACATTCTGACGATGCAGGGTGCTTGTAACTTATGCAGCAAGGAGATCTCGTCCAAGCAGCCCTGAGCAGACTCCTTGTCCATCTTATTCAAGTCGACGCACTTGATAGCGCGCAACTCGCCGCAAGACAGATCCTGCACCCGCAACACCTCGCCGCTCATTCCCTGGCCCAGAGAACCCAGGATCAAGTACTCCTTGTCCTTCACGAATATTGTTTTACGCAGTCGTGACTGCGGGATGCTAGACGGCACGGAGAACTGCACGTTCCCTACCTCGCCCGTGTCGATGATCTGTCGCGGCTCCTCGCGTTGCCTCGGCCGATCCTGCGGGTCTTTGCACTTTGTGATCGGGACGACGTTGTCCTCCTTGATGTTGTCGCACCTTCGCGCAGGTTCCTGCGCCATCTTTAGGCCCATGCCGGAGCCGATGATCACCTGCTTGCTATTCTCTTGCGCGATTTTTCTGTTGCTCCCTAACAGAGCGTCCGGCAGATTCGGCTGTTTGTTCTCCTTCGTCTCCTCGACAAGGCTGATCGGCTTCAAACCTGGATCGCGATGACAATTCAGGTACACAATGACGGTTCAGCCGAATGCGATCGTATGTAATAATTTGCACTATCTGAAACATCGCTTACCTTTCTCGCGATTCGCTTCGGTTTGCATCAATTTCACTTCCGACAGTCCGATCGTCTTACGGCTTCTGTCATCTTGCTGCGGCTCGGATGGAACGCCCTTAGCCTCGGGGAGTTTTTGCAGTACGAGCGGCTTTGTTTCCAGAGGATACGCCGGAGGATCGCCGTGCGCCAATTTGGCGTCCGCCAAAGGTCGTCTCGAATTTTTCGCGTCCAGGCCGAAACACCTGTGACAAAATCAAATCATTCAGCTTCGATCGGATTACAAAATATAATTAGTTAACACGGCGATTGCCGGGCTGACTTTTATCCTTATTTAGCGTATAAATTTAATCTACAATTAAGAAGTTGATTATGCAGAAAAGTGTATATATACGTGTACATGGCTTTGCATGATTGATTTTTAAAAATTTAATAACTTAATATTAACTTTTCGTTAATTTTCGTCTAGGTAACTTACAACTTAGCTAAGTTAATTTTATTAAGAGCTATTAACCTTGAACTTGATTGAAAATAAAAATTAACTTACTCAATCCTGTTTATAAGTAACTCAATACGTTGTATAAGTTATATATTCAATGTGTTAAGCTTCCTGAATATATTATTTAGAAACGATGAAATATATAGTAACTGATAATCTCATCGAGATGCCGACGAATTTCGAAGGAAAAGCGACGAGAACTACTTTTATAAACACACCTGGACGGTTCTCCTCTCCCTATAACTGACGCGTAAACCGCGCTTCTAGAGGTTTGCACACGGTCCTTCGCAATATGGCTCTTCCCGTCGATAGGCGTTTGTCTCATGTTGTGACACCAGCTGGACATTATCGTCGATGGAGTCTGGAGGTGGCTCGGCGGATCGCTGGCCAATTTGTTCTGCGGTGTGCAAAACAGCTGCTTGTGCGACGTGCACGGATTCGGATGCACGGAGCTGACGTGCAAGTGCTTCATCGGGGTCTCCGCTACCGAGCGATTCACGGAGGTTTTGCTCATATCGCCCAACGACGGCGTGCTGAAGCCTTTGTTTTCCGCATATTTCTCGTTCCCTTCGTACTTCGCAACGTTGTTGTATTGCGAGCTGTACCTCGCGATGGGATGAATCGGATTCCCGGACGTTGCGCTCTGCGACGCATTAACGGGCTCCGGCTCGGCATTCGAGATCCTGCGATGATACTCCTCTTCACGATCTTTACTGGTTTGCTCGATGTTGGCCAAGCCTTGTGCACCTTTACGTCGCTTGTCTTCCTTGCTGAGGTTCAATAAGAAGCTGTCGTTGCCGGTCCCTAACAGTCTCTTGTTTTCCGCCAACACGTTGTACACATGATCCTCTTTCTTTCTGTTTAGGACATCCGGCATGTGAGAGTTTTCGTGATGCGACTGATGACTACTGCTTGTCGACAATAGACTTTTGTTCACGTTACACTTCGCGTTATATTCCCCTCTGTAGAGGGAAAACGTCGCAAGTGGCAAGGTCGTGGCTGTGCTTGTCGAACATTCGTGAACAGTATCAGCAGCTTGGTGGCTCCTTGGAAGCTCCTCACCGTCGTTACAATCTTGCGACTTCTCGTTCTTACATCTGTGAGCCTCCAACTTATTTACTTTTTCAACCGGCGGATAATTTTCGATATTCACATCGCTAATTTTGTTCTCTTCTTTGTCGCTCGTTGTACAGCTTGGTTTATTTAGAACGGAGGAATTATCAAATGTAACTTTGCTCCCTTCCAGTGATACATGCATGGAAAATTTGCTCTTGTCTTGTATATCAATTATGGAGGAGTTACCGTCTTCTTTAGATGGAGACAATTGTTGTGCGTCTTCGATGGTTTTATCTTGTAGCAAAAGCTGCGGCTCATCGTCTGACTCATCTTCAGACTCTTGAAGCTTCCTCTCACTTTCATCATCGTCGTCATCATCGCTCTCACAAAAATGCAGGAGTGCCTTGAGACGTATCGGCTGAAATTTCGGCCGCGTAACACTCTGCTGGCCAGAAATGGATTCGTTGATTATAGATCTCGCAGTAGTAGAATCCGACATTATGTCCTTCTGTTCAATATAAATTCGCAAGAATTAGCATAGTACTTCCCAATTGTCCATTTACTATTTAAAGAAATGATTGTGTCAAACAATTCACATATAAATGGAGCACATACAACACTCCAAATATTTAGATCAAAGTCTGAATTGAAATCTTATTCAGACAGACTTGTATACAAAGAATACATTAGAGTACATTGAAAAGTGGCATAGATATAAAACCTGATGTTCAACACGAGAATATCAACCAAGAAATTTGTGTTTATCATCCAAGAAACTTTGAGCACATAGAATATATGATTTTCCATACAGATCATTTGGTTATTAGCTGTCTCTCTTTCTCTCTACCTCACTCTTTCCGCACGAATTCTCGATCGATCGAGGATTTTCGAAGGTAAATATTCACCTGCAGAGGGGTTTTATCGCAATAGAAATCCATCGTTACGGGCTGCTTGAGTCCTGCCGTTTCTCGATCATACGATAAACCATGAAACGGCATTTAAGGATTTGCTTTTACCACCGGCAACACCAGGCAACGAAACATCCTTGATCGCATCTGTCAAACTAAGCGGTCAGCGTCAATCCTCGTGCCGTCCAAGGAATATCATTGAGCATTGTGCCGTGCACGTGTACCGCGAGCCCGTCCACGAATCGTGTAAATATATTCGTAATATATATATATTTGTTCCTTTATTTCTTTGTATTCTACGACACGCTCCGACACACATTCGATCATCGGCACTCTTTGTGTCTGCTTCCTGTGCCGTGTGCACTTTTTATCTCGAACTGCGCTCACGGGCCTACCGGTTTCTCGCGTCGCGTCATGTCGTTTGAATTCGTAAGCGCGTTGCTCATTGGTCGGAAATTGGGAACAGTTTGCCACAACTTGCCGCGGAGGTGCGTGCAGTAACAAAACAAATTTCTGCTGACATCGCAGCGGGATATTTAAATATAGAATTCTATCACGAAGAAAACAGATCGTATTTTTATGCGAATTTGAACGGTTCATATTTTCTCTTGAACAAGATTTGATGTTCCAACAATCGGTTAATTGTGTAAATTGTTGGCGTGATTGGAAACATATGTAAAGTTAAAAGATACATGACATCATCAAACATGTTTCGTCCGCAAAAGTATAAAAATATTTATACTTCAAGTATATATATATTCTCCGATATCAATAATCGACAATATCAGTGCGGGTAATATTAAACTTCATTGGCTCTATACATAGTGAGGTAATAACTATTATCATCTTGAATATTCTACTTTTTATCCTGATACTTTTTAGTCACAAGATATGAAATATAAAATATTCGCTTTTCAATAATATCACCTTAATACTTTTGTATATAATACGAGAGAAATCGGTTATTGATCTCTTTTTCTCATAGTTTCGAAGGTATTCAAGGTGATAATAGTCATCGCCTCATTCAATTTTTATCCCACAAAGAATTAATATACATAAAACAGACGCGCACATATAAACAGAGCAAGGAGTTATTAATTTATCAATTATTAAATGCATTTATTGAACTTATATATATATTCAAATATGTAAACTAATTAAATTATTAAATTACATATTTATATAAGTTCATCTTAAACAGGTTTCAGTTGTTGGTATTGAGAATGACGCACCTAGACGTACTAGGATGTAATATTTTTTCTTAATATCGATCCACCGATTTAGAGACACCAAATCTATTTGATCGGACAATTCGGTATCGCAGAAACGGCTGCATAGAGTGTACAAAGAAACGAGAAAATATTGTTAAAACCTTCGTTCCATTTGCAAGGGAACTGTACGCGAAATTTCCGTTACGTGATTCTCCAATACCACAGACCTTAAATATCTCGAAAACCACGGTAGAAACCAGGATTCTTCTCCTTCCTTTTTCTGTACCACTGGGAAATGTTCATTTCTGAAGTTACACCGTGTCCTTAAGATCAGATAGTTTTTCGTACAAGTAAATTACATACGCACTGTCTACAATTGTATATTAACAAATCGCTTCTGCCACAAGTCCACGCGCGCGAGAATTATTCGATGATTAAATTAAGTTACATTTCTTAACAGTTATTCACCTCTGTACATATCATTTCTCGTCTTCAGAAAAGAATCAGTGTGAAACTACCGGCGCTACTAGCTCCACGATTTGTCCACAATATTCACTTCTGCACATATAGGAACTACTTGGCAGCGATTAACGGTGACGCGAGCGACTCGTATAAAACAGCTGCGTGTCCTATTTATAATCGTCTTCTTTTCCTCACTTATAATCTAGCAATTATCCTAAGCGTGTTTTTTTCTCATATATCTTCCTTTCTCCTTTATTTCATGATGAATGAAGTGCGAAGTCTCGATACAAACATATTGGATCTCAAACGAGACAACAAAGATTCTTGCTGCAATTTGAATTAACGCGACAATGATTCGTTTCCTTTCCCTTTTCTCTCTATCTTTCTCTATCTTTTAATATTTCTTACGATTGGAAAGTTAGAAGTCGTAAATTCAAAACGGCAAGATCACGAACGAATGGAGAGAGAGAGAGAGAGAGAGAGAGCCATGATGACAGAATGGCGTATCCTTGCCACGCGAAAGTGCGTTAAAGGACGAGGAGCGAAAGAGCGAGAGCGAGCGAGCGAGCGAGCGAGAGAGAGAGAGAGAGAGAGAGAGAGAGAGAGAGAGAGAGAGAGAGAGAGAGAGAGACAAAGAGAGAAAGAGAGAGAGAGAAGGAGAGAAACAGAGATATAAAAAATAATATTTTATTTTTAGTCTTAAGGACGAAATTAGGAATTGTATCGTGAGTGAATAAAAGGAAGTATTCTAAGCTACGCCGAAGTGTCCTTAACGTTTCCCATTATTGTAGTTGAGAGCTCGTAAAGGTGCTTTGAATGTAGACGCAGACTGTTGCTGGATCTGATATGCTAGAGGGTGAATTTTAAAACCATATAATCTGAAAAGTAAAATTCGTCCTTTAATTTGATTTTCATAATTTATACATGCGCAAAAATAATTTAAAACATTCAAGTTTTATAGTTACGTTAGATATATCTTCGTGTCTTATATTCAAAACTAAACGCAGTCGTTTGACATATTTCCTGTGTTTATACTCTGATGGATCTTTCGTTAGATGAATAATTACTTAAAATTCAGTATTGTCCAATAGTGCATTGAGGTATTTAAATGCAGTGAATTGTGAATCACGAAACTTATTCACCTTTAATTCTAAGTAACTCCTATAATTCTCCAGAATCTCTCAACACAAGTCGTCAAGTAAAAGTACCGTGGAATTTAGCATCATTTTCCTGAACATTAAATTTTGTAATTTCTGCGTTTCATCCCCTATCGTCTTCTTATGGTTTTTTTATTTTGTTGTCTCTTACGTTCGAAAGATTGATGGATAACATTCAATACTCGCCTGGGTATAAATTGATTTTGCGCACGTTTCGGTCTGTACTCGGGATGAACCATGAACAACATGTGTGGAAATCCCGTCCCGAAGTATGCTCCGTCAGTATGATGATGTCTTGAGCTCTTCGGTGTATAAACATCCATGCATTTGGGACAGTAACTCTTGACCATCGCCTCACCAGGGACATCGCTAAGGCCCAGCGGTAACATCGGCTGGGACTCACAGTAGACACGCGGGCAATGGCCAAAATCACCCGCTTGATACTTCTCGATCATCTGAGCTATGCCACGATTGGTAAGTATGTAGCGCGCGTGAATAAGACCATACAGCATCTCCGCGGCTTGCTCAATCAAGTCAGACTGATTTGGGTTGTCATCCAAGTCATCATCTGACAAACAAGAGTGAAAAGTTAATTTAATTGGTCTCGCACATTAATACTTTGAACGATTTTGAAAGTAACGTTATTTAATGATAATTAACATTTTGTTGCGACTGGAAACTACTTACCTGGTTCAAGATCGAGGATCATATCTAATGCTTGACGATAATGTGGTACTTGCTCATTCAAGCCTGTTAGATTGAATTTGTCTTGAATATAGTCCTCATCCACCTGAATACACGACGGATCAAATAAATGAATCAATGAATCCATATTTATATATTCATAACAAAATTGTAAATATTCGTAAGATATGTAATGTAGACGTGTATAATTATTGTGATCACACATTGCAAGATAGGAATCAAGTTAAGAGTAATATAAAACTCTATAAATGATTATAATAAGAATCTCCACAGATTCCGATGATACTTATTCGACTTCCCTCACTGCATAAGAGATTTGTTAAATTAAGGATGCTTTTACTGGACTCTGGTTAACATAAACAATGATTAACTCGGCGGAATTAACTAATCGAATTGACCCAGCTAATTGGTCAATGTGATTGGCCAATTACATCGAGTTAATCGTTGGTTGCATTTCCCAGAAGCTGGTGAAAAAGACCCTAAGATTGGGTCAGTACCGCACAAAGAACAGCGAATGGTTGAAAGTGACGTTTCTCGAGGTTAGGAGACAACACGTATCCTTATCGAAATCCGAGGTGTGGCATCTATTCTAAACAATCGTTATCCCAGCGTCCCGATGCTGACGTGTTCGGCCGAGCGTTCGGATATATGCGGGTATACACGAGTGCTCGGGACCGCTAGTGACGACGCTGTTATACGCTGAACTCACTTCGCAAAAGAATTCGTTCCCCCGTAGACCGCAGAACCACGAGATCCAAGACACCTCCTCGGAGCTGCTCATCTTTCTGCGGCAGAAGAAACCACGAAGGGGATCCTGTTAGTACTGTGCCCACGGTAAGCGGCGCGGAGTCAAGTGTCGACGGGGGCGAGAGGGTAGAAATGCAACGCACCGTGGTGGGACTGTGCACACTCGAGTTCCTCGCGAGGAGCTTTCTCTCTCTCTCGCTCGTGTACAGGGAAACACAACACGTAACGCGGCGCACGAGGGAGACGCGCCGTCGAGCGCTTACACGGTCGAATGGAGCGAGCGAGCGGACGGACGAGCGGTGGTTGGTTAGTCGGAGCGGCGCGAATTCCAGAGCAAGAGCTGTGATCGCACGACGCGATGCACGAGGGAGGGCAGAGGAGAGGGGGAGGCGCGCGCGAGAAGGGGTAGGAGCAACGGTCGCCGGGAGGTGAGCGCGGGGATGTGCTCGGATGAAGCTCGTTTTACTAGGCAAGATGCCCGACAAGTTACGGCCCGTTCCGGCGCGTTCACACCTACGTTTCCGTGGTCATCGCTGCTTCGTCAGCTGTTTTGCGAGCACGACGTAAGGTCCGACGCGGCCAGGAAGCGCATCGCTCGTGCGAATTGCCGACGCGGGGCCCGGCGGCTCGATGAAAAACCCAAAAATAAACAGCACCTCGCGCGCGGCTTACCTTTTCGTGCTTTGATTAGCCACGCTTGCTGTAATCCTGCGGTCACAGAGGGCGTAGTGGAGGACCGCGGTTTGACTCATTACCAAGGAACGCCTGGTGCCAGCGAAAATTCAAACGAAATATGGCGGCGACGGTTGACCACGTCACCGGCAGAGTCCGTTGCTGTTGCCGCACGGCGGAAAGCTGCCTCGTGCGAAACTCGCGCGAGAAATGCGCCGGGATTCCTGTGACATTCGCTTGCGTGAGTGCCTTGTCTTTTCGCGTCTCCTTCTCTCTGTCTCTCTTCCTCTCTCTCCTGGTTCACCGATCACGGGTTCCTCTGGTCTCCCCGAAGGTCGGTCGTCGTTCGTCGAATTCACTCGGTTACGGCTTTTGGTTGTGTACACGCGGCTTCACCACGAGGTTACGATTCAGTGAACAGTCGAAAGTGACTATCTTCGCGCGCGCGCGATTTAAAGCGCAGGATTTCCGTTCTGCGATAGCACGGATATGCGTGTATGTGTGTATGTATATAGTCGTATACTCACGGAGAGTTTAAGCCAATTACGAGCGAGGAATAAGAAAATCGTCGCGTAATCAGATGTGCAATCGATCGTTTTTGTTCGTGCCTGTACTACGTACAGCCGTTGGTTTTGGGTCCGTTGTTCTCACCTGTGATCGTATCTCAAGACGTAATGAAAATTACGAAATCTGAGTATATTCATTAGGTGCGGATCGATGAAGTTATAAATATTCTAGTAGGTTCGCTCACTTTGGTGATTCTCACCGCATTTTGAGATAGACAGTCGAGGCCTCAGCTGGTCGATATATATTTAATTAACAATTAGCACGCGAATTAAGTAAGATTAGTTCTTCACAAGAAATGAATCGGGGAAAGTTTTCTCGTAAAGCATATATATATATATATATAAATAAATCTATCGCCTATTGAAGTTGTCCTTGAACCTTGAAAAAACGAGAAAAACTGACATCACATAATCGTGTTTTGTTATTAAACGCGAGAACGAAATGTAAAATGGTGATATAACGACGTGAAAATGTTATATGATTTCAATTCGATACATTTTAACAAGATTCGAATCCTATCTCGAGAACTAACGAATTGTAACTTTCACATTTGTGTGTACAATTGCGTTTATAGTTTATTTACGTCTTTGTTTGCAATCATAAAAATTACACTGAGCTGATAACACAGGAGTTAAATGTCCGAACATCCGTCTTTTTCAGGTCATTCAGTATCGCGATCAGTCTTGGCACGATTGATTTTCCCGCTTCTTCGACCGTCCAGATTTCAACAATCTCATATTACGTCGACAAAATCGTACAATTCCCAAGTCAATATCATTCAAGATAACAGCAGTTACGCAAGTCACAACTTCCACTTTAATTCATCCTAGGTTAAGTAATCTAACATATTGGCATGTATGTGACATCTATATATGCGTATGTGTGAATGAAAACTATGTACAAATGTACATATATTTCTTGAGTAATACAATTGTTAATATAATTATGAGCAGATAAACTAACACGTATGAAGTAAAAGGATTATTGAAGATTTTAAAAGAACGGTGGGTAAAAGAATATACCAGATATGTTCCTTTTAGCTGCACTTCCTGCACCTCCTATATCTTCGATTCTCTTTTTTTTTTATATTTATCCTACCGTCCTAATATATACTTATTTCCTTTTAGATGCGGCAAGAATAACTTAGTTGTAACTTAGTGTAGCTAAACAAACTGTTATTGAGTCGTGACAGAACTTATTATACAGAGGTGGGTGACTATATATTTAAGGCTGCCATGTTCTCGCCCCACCGCGTGTTACGACCGTGCATACAGTTGATAAGGAACGCGCGCTCGTTACAGTCGACAAGTAACGGTGTCACGTCATCACGATCGTCGCTTGCCCAGGACTTCTATCGTCGGCATCCATTGGCGGAATCACTTACAAAGACTCTCAGCGCATCGTTTGCGACAATGGCAAAAATAAAGGTGGGTTGTCTATTGAAAAGTGACATGTCATTCAAGGATCGATACGGTGTCACGGCGAAGTTAATTTTCACGTCTCTATCGACACGGGAGAGTGGACGCTTACGTATCGTAGAGATCACTTCCGTGTATCGTCGTAGCGTTAAAACCTGACCTCGATTTAAAAAAAAATTGCTTTTAATTGAAATTTTCATTAAATAGCACGTCACACGTTAGATAAACAATGATAGGGTTACATTGCAATGTTTCCAGCACGGAAAATCTATAAATATTTGTTTAATTCTTTCGAGTACAGAGAACATATATTTGTGCCATGAATATAGTTTTCAGATTTTTCACTTTCATGTTTATCGTTACAATTTGAATTGAAAGAAGCCTCATCTGGGAAGAATTAAATCTTGAACAGTAGAAGCCAGGTCCGAAAAAGTCCGGTAAAAATTGTCCTCCAAGATGCGAGAATTCTTTAATCGTTCTTATGGAACTCCCCCGCAGGTAGGACCAGTCGTTGACATTCTCGGCGATGAAATGACTCGCATTATATGGGACTCGATCAAGGAGAAGTTGATTTTGCCTTACCTGGACATAGAACTGCACACCTATGACTTAGGTATTGAGAATCGCGACGCCACAGACGACAAAGTGACGGTGGAGTGCGCGGAGGCGATCAAGCGTTACAATGTCGGTATCAAGTGTGCCACCATCACGCCTGATGAGAAACGCGTGGAGGAGTTCAAGCTGAAGCAGATGTGGAAAAGTCCGAACGGCACCATCCGTAACATACTGGGTGGCACGGTGTTCCGCGAGGCGATTATCTGCAAGAACATACCGCGTCTGGTGACCGGTTGGAACGAGCCAATCATCATCGGCAGACACGCGCATGCCGATCAATACAAAGCTACGGACTTCGTCGTGCCGGGTCCGGGCAAGCTAGAGATCACATGGACCGGCGTGTCCGGCGAGAAGATTCAGTATACGGTTTACGAATTCAAGGGTGCAGGTATCGCCCAAGCCCAGTACAACACTGACGAGAGCATCCGCGCGTTCGCTCACAGCTCGTTCAAGTACGCGCTCTCGCGCAACTATCCGCTTTACTTATCGACGAAGAACACGATTCTGAAGAAGTACGACGGCAGATTCAAGGACATCTTCCAGGAGATCTATGACAAGGAGTACAAGTCGCAGTTCGAGGAGCGCAAAGTATGGTACGAGCATCGACTGATCGACGACATGGTGGCGTACGCGATGAAGTCGAATGGCGGCTTCGTGTGGTCATGCAAGAACTACGACGGTGACGTGCAGTCGGATTCGGTGGCGCAGGGCTACGGCTCGCTCGGCCTCATGACTTCGGTGCTGATATGCCCGGATGGCCGCACGGTGGAGGCCGAAGCCGCCCATGGCACCGTCACCAGGCATTACCGTCAGTATCAGCTGGGTAAGGAGACGTCCACAAATCCGATCGCCTCGATCTTTGCTTGGACGCAAGGATTGCTGCATCGTGCCAAGCTCGACGACAACACCAGCCTGAAGCATTTCGCCGAGACGCTGGAGAAAGTTTGCATAGATACCATCGAGTCCGGCTTCATGACCAAGGATCTTGCTATATGCATCAAAGGTATGGACAATGTTACCAGATCCGACTACCTGGAGACGTTCGAGTTTATGAACAAACTCGCCGACAATCTGAAGAAGCGCCTCGACATCTGACTTGCCGGCGAGGAGCAACACGCGAACTTGCCAGCCAAATATTAGGTCGCGTTACGAACAAATCGAAAATGAGATAATGCGAATGGGTGGGGGGCTTGCGGGTATAAAGCGGAAATATCTCGGTGAATGTTACAATAATCCGGATAATTTGTTGCAATTATGTAAATACGTAAAAAATTTTGCTTGCTTTTGCGCCACGTTATCGTTGCGTCACGTTCGAGCTTATATTCGAGATTTCGGCTGATGTTTCAAACCGATTATCACGTCTTACTCCGTGTGACGACCGTGTAATCGATATCAACTGCATAAACACGCGAGATTGTGAAATACGAGGAGCAAATCGGCCGATCCTTACTCAGCGAAATGGTTAATGATGCAAATGAATCTCATTCATTGTCTCGTAATTTTCATACCGGACATTGGGTATTGTGCTGCAGTTCGGGTCGATTCATTGTCGATTCGGGCTTTCGGCCATGCAGCTCGAATGTAAGTCGAACGTAAGTCGATCGCTCTTTTTGTAGATTATTTTCTATACCTATAAGGTTTATGTATGCCTCGGTCACCGCATATAAATCAACAAAATAATATATATATATATATATATATATATATATATATATATATTGGATGAATAAATTTGATAACGTTTTATTATGAAATAAAGGATTGTACGATATTATACATTTTTCAGTAAATTTTTTTTACTCACGAGACATTTTCGCGTTAATGCAGATAATTAGAATTTCTATTATATTATAAAGACGGTAATACTGTGAAATGAAATGCCTTACATGTGAGTTAGCCTGAACCGTGTCCTATTATTTACCGTCTCAATATTGAATTTTATTATTTCTGTTCTCTCTTTGGTAATCACGAACGTTAAAATGTCGACGCTAGCAGTAAGTAACAACATGTGGCCTTAATATCACATTTTTTCGTATCTGACAAATAACCGCTCCCATTCGTATGACGCTATTAGTATCAAGCACGTAATCAAACATTTTGTTTGTCTGATAATTCTCGCGATTACTTAGTTCCACGCACGCAGTTATCGCTGTAAGCGAAGAACATTTACAGAATATTGCATACATCGAGATAGAAGTTTCCAGTCGAAGTTTCGCCATTTTAATGACGCAAGCAACGATTTTTATATCGTCGTCGTCACTTCAAGATAAAACATGAAGAGAATATTTCAATATTTGAAAAAATGTAGTTTGTAACGATAATTAAAACTCGAACTGCATTTTTTAAATTTAATATATACGTATGTATATTTGAATGGAGGAAAAAGTTGGTCTCACAACAGCACGAGTTCAGTCTTCAACGGAAATATTCACATCGTAAAAAAAACGGTTTGCATTGATTAACGTAATGACATTCGTGAACTCGTCGACCTTCTCTCAAACATCCTTTTAAATTATTCATGTGTTATACATTTTTTCTCCGGCCCTAATGTGTGTTACGATTCGATCTTATGCAATACATGTATTCAAGTATACGTAACACATTGACCAGATATGTACACCGAGCACACATCTACCCGTAACATCAAACGATAAATTAACATGTAACGTCCTTCGATATTGTCAGCGAGCTGCTTTATCGACACCGATGTATACTACTCGTTTGTTTGTTTTTATCTACAAAGCATAACGCGAGATCTATTAGTTTTATCCGTACTTTGTCTTATTGATTTCCCGGCGTTTAAAGTGAAATATGTACTTGAAATTTAAGTGAAAATGGCAGAAAAGAATGGCGTTATATGAGAAAGTATAAATAAGGTAACCAGAGAGAAGAAGTCTGCGTTCCAACAATAACCATCTGTTACTTTCGATCGCTAATACGCCAAAAAATTATCTTTTCGTCGCCTCACACGTTGCGTTGTGCAGTATCGAGATTTATTTTGCGAACGCAGAAAAAGTATTCGTTCGAGTCACATGAGACGCTCGGATTTAGTTAATAAAACACGAACTTCTTAACGTCGATGCATTCTAACCTATACAGGCTAACGTTCGCCAACTTATTTTCATTGATTCACGCTTCGACCGGGTCTTCCTCGAAGATAAAGATAAAGAGAGACCGAGAGGAGACATGAAGCGCCAATTAACAACCCGAGGCGAGACCGCCTTCACGCTTATCACCTGGAGGAAAATTATGCCGCGGCCATTTTGCTGTAATCTACTACGTCCACGAGATTATTGGCGGTTGATTTAGCGACCGTGATTTATTAGTGGAAACGCCGCGTATATGCCTGTGTGTACGTGTGTCGCACGCGCGTTTCCAACACAGCTATCGCTCAACACTACGAATCTTTTTTGCGCGGTTATCTCCGGTTTCTTTCGAGCCTTCTTCTTGATGGCAGTATGCGCGCGCGACGCGTGCATGCTTCTCAGTAGGTAAAAAGTGCGGAAATTGTGCAGGCATTGCGCAACTATCCTACTATTTTACACATCAAAGCTGTTATTGGTGGTCATTGCGCGCGATACTGCGTCCGTAAAGGTCGCTTATCGCTCGACGACCGCCGCTCGTGGCAGGAAAGAAAGGAGAAATAATTTCAGCTCGTTGTGAAATGGTCCACGATATATCCCCTGCTTTCCTCCCATTCTCCTCCATTGCCCACGCGATTTCCATGTAACTTACTTCCTTCGTGTGTTTGAAACTGCGCCGTAATCATTGCGCATCATTCGACGCTTCGTTCTGCGGAAAATAGCGGAGAAAAAATCCGGGCGAAATTTGCAAAAAGTGTCAAATTTCTATAAGAGCGCTCCACTTTTTATTATTTGTCTTAGACATCTAGTCTCTGTAGTTTAGTTCGTAAGTTAATGGGCTAATCAAGAATATAAGTAACTTATCATACATTGTTGTGTCCCTCATATAGATATATGATCAAAATTTGCGTTATGATAAACGTTAATGTACTAACTTTGCGTTTTCACAAGTTTATATTTGCTCGTGACCTTCTACGATTGTTCTTACACGGCAAAAGAAGTGCTGGATTCTAATGGATCAAGTTGATAATTTGGAAATTATTTTGCTTAGACCAAGTAAGTGTTACTTGATCCAAATACAAATATTTGCTAGAGTATTTGAGTGATTATTTACTTGAATCTCGAGTATTTTTTTCTTTCCGTGTATAAATTAAAATTCTGCTATTATATCATACATTTAGTTGTACTTAGCAATCACTTAATTTTTCTCTCATCTTCTCTTTCTTGTAACAACTGACTGTTAACTTTTTTTACTTTATCAGCCATTAAAGTGTGAACGCTATAAACTGTAAGCTCAAGGGGCACCCAGAGCATAAATATAAATACACTCTGCCATTTCCAGGCGTCTCCGAAACGTATTTCAGAAAGTTGTCTGCGGAATTGATTGTCAGGACAGCCAATTGGCAGCCCGCGGACTTCCCGCGCGTGATCGGTTATATTCCATCATTTTTAAGCGCATTTTTGTCCACTTTCAGGTAATATCGATCCTACATTGACAGGAGACTCCCATAGGCGTGGAACACCCTTGTATACCGTCAGGCTTTGCTCCTCACAGAGGAAAGGAGATCTCTGAAAGACATTGGCGTGCCGCCGCTTCCGCGCCTCGTAGATCCGCTCGAGTTGCAATCGAACGAACGGCGTCTGCGGCGATAGGTGCACCTCCACTGGCGCAAAGTAGGTGACCCTGAGCAAACAGCGACGGCGCGCGAAGAGAGCTTCTGCACGCATTGGCGGCTCGAAGCGGGACGCGAGCTTCGAAAAATAGAAATCACGAAACTCGAGGGGATACGCGAGGAACTTCGCGCACGAAGAAGAAGGCGCAGAGTGACGTGCAGGACCGCGAGATGATATCTCTCGCGAAAATAAATTATAGCCTTGTGGAACGAATATCGCACCACATATACACACACCTCTCCCTCGATGAGGCGAACAAACAGGATAAGACGGAATAATAGCACGCGAGGAGGAACAAAGAATGCGCGATGACGTTATTCCCGAGTCCAATGGGAGAGGAAAGTCCACGGTTGTCCTGTGCATTTTTGGCCGATCATGGGTTTCTCTCTCTCTCTCTCTTTTTCTCTCGGAGCCGACCAACCGCTACCTGACGAACCCGCACGACAGCGATTTCCTCCGGTCGCGGTGTGAGCCATCTACAGTCTCATTCCGATCGGAACCGACGATCTTCCGCTCGTTCGCCGAAGGCTGTTCGATCGTCCCGAGAGCTTTGCGAGTGGCCGGGAAACACGTTCCGATATCTCGCCCGGCGGCCGACCTGGTCCGCCTGGGTTACATAATCAGGTTTCCAGTAATGGAGCGTCGTCAACAGCAACATCATCGTCTTCGAGCCGCCGGAAAGCCGCTCTCTTCCTCCGGCCTCCCGCCGAGAGAGAATCGTAGGACACGCGAAGGAAGAGAGCGCGAGGAGAGGAAAGGAAGGCCAGGCTCTCTCTCCTCCTGGTGTCGGAATTGGAATTGCAGATGGCGCCCGACCTGCGCCACCTCGCCATCACCGTCGCCGTCGCCGCCAGTCGAGTCGGTCGACCGCGAGGCGCAGCAGGAGGGGTCGGGAAGGGAAGGCCTGCGCTCGTTCGCCTCCTCGTAGTCTTCCTACGATCCGCTCTCCGTTCCGTCGGCCAGTGTTGACGCCGACAACGAGGTATTCGCGATTGAACGGCGGCCGGAGAGAACGGAAGCGCTCCGCCGGAGAGAGCGGTTTGGGAGCGAAGTGTTGGAGATAAGGGGAGAGAAAAAGAAAGAGAGAGAGAGAAAGATAAGAGAAGGATAGGGAGAAGCACGAAGCGGGGAACAGAGGGAGCTAAGAGGAAGAGAGCGCCTACGACACGACGTCGCGACGATCTTCCGTGCTGCCGCCGCCGTCGAGACTCCGGAGCCAGAGTATCGACACGACGGAGAGAGGCAGATTGACGAGCGGGACCGTGGCTCGTATGACTAGTGGTCCTCGCAGGGCTCACTCGATTAATCGGCCGATTGGCGATACGATGGTCGCCGATCGTTGCCGATGACGCGACATTAATCGTCGCGCGACGACGCCGCCGCCGCCGCTACGATTGCGTGTAGCAAGATAACCTACTCGAGAGAGAAAAAGAGAGAGAGAGAGAGAGAGACTGACCATAGCGCAAACAGCGGCGCAGGTGGACAAAGGTTTGTTGCCCAATTAAGGTCCAACGTTCTCAGCGTCGGGCGGGAAGGGGCAGAGGTAACCGAAGGCGAAAGAGTAACGCAGAGAGGGACGAATGTTCAGGGAGGAAGTAGAAAGATAGGCCCGACGGTCATTTTCATACACGCGACATTCGCGCTCTATTAATAGCCGACGGCGCGACGATCCAAATAAATGCGGAGACGTGGAAAAGATTCGCGGGGCCGATGGATCCCCGATATCGGGGATCCACAGCTTCGCAAAATGGCCGCCTATTCGCATTGCCCGGTTTCCCCTCGCCGGGGGCCGTTGCACTCTCCATTCCTTTCTCTCGCACGCGCCTCTTTCAACACGGACGGTTTTCGCGATTTTCCTCCGCGGGAAGGAGACGGGGGAGGAGTCGGCGACGACGTAACCCGACGATGAGGTCGAGGCCAATTGACGATGAACGTGAAGCCGTCGCTCTCGAGCGAATCGACCGTGTCGAGTGCGTCATCCGATGACGATTCCTCCGCGTCGACCTGAAATATTGCATGCGCGGAGCAAGCGGACGCCCATCGAGTTTTCGAGCCGAACCATCGCGTCCATCCCGCGCCCACGCGTTGCTCCCCCCTCTCCTCGTCCTCCTTCGCCGCCACTCTTCTCCGCCGGAAATCGTCGGGACGGTCGACGGGACGGAAGTCGGATGCGGGCGCTTTCATAGATGAATCTCGTATGCTCGACATCCTGAAACCGAGAATACGTTTGTAATTCCCCGGGGGAATCGTCGGAACGGGGGCTTTTGTAAATTCCATTCGGGAGAAGCCACCTTTCGAAGCCCCTTCACAGCGCGAAGTATCAGTGGAAATGTTGAGAACAGTAACACATCGGTTGTGACCCCAACAGCGCGAGCGTCTACAAAGGATGATCTACTTTCTTCTTTTTTGTTACTTTTCTTAGATGTCTCTCAGCATCTCTGAAACTTTTTTCGCAGACACTCAGTGCCGTCCAGGACGTCGCTCTCGAAATGTACGCTACGTTATCGTTGGACTCCCGGTAAGTTCGGGCATTTTTACGAATGCTTTTACGACGCCATTTTTTTTCAGTATTTTTCCGGTGTTAAGGCTTTAGCGGAATGACTGACTCGGAATTTTAAGACAACGTTCTTTACGTCTAAATTATCATTTTTATCTTTTTTTTTCTTATACAGCAGATGTAAACGATCGTAAACGGCTTTTTAGTTTAAGGCTCAAGAGAGACGGTCGTTACTCAAGACAAAGGTTTAAGGCATAAAACATGATCTTGAGTTATCCAACAAGCCATTCCACCAAGGCCTTTACACTGCTCTAAGCACCCTCGGCGCGCGTTTCCGGCGTTCAGTTTCGACCGGTCGAACGAACACGGATCGTAGAACACGCTCGCCGAGATCACGAATAGAAGAGCACGTCGGTGACGCAGGGTTAATCATGGCGCCATGTGGTAGGCACTTCTCGCGGCCATGAAAGCCACTTTACTAAATTCGATCTACGTCTCACGAGTGTGTCACATCGCCGAGAAGCATTATACCGTTACACGCTCTTTTCACTTTATCGCTGCGATCCTCTTCCTCCTGCCCGCTGCCGTTTCGTCCAACGTTCCGATGTACAATTGCTTTTAAGCGGGAAAAGTGTAGTGGAGTGTAGATGAGCTGAACATTCAATCGAGAATTCGGAGTGTGTAATGGCGTCGATGACTATTACCGAAATGCTCGCTCGCGGAGTCAATCGGGACGAACGTATGTCTCTTTATCTATCAATCGGACATCGATATCAGCCGGCTGACGTGTATCTTTCGCTCGTCGGATATGCTCGGCGATCGCGATATCAGAGCGAAGAGTGTCTTGCCAAATGTCCCCAATGTTGCGATAAACGTGCGCGAAGCGTCCTTTCGCCGCGTACCGTCGCTTCGCAGATCCACGTCGAGTCTCAGGACCGGGTTTGAAATTTGTAGGACTGCGTTCGAAAACTTCAGCCAGGTGCACTCGTCGAAGCTCGCGCCGTTCAGAGTTGCTCGAGCAGAAAAGAAGATGGTATTGTGGCCCTTGGTAGATGTAACGGCCTCTTTTGTTATTTCCGTTATTAGGTGACGAATTCTTACGTGATTATTTGTGGAATCATTTCTTTGGTAACCCGCCGTTGAACATTTCGAAACGTTTTCGAGGTACGTTTAACATTTAATTGCACGTTCCTCATGCTTATTAAACTTGAATGTACTGTACACTTGAGTGTCTTGCTTGTCATTTAACATTTTATTCCGCGCTATTCACATTTCGAGTTATGCAAACAATAGTATGACATTATTTATTGACGTAACCTCCCACTAAAATAAATTTAATACAGCCTCTTTTCTAAGGTTTTGATATCGAAGTAACATATCGATAAGTCAATGATTCAAGTTTAGAAATCAATTTGTTTTGTTGTAAAAACTGTCTATCTGACAGTTGGCATTTAACTTCCAACAAGTAAGTCAGTATCTACATTCACGATTATATTCATTGTTGTTTCTTCTTCTCCTTCTAAAAGGGAGAGTTTATTTTGAATAAATTTGTAACACTATTTTTTAAACAAACTAATTTTTTAAATATATTTTAGTGGGAGAAGGAGGAGCACATTACCACCCCTGTTTCTCTTCGACCTTACGCAGTGTCGCCACATTTTTATAAATAATATCTTAAGTAATAAATATTTCATAAATTTCAATCTAGAATCTAGAATAGACTGAAAACACTTTGACGAATGTAACAAATAAGTTGAATTTTCAACCAAAAATATCGATTATTAACAAAGTTATTGTAACGTAAATTTAATCGTAAAACATGAATGGGGGGCCATTATATCACGTTTTTCTCCACCGGTAACGGCAGCGGTGATGTCATTTGGAAACTGTGTACACTTTAGATAGAAAATTGTCCACCCTAAAGTTTCAGGGTGGATACGAGTGACCTGTTGCGTCGGAAATACTTTAAACCGCGGCAACGGAGCGCATGAATTGATCGAAAGAAAGACAAGGTAATATAACTGGCGAAGATAACCAACTCTAAAATATACAATCCCCGAGGATCTTCGATAGTATTTGAGATGCGATAGGTAGCGAGAAGTGATAAATCTGTTATTTGCCGGAAACTACGCGCGCGCGTGCACACACACACACACACACACATACTCGAAGTGAAACCTGTCCCCACTACCGTTCGCTCTACCCTGCTCTACCCTCAGGATAGTATTTCCGAACGCAGCCCGACACTCGTTCTCGAAGCGAACCAATGCGAGGTGACCGCGTGCTACCTGTCGCGCTTTCGCAGATGTTCGGAGGACCCGCAGGTACGCACGTTCCGCGAAGAGAGAGCGACATACGCGACTACTCGCTCTCGTCGTCACCATATTACGTTTTGCACACATTTGCGCTCAGCTCGCACATTTCTCCGCGACGAGAGAGGTAACGCGATATCACGCTGCGCCGTGACGACGTGGTGTCGACGTTGTCGGGCGAGAGCGTACATACACTCGGGCGCTATCTCTCTCTCTCTCTCCTCGGTCTCGGAGTGTAGCGATCGAATTCGACGTCCGCGTTTCTCCGCGTGGATCCGGCCGAACCGTCGCGATTAGAGGAAGAAGAGGTGTGCGCGCGGAATAGAAGGAGAGGCTCTCGCGGAAGCTGAGAACGCGGTGGTAGCGCGCGCGCGGAGGAACCTCGGCAAATGTCTCGCGCCAATCGTTTCCAGTTTCGGTGAGAAAGAGAGAGGGAGAGAGACGTCGCGAGAAATCATCACCGCGGCTACGTTGTCATCGTCGAAGAACCGCTCCTCCGTTCGTATCAGAAGAGATAATTTTACGACGACGGCAGGAAAAAACATGGCGGACCGCCGCTGCTGCTGTGGTTGTCGCGCGCGCGGCGCGTCTCGATCGCTTCCACTGTGAGGAAGCCGCGAGAGCGAGCGTACGCACACACGTACGCAGGCTTGAGATACTTCCGTAACGCGAACCGGAATTCGCTACGGCCGCGTGGCTCGCGAGTAAGACGGTACCGTAGTGACGAAGACTAAGTCAACGTAATAAAAGAAAAAAAGGGGAAAAAAAGGCTCATCGCGCGCACTGCCGATGGCAGCGACCGATGTATGGTCGCCGGCGAATCTTGCGCGAGATATCGTTCCCGATAAAGTTTTTAATTGCCGCTTAAGTCAAGGCTGTCGCAGACAGCGGGGAGCGTGAGCGAGAGAGCGTCCGAGGAGGCGGCGTTCGAGGCGCGCCGCATGTTGCCCCATCGTGCCGTTCGCGCGGATGCGCCAGCAGCGGCGATGGCAGCAGCAGCATTAGTCGCGGTAATAGCGGCACGGGTATAAACACATAATTCTGACATCCCGCGCACAGGTCGAGGATGACACAGCTGACGGGGTTGAAGAAGAAGGGATCGTGAATAATAATTGGCCCTGCGGAGCGCTATGTTGCCCGCGGCGGGCAAGGGCGGGCGGAGAAATCTGCGTGGAAGCGCGCGGCTGTCGTCCAAGATGTCGGGAAGGCCGCCCCGGCTGCGTATACTGCGACCGCGGCCGCAGCAGCAACAGCGGCCGAGGAGCAACTCCGTCGACTCGAGCGGGGCCGCCGAGCCGTCCCCGGAAGGTAACCTTAAAGAGCCGGAGAGGCTCGCGGACGTCGCGAAAAAACGCGACGCGGTGCGGCCGGCCGATGCAAAGGCAGCAGCCAGCAGCAATACAAAGACGACGAGCGCGATGGCGAACGAGATGCGCGACGATGACGAGGAGGAGGACGACGACGACGACGATGATGATGAGGACGAGGAGGAAGAGGAGGAGCTGATGGCCGCCGGCGAGGACGAACAACAACCGATGGACGTCGACTTGGTCGCGGGGGGACCCGAGCAGGTGATCGATCTCGAGCCGAACGAACGGAATTCGTACGAATGCAAGAGCTGTAAGCCCGTGAGGACGCTGCCAAGTATCAAGGCCTACTTCGAGCATCTGCGGAAGGAGCATAAACGCAAGGTGAGTCATCGTCCCAACCTCTCTCTGTCCACTTCACCCTCGAGCCGACTCTCTCGTCGTTTTTTTACGTTCTCACTTTCGCTCGCTCTCTCTCTATCTGTTTCTTGTTCTCTCGCTCTCTCGTGTGTTTGACTTCTTGTTTTTCATTCGAATTGTCGTGGATTTTCTTTTTCTTCTCAAATACGAGAAGCGCCTCGATGAAAGAGAGAAAAAGAAAGAACGAAAAGTAATCAAGTCTCGATACGCGGTTTTTAGGAAAATCTATCGTGCAAAACACACATATGAATCTTCTCTGTGGATTGCAAGAATATGTTTTACTATAATTTTTAGGGTAAAAGCGGGCACAGCACAGTAGAAAATCGGTGCACTGCGTGTTCGTATGTTGCGTTGAGCTTGAAAGATCTCGAAACTCACCAAAGAGTGCATCATTTGAAAAGAAGATTCTTTCGATGTGCGAAATGCTCCTACGTGACTCACGTCAGAGCGCGTTATACTAAGCATGTTAAATATCATTCTATGCCAATGATCAAGTGCGATGCTTGCGATTTTCGTACACCGTATAAGGTTTGTCCCTCATTCTATTTAGTTCCGCAGACATGTATGATATTACGTCGTCAACTTTCTCAAAATGCTCAGGGAACAGATTAGATTGCTTTTTGAGATCTCGCTACCTGAGAGAGAGAGATATCTCGCCTCTGAAATTAAGTGAGTGTCGTCAACATCATTTTCAGTGGAATCTAGATAGGCATACCAGGAATCATGGTGGCGCGGGTGCTTTCCAATGTCGTGCATGTAACTTTACTGCTGATATTCGACAGAGCTTGACGGTGCACGAGACGAACCATCATGACCCGCCTGTGGGTCAGGTCAACCGCAAGAATAGCAATCCCTTCGAACGTAAGCCACGAAACGGTGCGAAACGCTATAATCAGGTAATACAGGCATATGAGTCGCCTTTCTTCTTCGAGTATATTAAATGAGCGTGTGATAATATTATAGGCAATATATAATCTGTGTATATGTGATATTTGTTTAGGTCGGAGCAAGTGACTTTCGAGAAGCGTTGAATAAATCTGGGAGTTCAGTGGTGTCAAGCCTCTCCGACACGTTCATGTCGGATCCATCGGTAATTTTAGTGGACGATAAGAGGAACGCCATAGCCGGCGCCGAGTGTATCGCGTTGAAGTGCGAGGAGAAGGGTTGTCAGTTCATAACAGCCTGGGATTCCGAGATGCAGCGTCATTTAGCCGAGTGCCACGCGCCAGTCATTCCATCCAAGCCGAGGAAACCACTGCCAATGTTAATTCCACTGAATACACCTAATCCCAAACCGACCACCGTACCTAACAGCGGGCCACCTACGACTTTACTGAAGGTACCGCGAGTCAGAGTCAGGCCCGAATTGGCGCAGATCGCGAGAGATACTGAGCTAGCCAAGATGTATGGAAATAAGGAGGTAAGCCGGAGGAGGTCGTCTACTATTGAATTTGTTAACACGACGATTTGTTGTCACGTGAATGATCTGTCGTGATTGAAAATCATGTAGAATAAAGGACGAGCAAAGTATAGAACCGTCAACAAAATTCGTCCGTCAAACGAAGGTTTGTATTGCTTGAAAGATCGTCCTTCGTAATTTCGCCGTTTTTGTCTTTCATTTCGGTCAATCTTGATGAGGATAAAGCGAGGGTTGGGATATTCCATCCGCGCGATCACATTGTATTTATCATTTGTATTTCAAACATTGTACTTGCGTGCCACTTTGTAAACGCAAGCTACCGATATCGGTACGATTGACTTTTATCGTCTTTTATTTTATATAACTTCACATCTGAAGAGCCCTAATATCATACAATTGTTACGATTGAATTTCAGGCGACGAATTCCAAGAAGGGTCTCAATACCGCCGCCGGTATATTTGAGCGAAAGAACGCCTCCTTCTTCGATAAGCTTAAGGAAAAGTTAACGACCGCGACGTCGATTAATAACGGCGTGCCGGAGGTAGCCGTAAGTAGTGTGAACGACTTGAAATGCTGGTGTACGTTTAAAGCTAGTAGCATGGAAGAGCTGGCTTGCCACAAACAAACACACCACACTGCTCTCAGCGTATCCGTGGGTACGACACGTTGTCCCAAGTGTAGAAGACGTTGCAAGAGCTCGACAGACCTTCAACTGCATATGCAATACTGCCATACGCGCAACGACTCGACCACCGATAGTAGTTTAGAGAAAATAACGAACCGTTCGGACGTCCGCATGACCTCGTACCGTGGCGAATATGCTTTCCCATCGCAGCTGGATTGGGACGCGAATCTCAGAGGACTAAATTCGTCTGGATCCTCGGTACGGTGCTTAATAATAACAGTCTAAGTATGCACGATAAGAAAACTACGCGCGTGTGTGCGTGTATATATGTGTGTGTATGTGACAGAGAAAGAGAGAGAGAGAGAGAGAGAGAGATCGGTCCTCCGCGAGAATTCTATTGAGATCAGAAGTTCAAAAACAATCGTAACATTGCAGTCGGAAACAATGTGGAACACGGACGTCTGCGAACGCAAACTCTACGCGAAACAAGAGCTCGTTGTTACATGGATATCTTTCTTTTTTTTTCTTCATTTTGGCTGTTTTATAACTCCTCATTTCTGCAAGAAAAAAAAATAGTTGAACATATTACAGATATATTTTTGTCATGTGTTAGCGCCAGGTTTTGTTTGTCGAGCTATAGAAGTATGCAAGAGCCTATGTGTCGCGAAACGTGAGCGTTGACTAGAGATTAGAACGAATCTCGCGTTGTCCTCTTTTTTTTCTCTATTTTTTTCATTTATTATTAAGAATGTGCTTTACATATTGCATATAGTGGATGTCGAGCATCTATTTTTTTTCTAGCAGTTCGTCGTAACGAACACACATCACGTCAGTTCTGGCATTTCCTTGTTACGATACGAAAATTTTGTCAGTTTGAAGGTGATTCGACACAAACGAGCGGCCGGCTGGTGTTCAAATGTCCCCATTATTCGTTTTGGGTTTCTACCGCAAGTCGCTTTCACGTTCATATAATCGGTCATTCAAACCGGAAGCCGTTCGAGTGATCTTTGTGCGCGTATAGTTCTAACTGGCGATCGGGCGTCACGAAACATATCAAGCTTAAAGCAGTAGCTAGAGACGCAGTACATATCACCGCCAGAGTACTCATGACGGATGAGTCTGGTCGACGGAATTATTCCAAGTATAAGAGATATCTCGTACAGGTGAAACAATGAATCTCAGTTCTTACGTAGAATATAATTCATTTATCTTCCTCACGGCATATTGAAACATGTGTGTATGTGTGTGTGTGTGCACTTAAAGTTCAGCTCTGAGTTCGCTCGGACGCGACTGAACACGACCGGTCTCGTGGGAACGGAAGCGAGGGAAAATTTCACCGAACAATTCGGCCACTCGGCGCTCGGACACTCGATCATCTATATATAGCACTTTTCCTTTTTTTCATTTATTATTATTAAGAATGTGCTTTATATATTGCATATAGTGGATATCGAGCATCTACTTTTTTTTTTCTCTCTATCAGTTCGTTGCAACGAACACGCATTATTACGTCAGTTCTGGCATTTCCTTGTTACGATACGAAAATTTTTGTCAGGTTGAAGGTGGTTCGACACAAACGAGCGGCCGGCGGGTGTTCAAATGTCCCCATTGTCCGTTTTGGGCTTCTACCGCAAGTCGCTTTCACGTTCATATAGTCGGTCATTTAAACCGGAAGCCGTTCGAGTGTTCTATGTGCGCGTATCGGTCTAACTGGCGATGGGACATCACAAAACATATTAAGCTTAAAGCAGCTAAAGACGCAGTGCATATCACCGCCAGAGTACTCATGACGGATGAGGCTGGTCGACGGAATTATTCCAAGTATAACAAATATCTCGCACAGGTGAAATAATGAATCTTAGTTTTTACGTAGAATATATAATTCATTTGTTATCTTCCTCCACGGCGTATTGAAACACGCGTGTGCACTCAAGTTCAGCCCCGAGCTCGCTCGGACGCGACCGGTCTCGCGGAAATGGAAGCGAGAGAAAATTTCACAGAACAATTCGGCCACTCGGACGCTTGATCACTATGGCACTCACTTTATAAGCATATTCTTAGTAATTAGTGGACGGCAAAATATCGAAACCCGTGGCGCTTTCCCCGCGCCCTTCGATATTTTCGCCGATTCCGCCGCTCGCAACCTCTACTCGCGTCTGTGAAAGTCGATCAGTCGCGAGGCGTTCACCAGAATGTTCGATCGATGCAAAATTTTTCGCGACCGAAAACGGCCGCGAGAATCTCGTTGTGTCTTACGTTGTATCATATCCGATGTCCCGCCGGACGTTCCGGATTTTACAGTGCACCGTGCTCTCTGCGCAGGTGGAACAGCAAACGTGGGACGAGGATCGCATGGAGGAGCGTAGCGTAGAGGAAACGAGCTCGAACGAGCCGTCGACTAAGTTGCTAATCATAAACAATAAGGAGTACATTCCTAATGCCAATCGGATGTCGAGTCCAGTTGCGATCTTGTCACCGACCGACGGCGGTCGGAACGGTCATAACGTCGACCTGAACCTGCGACCACCGCCGCCTTTGAAGGCGGCGATCAGAGGCCGCGGGCAGTCCTTGCTCAAGAACAGTCCTATCACGATGAACGTGCAGAGTGTCGGTGGTACTAGCGGTGGCGCGGTCACCATATCCTCGGCTATAACCGCGGACGAGAGCAGACGTACTCAATGGAAGTGCAAACGGTGTAACTATCGGGATTCTAACAAGGACAACGTTTTGTTACACGTTAAGTCGCATTACGAATCCGTCGATCAAGAGTCTACCGAAGAAAGGGTAAGTCTTGGGTGATTCCCGCTGTTGAGTAACACGATTTCTCTCTCTGTCTCTCTCTCTCTCTCTTAATTTTAAACCTTAACTTTCGAATTGAAGTCAATCTGAATTATCGGGCGTTACGGCTTAACACATTCACATTCATATATCTAATATATACATTGATAGATAATTTTGGACGTGATGATTTTATCAATTTTTTTTATAAGTGCATCTGTCAATTTGGAATAATACTAAAGTCTACTACCTTCAGAGGCCGAGTTAAAAATTACACATATAGGTAAATACAAGAAGATAAATAAACTTCAAGGTCGCAAAAAGTTCTACCGTTTGGCGCCGACCAGCTGCCGTTTCGAACTCTGACGCGTCTTACCAAATGGGCTGTAACTTCATTATTTATGCGAATTCGACGTTAACGTGTTAGGAGCATATTTTTCAAGTGTTGCCCTTTGGATTTATGCAATAAAAAAAAATAATCGACTTTTTGAATCTGTTACACGAGGATCCACTCTTAAAGCACAAAACGTTACCGATAAGTCAGCCATTCTGCTAATTGCTTTCTATACGCGTCGGGCATCTAGAGCACACGTCTATGCTTTCATACGCCTTTCCATAATGAAAAAGAACACCATTAATATATCTTACTGTACTTCCTTATCTTTCGCAGAATCCATTCGGCTGCGGAGATTGTCCGTTTTCGGCACCCGACGCTGCTACTTTGTCCCTGCACAGGACGCACCATCGGCCGAGCTATGAAACTATATTCAAGTGCTACCATTGTCCATACTACGTTAGTACAAAGGCGTATGTGTCTCGTGGTATCATAATAATGCGCTTTATTAACATAAACGCTGCATTATTTCCTCCCCCTTTAAATCGAAAACTCAGTGTAATACGATATGATTTTCGCGGTATGGTTTCTCACGAGTTGTTGCTCGAAAAAAACGTCCATCTTTTTGAGATTTTTTATCAATGCTAACGAGATGTGTTTCTTACGACGTACTGACGCAAAGCGTATTAACACCTACCTTCTGCTGTGCCACAGAGAACTGTTGGAACACTCTAGGCTTCACGGGGAGGAACTGGCGGTCGTGCACCAGCAAAGCATGGACCTCCAGCTGTCCAACTCCAAGAGCAAGCTGCAGCAGGTGTTGATCTCCGACAGCGGTAAGTTCGAGTAAATCGCACGAAACGCGTCTCCCGACAACCGGGACCATGCTAACTTGCTTCGTTGCGACAGGCGCTTTGCGGCCGAAGAGCGAGGCTTCAACGATGGAACAAGTGATTCAGATAACAACGCGCAACAACGCCACGTCGAGCAGCAGCGCGTCGAAGAGCACGGGGGCTCCGCCGCCGCTTCTCTTGGACACACGTGCTCTTCCGGAAGCACCGTTGGTCTGGGTGACGCGCCCGGACAGCACGTTGACGAAGATGCTCAAGTGCCGTCACTGTCCCTACGTATCGTCACGACGCGCCGACGTGCAGGATCACGAGGCGATGCACTCGTCCAGCGAGGAGCCCGTGATCCCTTGCGCAGACTGCAGCTTTACGTGCTCGCGCCGGGACGTGATGATCGCGCACACCGAGATGCACGCCGGATGCCTGGGCACTGTTCACTGCCTGGTGGACGAGTCTCGTCCCGACTCCCAACAGCTCAGCGACCTCGCCACTCTGCTCGGCTTGAGCCACACTCCGATGCTGGGCGCCGAGCCGGATCTGCGGGACACCCGGCTGGTACATTGCTGCGACAAGTGCCCGGCGCGGTTCCTGTGCGAGAAGGAACTGCGCATTCATCTGCGATACCACACCACCGACTTGGCGTACTCCTGCCAGTGGTGCTCGTACGCGGCACGCCAGCCGTCGCACCTCTCCGCTCACCAGAAGGCCCACTCCTCGGACTACCAGGAGCGCACCAAGGTCCTGCTGTCTCTGTACGGCCACTCCCAACGATTCCCGCCGCCGGCGACGGCGTGCGTCGAGGCGGAGGTTCAGGATGGCGACGACGTCGGGCCGAACGTCGCGTGGATCGTCGTCGAGATCAATAGCTCGTACAACAGCGGCGACAACGGCGCTTCGTCGGCCGCCCAGAGGACCGGCAACCAGGTGTTCACGTGCGCCAAGTGTCCGGCGCGGTATTTCAAGCTGGACGCTCTGGAGTACCACATGACGCTGCACGGCTCGAACAATCGGTTCAAGTGCAACGACTGCGACTACTCGTCGAAGACTGCGCAGAACCTGGTGAAGCATCAGGTGGTCCATCGCCGGCACAACGAGAGCAACAGCGAGGCGTCGTCGCCACCGGCTAACATCGTCCAGGCCACGTCGCCGTCGCACACCGCCTCGTCGCCGGATCCGCAGTTCGGCCTCTTTATGCGCGGCAATCCCAACTTCGTTTACCCGGGCTACCTGCGGAACGGCCGTCTCAAGGAGAAGCGCTACAAGTGCCACAAGTGTCCGTCCGCGTTCGAGAAGCGCGAGCAGTACAGAGTGCACTTGACGTTGCACGGTGCTAAGCAGCGCTATCGCTGCGAGACTTGCGACTACTCGGTCAAGTATTACGCAAACTACGCCCAACACCAGAAGAAGCATCTGGCGAACGCGGAGGCGCAGGCGTCACGTCGGCAGCACGAGGACGACCGGATCTCCGTGGAGAGCGACAGCGACGCCATCGGACCGGCTTCACGCCCCGGCAAGTCTCTGAGATCACCCGCCGCCGGTCCTGTTTACCTGTTCACCGGCAACAACAACGGCGCATTCAACGCCGCCTACAACAACAACATTACGCTGCAGCCCTCCAATCAGGACAAGCAGAGCTTGTTGCTGATGCAGCGAAAGGGCATCATCTCGTCAACCGGCGAGGTCGAACACGAGACTATCCGTTGCCAGAGCTGTCCGTTCTCCACCACCGACAAGGACACCATGGACGCGCATAAACGCCGACATGGCATCGAGCGTATGACGCCGCCCTGCCCGCACTGCGACTACGTGCCGCGTAAAGACGAGAACGTCGGTGACCACGTCAGGCTGCACTTCACCAGACTGTACAAACCTGAGTCTTATCTCATCGTCGAGCTGTTGACCCTGATGATGGAGAAGGCGCCCGTGAACGACAAGGAGGAGAAGCAGCAGCACCCGAAGGAGCTGCTCTTCAAGGAATGCGTCGACGGTAGGTTCCTGCCCCTCGCGGAATCCACGCACTCCCATTCGTTGAACACTTCTTCTTCCTCAACCGTGAACGTGCTCAAGGAGAAAGTCATCGTGGACCCGAACACGGGCGAGACCAAGCATCTTTCCGTATGAAAGTGTAGTGCCCGTAGAGCGATCGTAATTGCGAATCACGATCATGTATCGTGGGTAAGTTTGTACATGAATTTTCTATATACGAAGAGCGCGAGGAAGTGGTGGTACGTGAAAATTACGCACGGAAAACCTTGTTGTCGGTTGATCGACGATGATACCTGATCGTACGGACAATAGTCGGCCGATATTGTACAGTAGTATATATAATAGTTTTATGACGAGATGTTATATACATGCTTTTTTCCATTATACATCCGTTACTCGCCGCATACACATTATTCGTAACACTGCGATAACATTCAAGTAACAATGAGAACAGCGAGTGTACTTCATGAGGTCGATCATCGTGTACTTTATATTTTGTTAATTGGACATTAGACGGTATGTCAACCGTACTGTAAATATTACTTCGCTCTTGTAAATCATCAAATAAATCTCAAATGTTTACATTACATGTATATGTGTGTGTATATATATATACATATACATACATACATATATATATATATATATATATATATATACACACACATTTATCGCTTCTTTTATTTGGATATATATTTTATGTAATATAAACTATTTGCAATATTGTAAACTCTATTTTAGACGCGTTTTACGAGTCTAACTGAAAATAAAGCATTCGTTTAACCCATCATTGATTGATCTCCCTTCAGGATAGAAGCCTTCCGTTCGGTTCTGTTGATTGAAAATAAAAAATTCTTCAATCTTCCGTTTAGATTTGTCAGATCTCAAGATTATCCTCAGATACTTCATAGTCAATGAAATGAATCATAGAACATCTGAAGATAAATTTGAGATCGTCTTAAATATAAAACCTGATTATTGATATCGATTATAGAAGCGCTTAAAAATAAAGTAACAATTTTATCGCGATTAGAGACGGGCAAAATCATCGATGTTTGCTCATTGAGGATGCGTCGTACGACGTATGATGGTACGTTTGCTCGGATTGCCGGTCGTTGAATAGAGAATTTCTAGAGTCCCTAACATTTTCTCTAGATGTAATACCTCATGAACGAACATCGATATTTTTCAAATGTCGACGATTTTACCTTATCAACGAGATATCGAGATTCGTAGTACGACTCAACGGCAGGGCGGGCCGTACTTTTATTTTCACGTAGTATGGCTCAACGATGGAGCGGGACTTTTTCACTTTTGAACAGCACGACCGAACAGAGCGAGTCGGCTAAACTTTCGTGCTTTGTTGATGAAAATTTGTTAATGAAAAAAACAAGAGTACCTTTCCAATACGAGGACAAATCATATCACTGAGAAATGATAGAGGAAAGAGAGAAAGGGTATCGAGGATCGATTAATCGGCCGAACATCGCCCATCCCGAGTCTGTTCCGTTAAGACGTTGCGGCGACGAAATTCGAGATCAATAAAGATTGCAGCGGCGGCGTCGCGCATGACTGAATTGTCTTACGAATTGTAACAATCTTGAGGTTATGATGACGACCGGGCCCAAGTTGATTCCAGTTGATTCCGCCTTTTAGCTCGCGCGATCCGGTATCAAACCGTAAGCTGCACGGTGACAGTCCTCGGGTGTGAGCCACAACGATGTTCGAGGGGGCTATAGCGGCATTTTTAAACCGCCTGCTAGGCAGGTACGTGGAGGACTTGGACACGGAGCAATTTAACGTCGGTATTTTCTCCGGGGATACGTGCCTCACCGATCTGAAATTGAAGCCGGAGGCTTTGGTATGCGCATCGATCGATTTTCCCCCGTAATTTACAAACATTATTCGTGATATTAATCGTCGTATCGTGTGCGACACTGTTCTTTCAGTATCAGCTGGGATTACCTATCAGAGTAGAAATTGGCCTGATAGGGAAAATTATTTTGAAGATACCGTGGTCCGGACTCTTCTCGCAACCTATTGTGATATGCATAGAGGTACGAGATGATATATAAGAAGCAATAACAAACTTGTGCATGGTACCATTACATTAAAAAGTAGGACACACAAGTCACATATGAGTATTTTTATTTCTCCGAAGGACATATACGCAGTAGCGGTACCTGCATTATCCGGCCCTTACGATCCGGAGTTACAGAAACGTTTGATAAGAGCGGAGAAAAAGAAGATACTTGAGGATCTGAAGGAAGATGAGATATTTAGAGCTGGTAACGATGTGTCTCTTTATCAGCGAGACATTACCTGTCACCTTAGGATACCTGCGAATTTTATCATCTCTCTTAATACATAGTCAATGCGCACTTCACGATCATAGGAATGACAGCTCGAGCTGTTCTTCAAAGGGCTTATCCGTGCTTGAATCGAGCCGGTGCTTCTGTTGCAGGTCTACCTCCTCAATTATTTGACGGTTTATTGGCGTCGGTCACAAAGAACTTCCAGATCACTATAAATAATGTACATATTAGATACGAAGAGAAAATCCTGCGCAACTTCCTCTGTGCCTGTGGTATATGTATACAAAGTATATCGATAACAACTACGAACAAGTAACTTGATCATGCATATCATCGTGTTCTTAGTCAGTTGTACCCACATGCCCGGTACTGTCATTGAAAATAATGAATTTCAGCAAGTGGAAGCCCGGGGTGTGCGCCACAAATTCTCAGACCGTATATCAGCTTGTACGCGCGGAATCGCTCAGTGTTTACATGGACCACGACACTGAATCCTGCATAAATGTTCCGTGTAATTGGGACATGCCTAATCTGCTCGCATGGAAGAGCGCGATGCATCGAGCTCTACAGACCTTCGGAATGAAGAACAAGGAATTTCAGTTCTGTACGTCTGGCGTATCGCTTCTCATGATTACAGCGTTATCGTTTAATATGTCTGAAGGTAGACTCAGTCCTGCTTTCTCGCGAGGTTTTAATGCCATTTTCTTTCCCGTTCAAAGTGTTGAAGCCTTTCACGGCCAAGATCAAGGTGATCATACACAAAGGCACAGAGATGCAAGCTTCTCGCATGTTGGTCGATATTGTGCTTCAAGACGTGGCGATGCAACTGTCGGAGGCGCAGTACGCCACGTTTTGTCACATACACGACTCCTTGCTGCGCGCGGTCGTCAACAGGTGAATTCGCGCCTATCGACGTCTATTTGTTTGTCTTACGAGCATATGTTATTCCCCCGGTGGATTGTGTCATCGTTGTGCAATATTCACAGGCCGCATCTGAAATTTCGTCCTGAGAAGAGCGTGTACGAGGAACCGTCGTCTTGGTGGAGATACGCGTACAATTCCATTCTGAGTCACTATATCAAACCGTACACTTGGTCGCACGTAATCGAGCACCGGAGGAATTATCGGAAGTACAAGGAGGCGTGTATCCAAAGCTTGCAACGGCCGAACGATACGGAATTGAAATTGGACCTGCAGAAATACGAGGACAGCTTGACGATATTGAATATCGTTATAGCGAGGGAACACGCCAGGCAAGAATTGAGGAACAAGGATATCGAGCACGAGTGCCAAGTCATCGCGGCAACGAGTCCATCGAAAGACGTCGAAAGCGCGGAGAATGTATTAACGAATAACGATAAAGTACAGGACGCGGATCACGATAAGAGCGAAAGTGAAAAGTCGTCGATAAATGTAACCGAAAATTCGTCCAGTTCCCGAGTGAAGTTGGAAAAAACACTGAAGCAGATCGGTAAGCACGTTCAAATTGTTTTCAATCAGATTTTCAGATTAAGTACACATTAAAAGTCAAATAACTTTTTAATTTCTCAACTAATTACCAGCGCTAATAATTGACCCCTTCCAGTTATTTGAAAAATAAATACCTGACAGTATTTTCTGACTTTGCTTGCATCTGATCAATCGTCCTTTTTTTCACATTTTAGATTATAAATTGAACTTTACCTTAGCAAATTGTTGCCTCAGTCTTTTAAGTAAAGGCAAAGAGATGCTGATCGTGACAGTCGCGCAATTTCTGACGAGCATAGAGGCACGGCCTACGTTGCTGGCTTTCAAGATATCCGCTCGCGCTGAAAGTTTCGTGATCGAAGCTATATCAACTGATGGCGACTTGGTTCCTCTGATCACGGTGGATAACGTGTTAACAGGTAATATATCTACTTATGTTAGACTCTTGCCCTCGTTTTGCATACGGAATACGTAAATATGATCAAATATCATCGGTGTGTCAACGCTCTGGTTGACTTAGAATCTGCCAGCGTTTTAATTTACGCTTTGGTTTCAATTTGTATTATTATTTTTACCTATCTGTTTTTTGGGGGCGCTAATCAGTTATCTATTATTATTATTATTATTATATCGGGGAACATAATCATAATAGAATTACTACTAATTATATATTCGTTATACACCGTTACTGTATGTTGCAGGAAACGTGTCGACATATTTCTTGGCAATAGATTTTGAGAAGAATGGTTTGAACGTGGATCCCATTTTCGAGATCGCCATAAAACTGGAAGCTATCGAAGTGACCTATCATCATGTAATAATTCCGAATATTCCTTCGATTGTCAACTGCGATCGTGAACTTCCTTTTCCTATGTTGCTTTTTCAGTTCGCCATGGTGGAAATGGTAAACTTTTTCAAATTTAACACCAGCTACATTCACGACACTGTGCTCGGGTTGTACAAACTGTGGGGTTACACCAAGAGAAAATATCTGAGCTTCGTGGACGACATTGTCTCGCAGACATTGAGAATCAGCTTCAAGATAGACGTCAAGAGCCCGTACATTATATTCCCCGAACACGGATCGATTCAAAAGTACGCATGTTAGTGACATCGTGAAAATACCCACTTGTACACTTTCATGTGATATTTTAGAGGAGGACACATACTCGTCCTGGACTTCGGCAATGTGACCTTGACGAATGAGCTGCAAGCGGCGAATTTGCAACTGGAAGATGCTACGCTGATGGAGCTGGAAGAATTGCTCTACGATAGGCTCAACATGGTGGTTTCCGGCGCGCAGATTTTGTTTTGCCATTCAGGCGACGACTGGCGCTCGGCGAGGAAGCGCAGCGACTCGGAATACCATTTGCTGCCGAAGCTGCAAGCGAACGCGACGCTCTCGTACAGCATTAAGCCGGAATACCGTCAATTACCGCAGTAATTAGTACCCTTGCATTGTATTATGTTAGTGTGTCTTTCTATCCTTTTGATTCGTCCTGCATTATTTTAATTCGTAAATATTTAAATAAGATTCACGGGACGTACAATCCTTGTGCGATTTGAAGAAGCCGATAAGAACTGGCGCTGTTAATTAGCTGCGCAATTAAAAAGCATTATTTGACTCACAAAATCGATGAATCTAACGTCCAAACGTTCCGGTCGTGTTAAAAACTACCGACCTAAGAGATAATTGAGATAATTTAATAATAAAAACATATTAAATAAAAATAAATTATAAGAAATAACTTTCTAATTTCGCAATTAATTATGAGCGCTCTTATCGGCTCTTAATTATCTCTTCGAATTTCCTAGGGGATTCTAATTCGTATTATCTTGCAGGACGAAGCTCAACGTGCACATCTCCAACATGAAGTTTAACCTGTCGGAAAGTAAGCTGAGTCTGATGGCATACTTCCTGAATAAGTTGCTATTGTCGTACCAGGACAACGTCGAGAACTACAAGGTCGCATTGAGCGGTTCCGTTCTCGAGCGGAAATCGAGTGTCGCTTTTACATCGGCGAGAGAATTGACGAGAGTGCAGTCGAGCGTGTGCCTACCGTCCGTGACGATGGTGCACGGTGACTTCAAACCTGTCGTGAAGGAAGTCACGACCAACAATGTGCCGAAGCTCGACAGGTAATCTCGTAATATGTAATGACCTTCGTTGATGGGGATCGCGTTAATCGAGCACTCACCGAGCGTTTTCTGCTTCCGTTAGAAGTGTCGTCTCCTCGGAGATTAGCGAGGAGGACCTGGAACTCTTGTCGAAAACGATTAATTTGTCCGGATTCGACGATAACATATCACCGTGCAATCACATCAATTTGTTGCTACGCTTCGCCATAGGAGAGGCAAGTCCCCTCCCCTCCCCCCCTCCCTTTAAGCGTTTTCGTATTTCATCGCGAGACGCGTCTTCTGACGTCGTTAACGTCGGTCTCTAAAATTCAGTTTTCCGTAAATCTGGAGCACACGGTGGAGAACCGAGAGCAACCGTACTTGAATCTGAGATTGCACACCTTGTACTACGAGACGGCTATGATGGAGTACGGCGTCGCTGTTCAGTTCGGCATCGGGTCCATTCTCCTGGTCGATAAGACGAACGCTGGCGTTACCGGCTCGTACTTAGAATTAATATCCACCGATCAATCCTATGAAGTTCTCGTGGTATCGTACCGTAAGGTGAGTTGCGCGCGCGTAAGAAAGCGATTTATCGCCTGGACGGTTCAGAAAGGTCACCGATCTTGCTCACAGGTCAAGTCAAATTGTCCCGACTTCAAGTCTCACTTCAAGAATATCGAACGCTCGCTGGTTGTGAATCTGTTGAATATCAATGTGAACTTTCATAGATCCGCGTTACTGAAGATGAGAGACTACTGGCATAAGTTTCAGACGTAAGTAGGATAACTTGGCGCGCTGCAGGACGGAATGGTAGAAATTCTGGGAAATCACCGATCCTTTCGTTTCAGCATTTGTCACGACACGATTTTATTCAAGTTCGCCGAGAAGGTGTGCAGTGACATCATGAAGCGAGAACAAAAAACCGACGACCCGCCTATCCCTCCAGGTAAACGTATTATTTAAAGCGCAGAACGCAACTTTGGCTGAACATTTGATACGTCTAACGCGACGATGACCCATTGCAGGTGCGATCAAACTGAATTATTCTACCAGGCTCAGCTCATTGGTTCTACGATTCTGTGATAAGGACATTGATTTGATGGAGATCAAGATCTCAGGCTTAGAGAATGATTGCATCTACAACGCGAACGAGAGAATGGTGTTGCGCGTATATCTGCGAAGCATGTTCGCTGAAGACTTAAACGACGACACGCTTTACTCCAAAGTAAGTGTCCAGGATAAAAAATATACGGTTTTCTTCTTTATATCTCTGTAAAATATATTATTATATGTATATTTTTTTAATATTCTTACATATTATATGTATTATATATATTAATATTCTATTTATATGTATTATTTATATTTATGTACTAAAATATATTTTTTATTTTATATTTGAAGATTCTGACAACTGACGAGGACAAGGTTTTCGACCTGAAGTACGTGAGACACATGCCAAGGCTGTACAAGTGTCCGGATATCGATACAAATCAGGACGACGTGATGTCGGACGGCACCTTCAAGCTTTCCATCGGACGGATAAATTGCGTCGTCATTTCTAAAATTTTGTATGATTTACAGGTACGGCATACACTTCCTCTTATGTGTTACATCTGTGTTATTACGTTATATAATTTTCGTTGTTCTTCGCAGAATTTCATAATGCCGTTCGCTTCCGCGTACTACACGTGTTTCTTGAATTATCTGAGGAACAAGCTCGTCGGAGGCATCGAGATGTTCAAGAGAAGCGCGACGAAACTGCACATTTTCATCGATATACAAGGACCTACGTTTCTGCTACCTCAGAAAAAGGACGCCCCGAGTCTCCTGGTCTTCGATACAGGTATATACGCGAAAGCTGTGCGCTCGAGCGAGGAAAAGGCGATCGCAAGCTTGAGAGGGAAATATTCGCCACTTGCTTCCAGGTGTATTGTCGGTCGAGAACTTCTTCAAGAGGAGCGGCCAATCGGCGCAATCGATCAAAGCGTCCGCCAACGACGCTAATCAATTAACAATCGACAATATTCTGGTGAAACTGAAATCCATGACCGTGTCCAGAGCGATCATGACTCTGACTCGTGACTTGGAGGTCCAGGTGAAAATTACATGCTCATTGCGGTCTGACACGAAGAGATATCCGTCACACGAAACATTCTTTGCAGGAACCAATCATCGAGCCCATACAGATCCAGTTCGACATCAAGAGAAAAACGGAGTATCGCAGCATCATCGAACTGCAAACCTACGGCTTGTTCAACGTGCAGGGAGCGATCGATGTTGTGAATATAAATTTGAGCCAGAGAGACCTGAAGTCTCTCATGTCGGTGTGGCAGGATAATGTCTCCAAGATCCTGTTGCTGAAAAAAGCCGGCGAGCACGAGGATCGGACGTCAGCGCTGAACTGTCGGAAGAACGTCAAGCACGACGACGCCATGGTGAAGAAGTTGGAGAACTTTTTGGCTCACAATGAGACTGCCTTGTGCGAAGTGAATGTTAAGCTCACGTTGGAGGGAGTGCAATTGAATTTGTTCTTGGACACGGAAGAGGTATTATTCGTATAAATTGATACTTAGATTTATCCTTTTTTATATATTATTTTTATATACATTGTTATATATATATATTTTTTTTTTATGTCGCAGGTGTTGAGTTCTCCCGTGCGTGACTTGAATCACGGTTTATGTAAGCTGTGCTTCGGCGAGACCATGAGCACTTGGGACTTTTACAGTGACAAGAGCTTGAAAATGAAATTATCCCTGCAGAATTGCTTGTTGCAAGACACTCGCAAGGACTCCGTCAGTGAGAGGAAGTTCGTATTGTCGTTCGTTCGGGCGACAATATAAAGTGTCGATTTTGAGAGATTCACGTCGCCTTGTCTCATGTTTCAGGATAATACAGTCGCCGGCGATATCTCTAGAGAAGAATTTAGAATCCTGCATTTCTGTGTCGATGTCCCCCATAGTCGATGTCACGTATAGCTGCACTCAGGCGGAGGAGAAGTGTCTCGACGTTCTTATTCAGGATATACGAATCAACTTATCCGTTCCTTTCCTGATGCATCTGGGACGATATTTCCTGGATTCTCTGCCGGGCGAGCAGATCGAGAAGGGAATCATCAATCACGGATACGATAATAATAATCAGACGGTAAGTGAGAATTTTTCTTATGCTGATCATCGTACGAAAGGATATATTTGATAAACGTGTCACTGTGTGATTTAAATCAAGAACCGGAATGCTTTAAACGCGGAAACTGACAAATTAAATCGCTCGCAGTATTTTAAGGAGCAACCAGGTATTTCGTCTCTGTGTGTGCGTTTGTGTGCACTTACGTCGAATGCTGCAAGCTTCCACTTTATCTGTTAACAATGCTATGCGCATGATATCATGTTTAATTTCAATCTTGCAAAAAGTCAAAGAATCGTCTTCGCGTGTGTGTTCAGGTACTTCCGTGTCTATCAGAATACAGAAGCCGGATATCTTCCTGTTTGGCGATCTGGAGAAGAGCAACATTCACGTGATACGTGTGCAGGCGGAAGTGTTTATCGAGAGCAGCAGGCACAGCTGCTCCTCCTCGTTAGTTTGCACCCTGACCAATGTCAATGCCAAAACTAAAGGGCGGGGGAACTACGAGTCCCCGTGTTGGTTGTTACGTCCCTGTGATATAGAAATCTGTAAGAAGAAGGAATTGTCGAGCGGTAATGAGGAAATCACTGTCGCTACAAATAGTATTAATATACACCTGTCGGCGGAAGTGGTGCATACTTTTATGGATGCAAGTATCATGAATGTGGTTGTAGCCAGTCTGATTTACAATTGTTGTTACGGGGATGTCATATTTGAAAACTGTCAACGTTCCGGTCTTTATACCTTTTCAATCAAATTTACAGGCCTAAAAAGATACGAAAAGTTTGCAGATGAATTTTGATACATCATGGTTATATAGATTTTTCATTAGATATGATAAAACAGAGTAGCGCACATTCATCGCTTTTATATTTATATTACACTTACGTAAGATCTGCATGTACATAATATATAAAAAGAATGGCATGATCGTGTCAATATTTATGCAGCATATAATATTTCGAGGATCGCCCCCTGCATTATCTACTTCTATCTTATCAAGTTTGTCAGTGATTTTGGCATCCCTTTAACAGAAATATGACTCATTCCTGATTCGTCGCTTTTGCCTTATTCACAAATTACACTCTACGTTCCAGATATTGAACGAAGCGTCGATTTTTCTAAACAGCATTAATTTGAAAGCGGATGACAGTAGCAACAATCAAAATGCAAACATGCACAATAATCTCTGGGCACCGAGGAAAGTTTCTAGTATACCGTATAAGAAAACCGAAGAAGGCAAGTATCTCGTGTCGCGCCGTATAGATTATTCGCTGTCCAAGCTGGCAGTATGTGTCAACTCAAAATTCGACCGGTATACTCATCGTACACTGTTAACTTCAGCCGACTCGGAGCTGTATTGTCGCCGCAGTGATCACGTAATATTCAATTTGAAACCCGTCTTGGTGTGCCTGTTGCTGGAGATGGAGTATTCAGTGGGAAGGTTTCCGGTGATGAAAATGGAGACCGTTGTCACAACCACCGTCAATGACTGGCACAACAGCTTTCATCTCGAGTCCAATGTGAAGCTTCACGCGTTCTGCTATAATAGAGCGCACCAGACCTGGGAGCCATTCGTGGAATTTTGTACGAAGGACGATGTGAACTACAAACCATGGGAGTTCACCATTAAAGTAACGGCTTGCTATCCGTTTTAATTATTTCGTATAATCGTCGTCTTCCTCCTTCATTCCTCACGCATTCCTCAGACGTACCAAGGCGAAGCGAATATGATCAGTTCCAATTGGACTGATCCTTATCATCACGTGAAGCAAGATCCGATGAAAATGAAGAAGAAGGACACGAGGCACAACGGACAGGATGCGGCAGATATGGTCTTCATTGGGCCTGACGTGGACGTGATTTCGTCCACGAGGAGCGGTGAGATTACTCGTGCAGTGAATCGATCTTAGATCATAGTCTAATTGATTTAATTAATGATTCTTTTCTAATTAATTAATTAATTTTGTTAATTTTATTAAATTCACTTTTAACTAATAATTTATCAGATAATTAATAATTACTTAGTCGATAAATTGTAGCTGGGCTTGGCTGCCGGTTGCCCTCCCTGATAAAGCGAACTGAAGTGAACAGTTTAGACAATTGGAGACAAATTTCATAAGAAACGCGACTCAGCCGGGAAACCGAGAGGATGAATAAATAATAATCAAATAAATTCGTCTTTCAACAAGCAGAGCCTGAGACTTACGTTGCATGCGAGGACGAGTCCGATACAGATGACGACGAGAGCAACAAGAAGCTGGCGAGGATCTCGAATTATTTGTTCAACAGTAACAGCAGCGACGACGAAGAAGAAAGCGACGATTCGGACGATTCGAGTACGAACGAGGACGAGGGGCTGGATTTCGTGCTAGATTGCAATGTCGAATCTTGTACGCGAATTCGGAGCAGATGTATCGGTAAAGTTTCAATTATTTATTCAGTTATTTATCGTATTCTCCCGCATAGGTCACCCCGCCGCACCAGAGAAGGCAAACCTCTCCACGCCGCATATTATGCTGTATACGGAGGACAAGATTAACATCACCATCACGCAGAACATGATCGAAATGTGGAACGCGATCGCGAGCGCGTTCGCATTAGCCAAGGGCGGGCTACCCTTCGTACCTGCTAACACGCGGGAATTAACTGTGCTGAACGACATAGGTCATGCTAGTCGAATAGAGCTGCTTGTCCAAGAGCAGGTAAAATGATAACTTTCTTTTTAACATTTTTGTACAAGATGTTTAGATGAGATTTAGGTTTTTTTCACATTTATTTAGGATATGATCGTGCATAGGTAATTTCTTTACTACCAGTTGAAATATAAGTGCATTATCCGCCCCCGGCAATCAAATGTTTGAATGCATCCTCGATCGCAGGTGGATGGGAACAGTGTCACGTGCGTCGTCGCTACGCACAACTTCCACGATGGCAACTCGCCGACCAGCGTGCCCAGCAGTCCGGAAAATGAAATGCAGACGGATCTTACGAGTCCTCAGTGGGTTGGCAAGGAAGTCCATCTAGTCGTGCCGGAATGCAAAACTTTTCCCATGGACTCGCCGGTTCACATCTACAAATCGATAACCGGCGAGTTGCTTCGCGTTGTCTTCGAAGGTAACACTTTCGTGTCTCGCTACGATAGAAAATATCTCTATCTAAAAAGGCAAAGCCGGATATTATGTATAGGCATATAAGCGACTTACTTGTCTCACTTTTTTCTTACCTAATACTGAATTTTAAATAAAGTTTAGATTCTACGTTATCATGCAACTTTTTCGTTCCCGAAAATTCAGATTTTGCTCTTCATTACTTTTCATTATCGATGTTCATTATAAAGATCAATGTTTTTATTCTCTTTATGATAGATAAATAATTTAATTTTTAACGTATAAATTAGTGGAAAAAGACTCATTCTTTGCTCATTTTTTTTTCTCTTTAAGCTGACTCACTATTTTCTTATTTTCTCAAGAACGAAACTCACTTTTTCTCACTATTTTTGACACCGCTTCTACACACTGGTATTACAATATTAATAAAATACACGTTAAACGTGCAGTTGAATAATGTTTTTTTTATTTTCTATATGCAGGCTTCGAGGATGTGTTGGTATATTGCCCGAAAAAAGAAACGCGCAGTCTCATATCACTTCGTCCCGTGAAGCACGAAGTTCGCTATTACCTGGTGATCGAGGCGTCGATCAACAGCTATCTGCACCGTACAATTTGCGTGCGGTCTCCGTTGCAGGTGAGCCTTGGTCTGCTTGTTAATTCGTTCGTTTCACCAACATCTATGCTCGTGTACACGGAACGTCGTGTTTCAGTTCCGGAATGAAACGTCATACGCGCTGGGTCTCTATTACAAGAAAGTGGTGATAGACAAGTTGGGTATGACGCCGGCCGGCGAAACTACAAATCCCTTCGACGATAACGTGAGAATGGCGATTATTGAGCCCGATTCGACTTACAATATTCCTCTATACATTGCTTATCATTGCTCGATACATGTCCTTCCTGCATATCTGGAGTAAGTAAAGTTAGTGATATAAGATCAGTTCGTAACCGTAGTCTCGCGTTTTAAAATTTCTGTTCCCTCGCTAACTCGTTACGTAAGAAGCGAGGAAACGCATACCAGAAATTCTCGCGGAATACATCGAAGTGAAAGAATATGTTTATAAAATGGTACTTGCAATCGATTCAGTACATTTGTAAAATGCTCCGGAAACTTCTTTTTACTTCAACAATTAATAAATAGCCGTTAACAAAAATTGATGTGACGAAATCATGAGAAAAGATGGGCTAAAAAGAAGATTGTGTGCTATCTTTTACAATTAATTTTACAGTTATTTACTTACACAAATCGAAACAGGACTATTGAAACACGCATAGTCTTTTTCTTTTTTTATTCGATGATATTTGTCTCTCTTTATTGCCAATAAGTAATCATCTTACGGACGATTTAATGAAGAAAGAGATATCATATCGGTTAACGAATGTATGTTACAGGAAATATCAAGTCAGTGACGATGGGATTTATTGGAAAGACTTGAGGGGTACAACAAATGTATTTAAAGACGTGTGCTGCGAAACGAAAGATGACATTAACCGTAATATATTCTGTGTCAGGGCAATATGCATGGAAGTCCCATTAACGACCCGACCCTCAGGCTGTCAAGTGCCGAATTACTTGATAAATATCATACCACCCGTTATTTTTAATAATCAGCTACCCTTCGTCATCGATGTCAGTATACCTAACATCAATTACGAAGTGAAGATCGAACCCGGCGAGAAAATCAACATGCACTCTCTGAATTGTAACAGTAATATGCAGTTTGTTTTTAAGGTGCGTAGAAAAGAATCTTAATAAATTGATTCTGACGTTTCTTTCCATAGAAAACGCACTTTATTTGTCGTCATATTCCCAGGCTTCAGCAAATTAACTTCTTTTTCGAAGTTAAGTTAAAAATTAGTGGCCTGTACAATTAATTTATTTAAGTTAAAAATAACCGAAACGAAAACTAACTAATTAAAAGTTGAGTTAAAATGAAATTAACTTATTAAAGTTCAATTTTAATTGTGCAACACTTTTACGCAAGAATCAAACGTACCATCGTGTATTTTAATTATGCGCAACTTTTTTTTTTTTATATATAGATACACAACTACTTGGGCACGTCGTGGATGGGCACGGTTAAGCTGAATATGAATCTGGAGCGGAAATTTGTATTAATGTCTACAGACAACGAGTCAGACCTGACGAAACCCTTCTTGCTGTGCGTAGAACTGTGCAAGATGCTCAGCTGGAATATCGTCATACAATCGCAGTATTGGATAATAAATAAGTCCGGTTTACCGCTGTTTATTCAGGTAAGCGCAACCACGACGCAGCTTGTAGGGAGAGGGGGGAGGTTTTTCGATAATCAAATATAATTTATTATACACATTAATTTTACTCGTTATTATATTTCAAACCTTAAATAAGAACGGGTGATTTTGGTTTAACTTTGTCTTTGGTAGTTCACTGATATCATATCTCTTCTAGGAATGCCATTCTCACATAACGTACGAGATACCGGAGGAAGAGCTGATGATGTTCTCCCAGAAGAGCAACAAAAAGAACACGGTGCGATTAAGGGCACACCAATCCGAATGGTCGATGCCGTTCGGTCTGGACGGGATTACGTCGATGTCGCTGATCGTCTGTCGGGATATCGAGCGCGGACGGAAGTATCAGATCCTGACAGAGGTGGAGAGCTCCCGCTTGTCGCCAATCTTCACCAAGATCATCACGTTTCTCCCGTACTTCCTCATCTCCAACAAAACTAAGAGGGCCCTGAGGTTCATGGAGGAGAACGAGGAGGCTGATCTCTGGAATGATCTCTTGCCCGCTCAGGAGATGTCCTTTTGGCCCGCCACCGAATCCATGAGGATGAGAATCAAGTGGAGGAACAGCCAATTAGTCTCTCAGCACTTTGACATCACGCATGCCGGCAAGACCGTGCTCAGGATGGACAACGGGGTAAGGCAGAGACAATAGTGGTCATTAGTAATAATAGTAATGATATTATTCATCATGTAGTAGCATATGATGCAATAATTAAGCAATTTATATGCGATTATATAATTAATATAATATTAATTATTATAACATATATAATTACAATTTATGATTAGAAAGAGAGAGAGAGAGAAAGAGAGAGAGAGAGACAATGTAATTAATTAATTAATATATAATTAAACGATTAATATGTAGATATCAAGCAAATTTCTTCTAAAAAGAAAAACTTACGATTTACTTTGGATAATTTAGATACTTGAGATGAACATGTTTCATGACATTCGCAGTCGGCGCTGTGTGTGGAGATCGAGGGTGGCGTCAACACTCCGTATCGCATTACGTTCCGGAAGTACAACGCCGGCGACATACCCGTGAGAGTGGATAATCTCTGCGACAAGCTCTTCCTGAAGCTGAACCAAGTCAACTTGGGTCAGGTCGCCTTGCTTAAGCCGTTCCAGAGCTTGCTGTACACCTGGGACGATCCTACACAGGCCAGGGAACTGATCTGGAACGTTTACAACAACAATGCGATCGGCTACAGGGCAGAATTCGAAACGGTATGTTATATTAGGTTGATGTGTTGTGTAGATATATTGCTTAGTTGACGTGATTTCCCAATAAAAGATACATTTTATCGTCCTTGTTAGCATATTTCTACTTGGAAAAATATTTTGTTCATAACTGAACTTGAGTTCAGTGTTTATAGAACGAGATGCGCATAATCTCTTGTCTCGAACTTCGGTTTCCTCACTTACACAAAATTTATTATAATATTCCTACATGACTCCGTCGCGACTTTTCGCCCGGTGTTACCTACCATTAACATTTCCGTATCTTCTCAGGACGGCTGCGGGCACGAGAGGGTGTCGTTTATAACCGTTGAACGGCGCAACAGCGCGTCAACGTATTCCTCCGTCAATTCCAAGTCTCTGTCAAACGCGAGGTCGTGGTCGGAGGACACGAGCGGTAGCACCGTTCATCTTAGTGGCGCGGAATCCGAGGCGAAAGCGCAAACGTTAGAGAACGTGCGACAAGATGAGGCGGAGGTTTATTGGGTGAGCTACATGGAAGGCGAGCAACGCGTGCTGCTGTTCACGCAGCACGAAAGCGTCTTCCTGAAGGCGAAGAGCATCATCGATCCCGAGTCCAGCAAGAGAGAGATGTTCTTGTCGATCGCAGCGATTGGGATCAGCATTGTGAGTATATACACAGAAAAAGAAATGCTAGAATCAAGTAAATCAAATAATTACCCGTTTTTCAACTTCTTAGCCGCAATTATTTTAGCAGTGAATGTCTATTTACGAAGTAACTATTTTACTCCGATCAAATAAATATTATTTGAATGGTAGCACTTTTTTCTTTCGATTTTATATATAGATTGATTAATTTAAGTGTGATAAATGGAAGAAGACCGATCGCTCTCTTTCTCCTGCAGGTCGTGCAAGAGTCCAACGTCAGTCTTCCCAGCTCCAGACGGGAATTACTGTACGCCAGTGTGATCGACTCAGCGGCCCACTGGGAACTTTACTTCAGCAAACGGTGGAGGAGCCTGTCATCGGAGTTGAGCGCTTGGCTGGAAAACAAATACATGAATTCCGCGAAGGGAGCGCAGCTGGAGAATTTCATCGACGTACGATCGCGATTTTACTAAGTTCCGTTATCCCTTTCCTCATCAGGTCGGTCTGCAAGTTCGGTCCGATCTTCGAGCAAAGAATTGACTTCGTTGCAACCAGTGGAAGCAAATAATTCATCAATCGGGCGATCGCCATCTTTATCCATGATTCTTCGCTTCTCGCAGCATTTGGATTCTTTTATCGCTATCAGCTGGCCGGTTTATCGTCGAAGAAGGCAGAAAATGAAGCAAACTTTGTTACTATGAAGCAATATCAATGCACTATACACACACATAATATATCATCATGTCACGCAAGCCATACGTATGTCTTTTGCAATCTTTTCCCGACATTTTGCAGGTCGACTTCACGAAGATGCAGATGACCAAACCGTTCTTCGGGAAGCTCCGAAGAACGTATTCGCCGGGCATTTGGCTTCATTGCCGGGAATCCACGACGCTTTGTTACGTGCAGGGACACGTTCACAGGATACAGGTAGTACGCCCGTACATGTAGGCTTTGTGATAATCTCGCCTGACGCCTTTCTCGTCTTCGTTCACAGGTCGACAATCAACTGAGCGATGCTACCTTTCCAGTCGTTCTCTATCCTAGCTTACAAAGGACCTTCGTGAGTTACGCCGGTGGCCGTAGATTGAAGCACTGCTTGGAGTTTTCGTATCTGAAGCAACGCAAACTGAAGAACACTATCTATAAGTACGTACACCCAAGTAACTCCCTTTGTATCGGTTATCCATGCGATCATGTAATAATCGTTAAAACCTGCCAGAGGAGTGTGCGTGATCGTCAGAGAGTTCAATCTGAACCTGGAAGAGACGTTCCTCTGCTCCCTCATCAATCTTATACCCAAGATACCGGAGACCAAGCATTCGATCGCTGCCAAACTTAGAAGAGACGTTTCCAACATGCGCGTGCCTTCGCTTCACAAGATCAGTAATGCAAGTGTCCAGTGTCACGAAAGTTGCGACTCGGAGTTTTAACATTAACTTTGACGTTCGATTTTGATCTCTGATACGCATATCCGATCTGCAGAACGCCAACGGCAAACGGAAGGATCTCATAGAGCAGATATACATTTCTCCGATGATGTTGCGCCTGAAGTTGCTGGCCAATACGGAGGGAACCAACGCGCGCAATTTTGGCAACGCAGCGGATTACCACAATATCGTGCGATTCGTCTTCGAGTACGCGGAAAAGGGCGCGTTCGAGAAAGACGCTGAATTTAGGTGAGCGATCATGGCGACTTTCCACGAGACTCGCGGGTGTTCATAGGTGATCTCGTTTCACGCGACGATTTGTTTATCCCTCGACCTCTCAGATTGCCTAGCTACCGAAGGAGTTTCGTTGTCGTCGACAATAAGCAATTCCTCTCGCATCTCTCGCGCAATTACGTGGCGCAGGTCATGGAACAGTTTCACGTGATGGTACGTTTAACGACTGTCTTGGGGAATCAGTATGGCTACAACTTCAAGTCGCCGGGCAACGGTTTCTACGAGCCGGATTTGGTAAGTTCCTGTAACAGGAACCTTAAGAGACTACCAGAGGAACGGAATGTCTTTCGAGTGTGTTCATTGCGATGTGTCTTTGCAGTTATTGCTGTACGGCGACGAGACTGCGGAGAGATTAGCGCACGACGTCGCGTGTGAACTAGGATACGCTACGCCCGATGGCATGCAGGTCTTTAGCAGCCACGACACTCCCGCGACACGTCATTCCAAGGTAAAGATATATACCTCGTATCTGTGCGGAATGCCCTAGAATCGCCGAATGTCCGTTTACCGGGAGAAATTTGACGGCCAGCTCTTTGTTCTGCATGTTTTTTGACAGTTTTTCGCTGTTCGAAGCCAGCTTCTCTATTACTGCCGATAGTACTAATTGATAGCAGTCCTTGTTTCAGGTGAAAGACGCGAATTACCAGAACCCGGACGTACCACCGTTGGCGTTTCCAGTCGATCACTCGTTCCCCGCTGAGATCGACCTGGAGGTCTCCGGCTTGTACACCGCATCGACGAACAGTGAGTAGACTGTCAGCCAGTCGTAACGTACGAGCCGATGTTGACGATAAAACGTGGTCTATAATAGGCAGTGGGAGTATGTTTATAGGAAGTAAGAGTAACAAATTAACCAATCATAGCCGATTATTCTTCTTACATTCGAACATGATTGGTCAATTTCTTACTCCTGCTTCTTATGAACATATTCCTACTGCCTATTGTATGGACCACGTTTGAATCGCACCTGTTATACTGCACATCTGTTAAAAATAAACGCGCTCGGCGCCTCTCCTCCACCACTACCTCTCAAAACCTCTAAAAAAAAAAAAAAAAAATAAATAACAGGCATTCACCGGGAAGAGTTGAGGTATTTCTTCAAAACACTGGGCAAGAAAACGTCCATGTTTTTCAAGGCGGAGAATTCTTGCTTAAAGACCCACTCGAAAGTAGTAGCAGATATAATAAAAAGGTACACACCAACGCGCTTGTATCGGCGCTCTATGTATTTCTCACGTATTTGCCGCACGCTCTCGACCCTTCATACTTAAGAATTGCCGCTTACCCCGCAGGGCGCAAGAAACGGGACATGGCTTCGTATCCCGAGTGCGACTACCACGGTACATCAATCCGCACTTCGTGAGTGTACACATACACACACATACGTCGAGACGATGCCGGCGACTCATCGGCGTCGCTTCACGCGTTTTCCCGGTTCATGATTCACGTTTCTTGCTGCTTCCAGGGCGTAGAACTGTTCTCGACGCACAAGGCCAAAGGGGCGTACTTGCTGAACGCTATCAGCAAGGGCCATTGCGCTCAGAACGATTTTTACTGGGGTCACGCCGCGCTTCACAACGACGGAAAGTACATCACCCTCGTGTCTTTGCAGTGAGTCCAACCGCAATTATCATCATCATCATCGCTACGGAAGTGTCTTAGCACGTTCGCTGCCGGGTTTTGTTGCTCGAGGAACCACTTTATCCGAGGAAAAAAAAAGATCACACATGAAACTTGCCTATATGCGATCGTATATAATCATATATGTTCACAACGAAAAAATACTGTTATTTACAAATTACACGCAAATACAATCGAAGTAAATGCTTTTGTCTACTTATGCTTCTGACAGTGCATATGATATCGACATTTAATTAGATATTGTTTTTTTTTTCATATATGATCATATATGTAACTACATATATAGGCAAAATTCAAACATAATTTTATATAATTATATATAATTATTTTTTCCCGGGTATATTTTTTCTTTTATTAATAAACAAATAAGATGAAATACGAGAATAGAAGGGATGAGAAATGAATAATGGGAAAACTGATAATTTTCTTTCACGTAATTGTGTTACACAAGCTTGAATAATGCGGACATGAAGAGAAATTTTCCACTGTTATACACACACACACACACACACACACACACACATGTAACGCCGATCTCTGCATCACACGTGTGTTACGCTGGTAGCGAACGTGTTAAGCGCACACGTTCTCGCTCGACCCGAGCAACACGCGTGTCGATTATTCATTCGTCTGGAGAACTTGAGAATCGTCCGCCAATGGATTTTCAGGCGAATACACTATATCGAGAAGGGGAATGCCTGGGGATCGTGGAATGTGAAGTGGACCTTGGAAACCAATCAATTGCTGTCACCGCCAACTGTCGCTAAGAACAAGCTTATTTTGCACGTAACACAGGTAAGCGTCCCGACGCGCGCACATATTCATTCGTCAAACAGAACCACCGATCGACGAGAGATCGAGTGCGATCGCGCACGTCGTTCAACTCGACATGTTCAACTTTCGCAGAACGAAGAGGAGGCGTCGTCGTCTATGGTGGACTGGTACGTGGAGTGCGAGGCCGCAGCTATCTTGGAGTGGCTCTGTCGCAAAATAAACAGCGCGATGATTCTGAACATGGAGAGCAGCATTTGTTCCAAATGAAAATCCTCCCTGGTGAAGCGCGACGACGCTACGACGAGAAAATGATAAAAAGAGACGTAAGAGAGAAAGAGAGAGCGAGGATGATAGAGATTAAATGTGTATTTACAGTATTTAGTTCGGCATAATAAAAGTCTACGGTGAATGCAAAAAAGAAAGGTAGAAGCGACGTTCTAATGCCCTACACTTCATTTATTATAATAATAATTATTATTATTATCATATCATCATCATCATTATTATCATTATATCTTGCCAAAGTCAGATCGCATCTTCGTCTGGATAAAGTACGTCTAGTTTATTTCATAATTTATTTACAAAAAGTCTTAGTAAATTACACTTACAGGCATCTCCACTCGAACTAAAGTAAATAATTTAAGAACTACATGTATTTAGATATCTATAGAGTAGGATACTTTGGGGTCGGGGAGAAGCTGGGACCAGGGAAAGTGTTCTGTTTAACTTATCTCGATAAGTTCTAATAGTCTCCGCGAGAATTCGAAATCGAGTGTCGTTTAAACGGTTACACGTCGTGTGTGAAAACTAAATTTATAACCCCCCCATTCTCTGTCCGTCCTATATATGTATATATATGTGTGTGTGTGTGTGTGTGTGTGTGTGTGTGCATGCGTGCGCGCGTGTGTGTGGGTGTGTATGTGTGTGTATACATATACATTTCTTTCTCTTCCTTTTTTCTTTTTTCCCTCTCCTTAAATCCGTTCTCTATGAAATAAGGAAGTATATCAGTGGAAAGTGTGCGACGACGAATTCGAATGCGTTTCTTTTTTTCTTTTCTTCATTAACTGTTGCGCAGATGTTTGTCGTGATAGTGGGATTTTACATTAGATAAATGTATGTATGTATGGTATGTAAGAATCTTCAAAATATGTGCAAGCTGACAATCGGTATTTGTTAGTTTTACAATAACGTATGCGCGCTTTGAAAAAGCATAAAATCTTGGTTATAAATATATCCCATTAGAATCGTTTAATGGCACGATCGAGCTTAAATTTAAAAATCCTCTTCTTTTTTTTTATCCTTTTAATATATTCATTTCTACATTATCGCCCAGAGAACCCCGTTTCCATCTATTTTCTATAACGTCGGTTTTCCGTATCTTCCATATTGTTTTTCCTCTTCTTTTCTTTCTTCTTCCGCTTCTTTCTTTTCTTTCTTACTTCTCGTTATCACAACGGCGTTTAATCAAGTTTATAAATATGTTTAAGTCCAAAATGGGTTGCAGTTAGACATCGCTATTTTCGAATCTCTCTTTCCTTAGAAAGCTGTCGAAAAAAAAAGAAAAAAAAAGAAAAGAAAGAAAAAAAAAGAAAACAATTGAAACTGCGAAGTCTGTTTTATATGTCAAGTAATCGTTATTTTACTTAATTTCCGCAAGCTAGGTTGTGTATGTATGTGTGTGTGTGTGCGTGTGTATTATTTTTTTCTTTTCACAGACACTATCCCCACCCCTTTTTCTACCGGCACCCCCATCCTTCGTGCATACACACACATACACGTACGTACACACAACACACGCGCGCACGCATTCCCGTATTCTTCCTCTGCAAAGCCCTCTTTTACATTAGGGATACACACATATACACACACGCGCACATACACACACACCGTGTACGCACAAGGGTGCTGCAATGTACACGTCACACTCGCACCTGTCTCACACACGCACGCACGTATGCATTTCTTGCGGGCACGCGTAACGCAAAAACACGTGTATCTTCACGCTTTTGCATCTTCTCTCTCTCTCTCTCTCTCTCTCTCTCTCTCTCTCTCTCTCTCTCCTTGTAAAACTCAAATATATATGTATACATGTTACGGTGAAAGTACTTCATTTTGTGACTACATAATTTCTTTCGCACATCGATTGCTGCTGTATTCTTCATAATTGAAAGCTGCTAAACATTAAATATATTTAAATTTCCACTATGATGCCTCATTTCGCCATACAAGAATGTAACAAACGTATGCAACATCACTTATATATCGGTCCGCCATATAGATAATGAAAAAGAAATTAAACCAATTACTTTCATCGTAACTTACATACATACATACGTACATACATCTGTACGTACGTTCGTACGTACATACGTACATATATGCATACGCACACACCATACATATGTAGATCCACAAACAACCCTCAAATTCATACATCTATCAAACATGCATACACACATACGCATGCAATTCACACAGCCGCACACACACACGCACGTTCTCACACTCTCTTTCTCTCTTTTCTCACATGCCTTCCTCTTTTTTTCCATGCTTCTTTTTTCTCTCTTCCTTCCTTCCTTCCTCTCTCTCTCTCTCTCTCCCCCTCTTGCTCTCTTTCTCTCAAGCAGCGGCGTTATCACACGTCATATTATTTTTTTTTCTCTTCTAGCATTGTCTTTCTTCAGTTCTAGTTCTGCCTGTGCTTCTAAAGTCGAGACTTTTTACGGTCTTACGACCGCAAATGTATTTGCGCCACCGTAGCCGTAGCACAAAAATCGAATAAGATTCAATGGAAGTGTGTGTTATCTACAAAATATCTTAATTACTCGCTAATTACAGCACAAAACATGCAAATATAAAAATTTGCATTATATTATCGTTTAGTATTTATATATATTCGTCATCCGATATATCGTTCCACATCGCACCATTAGGGTTCGCCGACATACTTCTTGGTATATATATTATTATGCAGCTGACCGTTGTGTGTTTCTTGAAAGTCCATTTTTACGGCGTAATATGTATGTATGTATGCGTGTGTGTATTCGTATCTGTATATACGTTCGCGCGCGCGTGTGTGTACATGTTTGTGTGTATGTGTGTGTATCTGTGCGGGTACACTCGTGTGTACGGGCCTATTTGCGTTTCGCCTGTACCAACCTCCGTGTTTCTTCCCATGCGTGTGGTGTATGTACGTGTTTTTGTGTGTTGCGCGCGTGTGTATACGCGTATGTGTGTATGTACGCATGTCTACATGTGTATCTTTTTTTTTCTTTCATTAACTATGAAATATCTTACACTATCGATATTATTCATTTCACGAAGGGAAGGTATACCGATGGGCGGAGATTGCATCGGGTATACCTACACGCTCTAACACCGATAATTAAACTTTCTTACTTCTTGTTTAATCGATATAAAACTACAATTGCGCTGCCATGGCCTATTCAGCACTTTTGTTCCTTCACTCGTGCGCTGCATCGTCGCGCGTGTCTCTTGCCTGTCTCTCTCTCTTTTTTTCTTCCTTCTTTCCTTCCTTCTTTCCTTCCTCTCTCTCTCTCTTTCCGTCAAGTATCCTTCTCTTCTCACTAACTCTCTCATACACACACATTCTCTCTCTCTCTCTCCCACTTTCTCTCACCATCTTCCGCTTTCCCACATCGCCTTTTACACACTAGCAGTCAGTACACAGCGTATATTAGCATCACAACGACGCAGTCATCATATCATCGTCATTGTCGTCGCGCGTTCGCGTCTCGCTACTTATCGCCGTATCGTATCGTGTCTAAGCCGGCACCGTAAAACATCAACGCGTAGCGCGTCATCTTCATTGTGTGTCCCGACCGACAAGAGAGAGTTACGTGCCCCTCGAACACTGAAACAACACACGCGCGACTATCGCCGCGACCTGCTGATCCAGAATCTGACTCATCACTAGGGCGAGCAGACGGGACTCGTGTTGCAGCAGCAGAGTCCGGTTGTCCGGATGCCTGGCGAGATTGAGCAGCGTGCCGGCGGCGCGCCGCAGCATGTCCAGACTGGTGCCCATCGATTCCGGATTGTCGCGCAGCGCCGCTAGGCCGAGCTGATTCGCGACGCCGAGGGCGCTCGACTCGGCCTGCTCGATGAACGCTACGAGCAAGGCGACGCAAGGCGTCTGCAGGGCGATGGTGCGCGCTACGCCGCTGTCCGCCGCCGAAAGGAAGTGCAGCAGGTTGACGCCGAATTCGCGCAGCACCTGCTCCTCGCTGCGGCAGAGCAGCCTGGTCAGCACGGAGCACAGTCTCTGTAGTCGGGAGTAGGGCGGGGTCGCCACCACCAGGTCGACGTTGCACTCGGTCACGCATAGTTTGCACAGCGCCTCGAGCGCGAGTCTCTGCGGCGACAACGAGGAGTTGGGGCCGACCGTCGGGAAGGGATCCTGGCCGTGCGCCGCCGGGCAGACGGCCCAGTGCAGGAGCCCGTCGAGGACAGGTCGCGAGATCTCCTCCGGGTGTTGACTCAGGTCCATGTGGCCGGATATGTTGGCGGCCATCACCAGGACATTCTCTCTCACGTGGTGCAGAAAGTCCCACCACCATTCCCCCTCGCCCTGCAGACTGCTGCACGAGTCCGCGAAGTCGGCGTCCTCCTCGCGATCGTAGTTGCGCGTCTTCTGCGCCCTGACCGGGTGCTCGTGATGCAGCAGCAGCAACTTGCCAAGCAGGCTGAGGAACGTTACGTTCTTGGCGAACTCGGCCTCGTTGCCCGGGATGAAAGTGAGATTCCTCAGAATCGTCGACAGGCACACGCAACGGCGGGCCAGATTGTCCTGCGTCTCCGTCACCAGGTAGAGGCTCGCCTCGTCCCTGGAGTAGCTCTCGTCCTCGTAGTCGCTTATCCGCCGTCGCTTCAGGGTCCCGGCCGGATCTCTTATCTTTAATCTTGGTCCCTCCTTGTCGTCCCTCGTCGACATCTCGTGCTCTTCGCTCAGGTCCGTCTTCACCTCAATCTTGTCCATATCGACGACGACGTTGCTCGTCGTCGTCACCGACGCTGCCATCACCGCCGAGTCGTTCAGTCCGTTCTGCGTCGGCAGCGAGTCCTCGTCGTTCTTGGACGAGTCGCCGAAGTGCTCGCCCATGTTATTGTTCGCCTTGGTCTCGTTGTCGCATTCCTTCTTGAAGCCGTCGTTCTTCTTCTCGAACAGCTCCCTCGTGAGATCGTTCATCTCCATGGGTTCCTTCTTGATCCTCGACAGCACGTCGCTCAAGGTCTTGGTCTTCTTCTTCTTGTCCAGCTGCTTGCGCTCGCCGCTCTCCTTGCTCGGCTTGTCGCCGAGCTCGCCGGACTTGTGGGTGAAATCGACCGTTTCGAGGACGCCGACGTCCGCTTTGGCTTCGTCCTTGGAGTCCGTGCTTTCGACCTCCTTCTGCAGCAACGGCGGCTTCTCGTCTCTCAGGAGCCGGGCGAAAGGCACCGTGCCCACCTCCGACTGAAAACACGTCACGATGTACTTGGTAGCGTTCGCGTCCACCTGCCACGGCTCGGTCTCCGATTCGCACTCTTGGTGATCCCAAGGCCTCCTGCTGTCCAAAACGAACAGGTCGTCGTCCCTGGGCACGATCTTCACCGGGCGGCCTCTCCTCGAGAGAAACGTGTAGTTCGATGTCGACAGGAGCTTCGTCCGGTCCTCGGGATCGATCGGGCGCGTCACCGCGCCGAGGTCCACTTCCGGCCCGTCCGTCGCTTGGTTCCAGTAGCGATCGTCGTCGCTCACGGACGACTCGAACATGTCGGTGAGCGCGCGCGAGAAGTGTTCCAGCAAAACGTCCAGCAATCCGGGTAGATGCGCCAGTCCGAAATAACTTACCTGTGAAGCGGAATCGAGTGAGAATCTAACATTCGTCGGAGAATCGTCGTAGCAAGCCGGGGGGATACTTACGGAAGAATCGTCGAATAACAAAATGTTTAGTACGTCAAGGGCCCAGCAACTCTCGGCGAGGAGACCCGATCGTAAGGACATCATCAGACGCCAAGCCTCGATCGGTGTTACGTCAGCGCGCGTCAGTTTTCGTCGCTTGTACAAAAGAGGCGTGATCGCTTCTACGCTGTCAGGAGGGAATGTCATTTCTCTCTTTGACGTTGGTTGCTGACTGATCATGGGATTCACACCGAGCTGATTCTGTGCAAAGCATCAGTATACATCTCATTAATTTGTGACGACTATGGGAGGATGTCGTCGGACGGATAACGATTACGATCGAGTTAACGTTAAATCAACATTATTAACGTAAGCAGTAAGGCGGATAATAGCGTTAAGTTAGTACCTGATGATTTCCCGGCGTTGGGTACAAAGGGGACGGTTGATTCGTGTAACGATGATCCCACGGCGGTGGTGGTGCGTGCGCTATAGCATTCAGAGATGGTTGAGTCGAAGACCTGTTCGACTGTTGGCTGGCCCACTGTTGACTACTGGACATACCCCCGACTGCTGCAGCGGATGGTGCGGCAGCGACAACCTGGGACGCTTGCTGCTGCTGCTGCTGCTGTTGTTGCGGCGATGGTGATTGCGTTTGCTGGCTCGGGTATTGAACCCTATTGTTTCCACTATTACTATTGTACTGATTGGTAGTATTTGGCCATCCTGCTGGAACAAATTTCTCCGGATCAATAATGATCGTCGTCGGATCCTGTTTGACGTCGGGAATTCCCAGCGTCTTGTGACGCAACGCGCAATTTCTCCATCAGCATCATAAATAGTCCCGCGGATACTTACCTGGATACGCTGGTCGTTGTTGATTATACTGAGGATACTGTTGGTCTTTGGCAAAGTCTGGGTGACGTCTAGGTTGGCTGGGACCCGGAGGCGGCGGCGGCATATTCTTGTTGGCCGCTCCGCTTGCGGTGTATATTTGAGTTCCACCAGGCGCCCCGTACCCACTCTGCAATATTCATAGACGTTTTAAGTAAAAGAAAAAACTGCCATGCTTACGATGCTTCATAGAAAGAGAGAGAATTTTTCAGATCAAGTTCCCTACGATGCAAGAGGGTACCCTTATGTTTTCCAAGAGATGGCTTTGCCAACTTTTCAATCATTTTTATATTATTTTTACACATTTGCAGCATACTCTAAATATATATAAATATATATACCTGATATAGAAGGTACACTTTAATTATTGTTACTTGGTACAAGATAGATAAATTATTACTGTAACAATTACCTGTTCCTGTCGATAGTAATCTTGCGGACAGGAGTATGACGACGCAGCTGGCGGCTGCGAGGGCGAGGAAGGTTGGCTGGTTGCCGTTTGCTGTTGCACGGTGGCCGGGTGAGCTTGTGGTCCCGACGGGTAGCTGTTGCTCCGCGCAGTGGGTGGCGTTCCCGTGGGATAGCTGGCGGGCTGCTGGTTGCCCGTATACCTGTTGTATATATCCTGTCCGGTAGCGTTATTCGGCGGCATATTACCACCGGGATATCCCCTGCGAGAAGATAATTAGCATGAGCAATTCGTGTAGTCTGTGAAATGAGAGAGGTATCGAGGTGCCTCTCTATGAAGGCAACGTTTGTTTTTTTTTTACCTGTCGACGTCTGGTACATATGGAGGATAATGCGACCTAGGCGAGTACGGCTGATTGAATTCGCCCTGCTGAGACAGCGCGTTTGCCTGCGGCCGAATGTACTGATCTTGCGGGTAGTTCTGGTAAGAGCCCGTGTTCTGGTAACTGCCTTGTTGTATTCCTTAAAAAACATACACAAAATATTTCATAAGTCTGTTTAAATTGGCGGCCGAGTCGGTTGCCGCGGCTTTTATGGATTTGTTTCCGACGTGAACACTTCGATTCACTTCTTCGGGGAGAGAAACAACCTGAAATGTGGGATTACAAGTAGAGATGGCGGTACAGTAAAAAAATATCGATATTTTGATACGTATCATAAATAAAAATATCGATCGACTAAAAAGCATTGGTCTAATACAATCTCATATTTTTGGCGTATCAATATTTTTATTTACGATACGTATCGAAATGTCGATATTTTTTACTGTATCGCTCATTCCTAATTCTGAGTCTTTCATAGAAGATTCTCAACGATCTTGCTAGATTAAGCATGTTAATGAACATGAAAATGCGAACAACACCGGTGACGCAAAAGCGATTCTCGATAATGCGAAGCGCGATTAAGTAAACCGAATCATGAATAACTAGTAATCTAGTGTCAAGGTGTGTGAATTGTGCCGACGTACCTTGATGAGCCGATGGTGCGCTACTCTGACTGGGTGGCCTAGGTGGTGGCGGTGTGTATTCCGATGACGGACCACCCGGTGTACCACCTGCGTAACTGCTCTGATAACTTCCATAACCGTCCATAGATGTGTTGCTCGAACCGGCGGCGGGAAAGGAATCTTGAGAATTGGAAGAACCTACAAGAGGAAGGCGTTTTTAGTTTGATCGAATGTCCCCCGATGCAAGTTGATTCATATAGAAGACGTTTCGTATCATGAAAAACAACGAAAATGGTCCAGACGCTCAAAATGCATGCAACATCTTGAATATGTAAATTACGAAATTTCACGCGGGTTTAAAACGGTTTAAGCACTTCTTTTCTTGTGAGGTTTCGCAGATGTGTCTTTACCCGGTGATGGTACGGAAGCAGTTCCCTTGGATCCCTTCTTCTTCGAACCCGCCTCGACTTGATTGATGATAGGCTGCGGATCCACGCCACCACGATCGAAGTGGCACTCGAACGCCAACAGATGCTTCGTGTAATGTTTACGCAGGGTGTAAGCGGCGCTGCTGCTTGCACCGATGCCCAGCAGACCGGCGATGTCTTTCCAGGTTTTGTTTTTCGTGACCTAAAGGAGGAAACTCACTTTCTTCATTATGCTCGCGCCAAGTGGCGACTTCAACGTCGAATTTCACACACAGATAAAAATAAATCTGCATGTCCAAAAGAGAAAAGAAAACGCAGAACGTAAAAAAGACGTAAGGCATCGGCCGGCGCTTTGGCGCGAGATACCACTCTCAGAAAATGATATTTCGGCACGGAATGGCGAAACCTCTAAACGCATGCAAGTATACGAAAAAAAAAAAGGAAAAAAAAAGAAGAAGAACAAAAACGTACGAGTGAGATATACAGAGAACAATCGGAACGAATTACCGTTATTACATTTCGACACATTAAAAGTTTATTCTTCAGTTGTGACTATTAGAATAATTCCATATAGCACCAAGGTTTGTAGGTCAGGATGTTTCCATACTCGTTGAACGACTACTTTAAGAAAAGACATGTTAAGCTCTTCCCTTCTTTTTCATGTTTTGCACAGTATACGAGAAAGGGAATACTAGTATAGCACAAAAGTAATACGATGTGTATATATATATGTATATATAACTATATGTACCATGCACAAAATTCAGCATAGAAAAATTCAGCAAGTAAAATAAAGCGTGTTTTGAAGTGTGTCGGACATATTGTCGATCGAAGGAGTCTCATCATACTCGACGTGAACTTCAAGAAACACTTGCAAAGAATTCTTATGTATCGTCGAGTTACCCCGAGTTTTGTCAACGACAGAGTGATCGACAAAGGACACCTCAAAAATGTGTAAAGCCGTATAAAGAATGCAAAAAACACATACAACAATATTGAAACAATAGAACTACGTAAGACACCGAGGGCTAGATGGAACTACACTGCACCTTGCATACCTCCATGAAGCCCCCCCTCTCCTTCACGTAGATGTATAGCCGAAATAGATCGAGGGGGTTCTTGGAGATGGTGGGACAGCTGGTGATTGGTGTTCTTCGCTCGTCCATGAAAGTGACCAATTTGTCCAGCCAGGTTCTTCGTTCCATCGAGTCGTCCATTTCGTATAACTTTGCCAGGCTATCTGGCTTCTGAAAATTGCATAATTACAGGCTGCTTAATTACACGGTAACACGTCGCATCTGCAACTTCATCAATATACGGATTCGATAAGAATGTCGCGTATATATCATCGGAACTAAAACATATTAGAACATAGAACGATTACCGATTGTGAAGCTGCGAACGTGATCGCGATGTTCGTAGAACTATATCTAACATGCATAAAAACACTGTTCTGTTTGATACTTATATAATGTACATTTTTTCCCACTTATTTCAAACGTTTTAATTGGCACCAGCCGCTAATCTGTCCTTCGTATTACCATTAGTGAGATGTGTGTATTTACACCAGGTAAATCCGCAGATCATAAAATTCAATCGTTATTCCTAGATGATACAATATTCCTTCCCCCTTCAAAGCGCGGCTCACAAAGAGGTTTTCACTTAACAAATGTAATATTAACTAGAGGATATAATGGGTGACAGCGCGATGCTTAGCACGCAGCCTAGTAAATTGGATACATGCTGATGATGAGTAAATTAATGTTCTGCTGTTAAGCAAATAATGGAGAAAATTAGTAGTAACACAAAATGGGAATTAAAATTCGTAAGAGGTATCGTAAGTGCGAGAAATATTTCAACACGATGTACGCATATTGTTTCAGTGAATCACGTTTATATTATATGTTGCACTGTCACAGCTTTTATATCACCAGTGTTTTGTATTATTTTTATCACGTCACATTGCTTATTGCATTGCGCATCATATCTCTCTCATAATCAAGAAGTAAATTTGGAAATTAAAAATACAAAAGTAAATTAAATGGCCAAGTATTTAACTCGTATTGACATTGTCACAACATTGTTCAGTCTAAAATATTAAACATCAATCAATGACAAACTGCAAGACATCACCGTACCAATTAGAAAAAGAGTACAAGGAACAATGTATCGAAAATTATGTAGTTTCAGAGCTATTCGTAACTTTCATAGACGTGACATTATGAACTCGATCGGATTAATATGATTATGCGTGTGTGCCAAGAAAAAAAAATAGAGGTTAGTACAGGGGTAAAAGCCTAAAGCGTGGAGTGCAGGGGGGGGGGAGGGGATTAGCACTTTGACGATATAGCAAATATTTGTAGTGAAAAAACAATAACCTTAGATCTGTACGGGTCTTGAGGCACATGACTGTTAAACACCTGTAAAATATTAAAATATTGAAGATTCAAACGATCATGGCGTAACTTGATATTTGAGCTACTCGGTTGACTGTTTTAACTTGAGTACATCGGAATAATATATCAATATCATGTGATACTGCTGGCAAACGCGCGCATATTTATGTGTGTCATGTACGTGTAGCCCTCTACTGATGTGTACAGCAATCTAAAAGTTGAAGCTGAGCTACGTACGGGACTAGCAGGAGTACGTGGCCAACCAGGACTGTTCATGTCGGAATATTCCTCGTGGATTGAATTAATGCTAGCAGCACCAGGAGACGGGACTGTACTCTGCGGTGTCGCGGGATGGCTGTGATATCCTCCCATCATTTCTTTCCGAACTTTTGGCGTAAATGCTGGATCTTCACCAGAAGCTGAAGAAGAACATACATTCGGTTACGATGAATTGTGCTCGTGCACGATTTCAAGAACGAGCTTTATCGCACTGATATCAACACATTCGCGAACGCTGACGTAACACCGCGGTTCTTCCACTGCGTCAGCGGCCGCGGACATGTTAACACGTTCGCTATTACGGTTCATCGGATTACTTCCCCCAAGATCGGATATTTTCCTTTACATATACAATTGTGTAAAACAGCTCAACTTATGTGGATGTAGAAGGAAAAACTTCTCAGACTCGTGAGAGAGACACATGTGATGCGCACACGTACACGAATGCGAGAGAAGCTGTACTAACCGGCTGATGCATTAGACAACGTTGACTGTTGTGAGCCTTCATCCAGAGACGTGCCGTCTGGACCTGTCGTTATTACAGACGTGACAGTACCGCTTGAAGTAGATATGACATTTATAGCTGACGTACCTACGCACGAGACAATTTCAATTTCGTTATTCGTTCGCACAAGAGGACGATATTGACGTTGAGATCTGAAGGTATTCGCGTATACCTGAAGCGGTGGTAGTAATGCCACTGTCGTTGGAAGTCTCAGCCGTGAGATCTGCGGAATTGTGGCTGGTTGGCGTCGGTGCCGAAGCGGGATGCGAGTTTGGTGTAGTGCTCGGCGGCGGCATCGGACTGCCCTCGTGATTGAGAGGCGGTGTGGCCGCCGGGGTATGCAAGTGAGGTACCGCTGAACTGGTGGGTGGTGGTTGGTTGCTTATGTGATTGGGAGACGGCGGCGGTGGGCCCATGGAGCTCGCCGGCGGCCCCATGTTACCGATAACCGGCACCCCGGGAGCGCCCGGCGGCACCATACCGGCCGTACCGGTGGCGCCGTAAACCTGCGGTGGTCCCGGACTCGGCGGCATCCCTGGCGGCACGCTGTTGAATCCCATTTTATGCTGAAAGGCAGAACGGTGGGTAACGTTAAGCGCGTCGTCCGTCAACCTCGGCTCGGCGGAGATACCGGAATGAACATCACATTTGAATGCCGCTAATATAATTGAGATCGGCAATTACCGTGTACGGTGGATATTGTACTAAATTGTTGGGTCTGTTGGGAGGCTGATACTGATTGTTGGGTGGTGGTTGCGAGTTCGCCGGTGTCGGATATCCTTGCGTGAACTGCATGTGAGGACGCGGAGGCGGATATGTGGACTGGGCGTGATAACCCCCAGGTTGACCGCTACCGGTCCCACCGGCCGCATATCCCATCCCGCCACCCATTGGGCTGATCCCGCCGAGACTCGTCGAGCCGGGTCCTGGTTGCACCACGCCAGGACCGCTGCTGTTCATTTTGTAGCTGTGCATGTGCGGTGACGGACCCAATGGCTGCTGGTAGGCTCCTGTGGAAACGACGAGCGTTTTATTTCTTGCAATCTTCGACGTAAGTTACACAAGGATAAACAACGAGAGCGCAGGAATGAATGTGTACCTTGAGTGGTCATAGGAGAGTGACTCATGCGTGCTGGTCCACTACCATCCGACTGGCTACTCGACGGACGAGGAGGCATCTGAACGTTTTGTTGGCCTGCACATTCGGAAACAAATTTTTAGAGACACGCTCAAATGACGATAAAGAGATAGAAAGAGAGAGAGAGAGAGAGAGAGAGAGAGAGAGAGAGAGAGAGAGAGAAAGTGACAGACCAAGTCTTATACACAACACACACAGATTACACATTTAAATGTCACTGTTACGAACGCCAATAGTTTTTACGTAGACACATTTAAGTATAATATGCAGAATATCCCAGATCTACTAAGCTCTATTAATCTGACAGATCGATTCCAAATTCATCAAAAGGCATATGTTACCAAGACAGTATCTCTGTAACTCTGGGACATCCCGCATAACCCAATCTGCAATTACAACGTTTCGTTACTAAGTACAAATGCGAGTGAAAAAAAGAGACAGACGTAAAAAAGACCGACCAACAGCAGGGGACATCGAGCGAGAACCTGTGGATCCTGTAGGTGACGGGGTGGGTCTCATCCCCTGAGAATTCGGTGTCCCTGGACAAGCTGGTCCATTCGAACTGTCGTTACTATTCTGTCCTGATAACTCCTGCAACACAAATCAAATCATACGGATGACACTTTGCACTAGGAGAGCCTGTTCATCGCGAAACAGGGGGAGAAATAACATTCAAGAGTGCGGCAGCTCTCAACACAGACAATTGCTCAATTCCGGGTTTGCGACTGTGTATCGCCGTTAAGACATCGCCAAGACATTACGATGAGATAAAACTCGAATAACGAACGAAGGTGTAAATGTTTACAGGCCGTACTGAGCAGCGGGCGTGCTTACATTTTACAGGCATAACTTTTACACGAGCGCTTCAGACTCGTGCATCGCACTGTATCAATGCTACGACCGTCGGTCGCAGTGTTTTGAACTAGGTCACAGTTTCTCTCAGGTGGAGGTTCAGTCAGGGAGCAGCGACGACGACACAGTCCGCGATCAAAACACGAGACTCGGGCACACTCGGCGGACAAACGGTTGCGACCCGCGCACAGTGGTCGGCGATGAAAATCCGCAAAAGGATCCACGAGATAGAATCCACTTCGTTCCTCCGATCACTACTGGCGTTTCATCGGGCGCGCGCGAAGACCTCTGAGCGAGGAACAGTGCGAGTGTTCATTGTTACACTGGTTGCAGCAACAGCACGGGCCGATTGTTAGCGCGATGAGCGTCGCCTTCGTGGCCCACCACGACGACGGGCGGACGGGCGTGCTCGGCGTTCGACGGAACGGGGATTCACAATCGCGTGTTTCTTGCTTCTCAAAAATCAATCGACGCCGATACGACGACGACGGCCGTTCGGTGTGAGTCCACCATCAGCAGCAGCAAGAGTAGCAGCAGCGGTGTCGCCCATATTATTCGAGTCTGGCGCGCGCGACGGTTAATATCCACCAAGTTTTTTTTTCTAGAATGTCACACAATCTTGTATTGCCTGCGAGCGAGGGAGAAGGCGAAACGTCGTCGTCGCTGCCGTTGTCGTCATCGTCGTGGCCGCCGCCGCCGTCGTCGTCGTCGCGATGACGGCACGCGGCGTCGTTCCACTCGTTCGTCAGTCAGTTCGCGAAACACACAACACCGCGTTGTATCTCCGGTCGAAATCGCGTATGCATGTGCCCGCGTGTATACGCACTTCGTACGGGTTGTCCGTCACAACGATGCATCGCAACGAGCGGCTGCTCTCCGCCTGTGTGCCTCCATGTATGATATATACGCGTCCGTGTAAATGCGCGTTGTGTTCGCACCTGTGTATGTGTGTGTGCGTGCATATGTGTTTCAGGAGGAGGGGAGTAGAGGGAGGAAGAAAGAGAGCGGAACAGAGACGAGGATAGGAGGTATAGGACTAGAGAGAGAAAGAGAGAGAGAGAGAGAGAGAGAGAGGTCAGGATAAGGGTAGAGAACGAGAGAGAAAGAGAGAGAGAACGGAAGAGGGGGGAGAAGAGCAAGAGAGAGAAAGTGGGGATTAGACGAGAGCGAGTGAGACGGCGGCAGAGGAAGAGAGACGGAGAGAGAGCGAGTGAGGCCGAGAGGAACGAAAGAAAATTCAGGCACATCATTACACCTACCAGGCCGCGTATAGTTGGTCCGTGCGGATGGCGATTAAACACTTCCTCGGGCGTACGAGCGATCGTACGGTACATAAGCAGCGCGGCACAAGGACTCTCGGCATGACGCGGAGATCGAAGGAGAGGCGTTACCCGGCTCTCCACGGCTAAAGCACGACGAGCAGCAGCAGCAGCGACGAGAGAGAGAGAGAGTGTGAGAGAGAGCAAGAGAGCGCGAAAGAGCGATATAGATAGAGCAAAAGAGAGACAGAGAGAGAAACGACAGAGGAAGAGAAGCGTAATTGCTCCTGTAGTTGCGCGCTTTCACATGTTTGTCCAACTATGCGAAGTAACTCGAAGAGCAACGGGGAAAAAAGAGAGAAAGAGACAGGAGCGGAAGGAGGAAGAAGAAGAGCGAAAAGAGTTTCGAATCTCGGTAGTCTTTCGCCGCGAACCAGAAGTTAATCGGGCCAGTGCCGCTGGCGTACCGGTCAAACGCGGGCATTAGATTCCTGTTCTCTCGGCCGTTGTATTCCGCATGTGTGTTCGTCGACGTTGTGGTCGGGCGCGCTCTACTCCGCCGTCGTTTCGCCGTCGTGCGCGTGCCTTCTCGCTCTCCTCGAGCGTCGCATGTTGTGTCAATAAGTCTGCCTAAGAGCTCCGTGTCACGGGACGAGGTCTATCGCGACTTCAGAGGGCACGTAGGATTACGTAGTAATATTTCTCTCTCTCTCCCTCGCGCGCGCGCGCGCCAATCCCCGTGTCGTTCGTTCGTTCGTGGTGACGATCTCGCCTGTTTGTCTCTGTTTGCTGTGTGAGTGAACGAGCGAGTGAGAGCGTGCGTGCGTGCGTGCGTAGCGAGCGATCGACGCGCGCGCGCATCAAGCAGGTTATATTATCCTTGCTCGGGGTCGCGATGAAGAGTAATGCAACCTGCGCGTACGTGGCCGTACCGCGTCGCGCAAACGGCAAAACGTGATTCTTTTATCGGGGTCGTTTTCGTCGTGAGACGTTCGCCTCTACGCGGATTTCGCGTCTAGCTGGCTGGCTCGCCTCGTCGCTTGTTGCGATTGAAGGGCGTTCTTTCGTGGCGCGGCAAGCGTTCGGCGACGCTCGGCCGTTTTCGCCGAGCCTCGAGGACCGTATACCAGCGGTAATATCCCCGAGAGTGCCGAGGAGGAATCGTCCTGAAAAAGCTCTCTCTGTGTCTCGGGGACTTCGTCGGCGAGAAGCTGGTGGCGTGCTCTGTCGCGATCTGGCTGCTCGTTTCTCGATCTATCTATTTTCATTCATTCATTCGTTCGGTCATTCGTTTGCGCTTCTGTTCGGTGCGTGTCTCTCGGCGGGAAACGCTCGGATCTCTCTCTCTCTCTCTTGGTCCGTCTCGCGAGTATCGCGCGCTTCCAAAGGTGCTCCAAAAAATGTCACGTTGTGAAGTCGGTCGGATGGTCGCTTCTTCTCGCGTCTATCGCAACCCATTGAACATACGGCACATAGATCGCCCTGTGTGAACTCCACATGCTCTCACACATGCACGCGACGCCCGTGGCGCAGCGAGCGGTCGGCGAGCGTCGTGCGACTTCGGCTCTTTTCGATCGGCGAATTCGCGTGCCCCAGTAAAGCCTGGCCGCGCCGAGACTTGCGTCTATATGCGATCTCTCGCTGTGTCCTATGCATTAAAATATGCATTTCTCTCTTTCTTTCTCTCCATCACAATAGAGTCCTCGTCTCATTATAGGTCTCCCGTACCCAAGCAATCAATTAACAAAGAGAAAAAAAAGACGGAAAATATACGCGTGTCACTCAAGTAGGAACGCCGACCGCGATTCTCGATGAACAAAATGGGGCGATTTCGTCATCTAATAATATCCGCTTCTATAAATAATGAATTTTAGCGAGGAAGTACTCTCCCTGGCTCATATTTATACACTTGCAAATGTGACTGTCCGACTGTCACATCCCCGGATAAAATTGCATATGACGGATAATGGCGCGGGATCGGACGTTCGACGCTGAAGCTGTGACGCGAATAATAATCCTCTATCTTTGTTCATCGACGGGCGAAAAGCGAAAGCTCGCTCGCTCGCTTCGCTTTCAGCTTCGCGTTCGATTCCACGGCGATTCTCCCTCCCTCACTCCCGGCCCGGGGGATGGGATTAAGCGCGCGATCGCTAAGCGCTTTCGGCTCGGTCACTCTGTCCGACCACCGAGGTTTGACTCTTGAACGCCTATTTGCATTCAAACACGAGTCCCGAATCCGGGGGAGTCGTTTACGAAAAGTCATGCTCGCATCAACCCGGCGATCGTGTGAATCAGGAACGTCGTTGTTTTGATTCATACGAGCCCATTGTCAAGGAGGAGTCGGGGCACCGTAGTATTTGTGTGTTATCGGGCGACCGATGTTAATCCGTTCGATACACGCGTTCAACTTCACGAGATATACCCGGTGAGTGCACGACCGGGGGAGGAAGGGGGAGGGGGGTCCGATCGGTATCTCTCGAGCTGGTCAAACACGACGGAGAGATGCGCGTGAATGAAAACGTAAATAATGCAAGAGCGAGAGAGAGAGAGAGAGCGAGGAAGAGCACGAAAGAGTGAGTGCACCGAGTGTATGTATACGCGATAAATATATGCAGGCATATGCACGCGGTGTTCCCGCGAGCGTTCCTTACGTAATATTATATTTATCTGTCGGTCGCGGCGTAATGTTATTATCCCGCCGACTGCGATTCGTGACAACAACTGAATACGAGGTTCATTCAACTTCGGGGGATTTGTTAAGTACGAGCGAGCGAGCGAGTGAGCGAGAGAGATGAAGGGGGAGGGGGAGAAAGAAAATTATAGCGCTTGATGATCGACAGCGAGGTAATTTTGTTGAGTTCAGTACTCGAGAGAGAGAGAGAGAGAGAGAGAGCAGAGCACGCGAAAATAATTGTCGTGGCGTTGTATTCTTCGCGCGCGCGCGCGTCACTGTTACGGCAGTCTCGATAGCCCGGTGTATCGTTGCTTTCGTCCGCAGTGAGATCACCTGTAGCAGACTAAATACCATGTGTTCCCATCAGCCGTGTTTACATTGGATCGTCTGCTACTGCGGTTAGTTTCTCTCTCTGCGCAGAGCGCGCGCGGGGCCATCAGTCGCGCGGATCGTGCTCGCTTGAACCCGACTGCCGATGTATCGACGTTTATTGACTGTATATATACCGTACACGTACCGTGGCGGCGCGTAAGGTCCCTTTAACCGTCGCTCCATGCCGTTCGAGAATATTCCGCGGTTTACTAGAGTACAGGAAACTCCTGGCTTAACTCTCAACGAGTCGCTTCTGCGCCAAAATAAAAAGAAAACAAAGGGCTATTCTCTCCGTTTCTATCGTCGCGAAAAATATAAAGAAAATCTTAGGTTTTTCCTCCTTTTTCAAAAAGAGAGAGAGACACGAGAATATACTACAAACTTCTTTTCACCTCGCTCTGTTTCATAATCGACATTGACCGACGCTCGCGAAAATGCCTGGAAAAAGAAAGAGGGGAGGGGGGGGAGAGAGAGAAGCAAACGTCGATCGTATTATACACGGTGTCTCGGTAGATTGATTTCTCTCGCGGTCGCGGAATAGATCCGGCGACCTCGTTGTTTCGCAACGCCGTAGATCGGAGTCGCCGTGGTAACATGGCGGGTACTCGCTCGCGGCGGCGGCATCGAGAGCGCATGTATTACGCGAACGATTCGTGCGGTTAACTTAAAGATCGCGAACACTCCGCCGCCCGGTGGCCGAGCCGACGTTCGCCCGCTCGATCCCACGATATCCTATTTCCCTTCGGGCATCGCGCATCTCGCGGCGGGATATTATCTCGAGGAGTGTATCGCGGCCGGAGGACCGGCCGACCGACCGCTCGATGCCGCTGTGACGACGACGTCCGGAGTTTCCGTCCGCGGTAATCCTGCAATAATCCGCCGCTGGGAGCCACGCGCGCTCGCCCGCTTCGTTCCACGAAGAGAATATCCGTCGCGCGCAAGAGTAGATTTCGATCGCGCGTTTCGACGACGCCTCGGAGCCACGCCGTCGTCGTCGTGGGAGCGCAAGAAGTTCGATAGCGTGTCGCAGAGTGACAGTCGCATGATCCGGCGAACCGAATATAGCCGAGCGCGGAACACAAAACGTCACGTCGCGCTCGGAAGTGGGGAGGGGGGGGGGGCGCCGCCGCCGTCGTTGGCAGTGACCAATCGCGCTCTCCCGCTCGGCCTGCTCCGTCGCGCGTTATCCGCGCGCGCTCGCCGCTCTCGGCTTCTTTCGTTTACCTACCCATGTAAACGCGGCCGGAGTGGGGATGAAACCGGGCGCGCGCGCGCGCTACACGCGGCGGGGAAACAGCGGGGAAGTCGCTAATATCTGGGGCTCCGGCGGCCGCGCAACTCGCGCCCTAATCGAACTCTACGAGCCGAGCGTACTCTCCATCCCCACCGCCGTCGTCGTTGTGTCCGCGCGCGCTCTCCTCCCTCTCTCCTCCTCGCTCTTTCGCCCTTACTCATCCTCCCCTTCCTCCTCCTCTTCCACCACTTCCCTAGTCGCCGAACTCCTTGCGCTCTTCACGAGAGGCCTCCCTTTCGCTCACTCTCGCTTGCTCTTTTCGTCGGGAAAGTGCTTGACCGAGCACTAAGATCATGCCGAAGACCGAACGGCACTCCGTGAGACGGAGAATTCGCCGTTCGGCCGAGCCGTCGCTCAATCCCGTCGCGCGGAAGGCCGCCGAGTGGTCGGCTTCGTCCTCGCTGACTGGATGATGAGGATGATGATGCTCTCGCACGCACGTGCGGCCTCTCAAATTCAGGCACAACTCGGCCGGTGTGTCGGTACACATCGTGTCGCTTTCGCGACACGGGAGAAAAGAATAGGCTCGGAGTTATATGTGAATGCTTTACGACAATGTTCCTGTCACGGCTGGGATTATGCAATCGCGTGCAAAAACTTGTTTGCTACGTTCCCGATGCTTTAAACGCTTTTTTTTTCTTCGCGCGCATTCGCCTCAGCCGTCGTCTTAGGGGAGAGAGAGAGCAGATCTAGATGCGATGTCGATGTACTGAATCTTTCTTTTTTCAGCCGTGGTTAGGTTAAATCTATTTCAAATACGTGTGGCGGAAACTCACCCCAGAATCGATCCCTTGAGTATTTGGTGTTGTCGCTCGCTGTTGCAGATTGTGGAAAGCCTGAAAGGAGAGATGAATTTTGTCAATAGTCCGACTTCACATCAAGGAAATACTCTACGCGTACACATACATTTGTGAATTATTCCTAAATTACATATACTTTTATCGTATGTTTCAATTACGAGTGATATGTTCTTGAAAATATCTGCGAACACCATTGGTTCTGTCGCGTGTGTACATATCGTTCCGCAATGTTCAAATACTCAGGCAAGTTAAACTCCGTAGAATTCAATGTGTCACATCGTGAATTCGTGAAGATAAAAGACGAAGATGAAAAATTCCTCTTTATAACTTATTTATACACTTAAATGATCCGTTATATACATATATTTCGTATATTCTCGCAATCTATTTATATATCTAATTCACATCTATTAAAAGTACTCTTGATATCAACATATTGTCACTCTTAAAAAAAGAGCAATGTCTCAGGCCAATCACGCAATTACTACCAACTATTCTATCTAATGTCTCCTTGAAAAGACCATATTAATTACTTTATGTCTCTTTCGCAGTAAGATTGTGTTTTAACACACCGAGTAAAGATATTGAAATACATTTATGTTGCTAAGTGGATTCTTCCATGGTAACATGAGTAAATGATTGTTTCTAAAAACGTTAACACACCCCAGCGGTATTAGAAACTATCAGCAGCTAGTAACTGCGTCGGTTTTCCACCGATACTCACTTGGGACTGGCTAGTAACCTGCGGCTGCGGTGATGCAGCAGGTGGTGGAGCCGGTGATTGAGACAAAGCACGCTGCGGTGACTGACCCGATGGAGTAACTTGATTACTCGGTGGTGGTGGTGGATTTGGCGGACCGCCTTGATTCCACCCCCTTTGTTCTGTGTATAAGCTTGATGGATGACTGGTTTGCGTCGTATAAGAGTTTAGCTAAAAAGATATAAGTAAACATCTCTTAGTAACGCCAGAGATCTAATCGAGTTAGTTCCCTCTAATTGACCGGCGCGAATTCAAGCTACGGATTGAAATTGGAAAGTAAATCTGTTTACCTGATGGTGACTATACGGTGCATGAGGTCTTGCAGGGGAGGAATATCGTTGGGTATATTGTTGATATTGCATGGGTGTCGGAGAACTCTGTCCTCCTGGCCCTGTGTGTAATCTCGGTGAACCCTGATGGTTTGAAAGACACGCGGGTAATTAGAATCACATACGTAGAAATCAGGTATACTTAGAGTCTAAGAACCATGAGAGAGATCGGAAGCGTTTCGAGAAGCTGAGAATAAAGAACGGACCGCAGCTCAATGCTACGCTATGCTTCACCGTTGTGCTTAACCTAAGTGAAACTTTGCAGCGCGAAAGTCAAATCGCAAGTCTGTTTCACTCACTGTCTGTGGAGGACGCTGGCTAGATTGCGGATAAACGGGAGGTACAACCGGTGGCCTCTGCATAGGCCACGGCTGTTGATAGGACTCTGGTGCCATTCCAGGATAATTTCCATGAATCCGATGCACCGGAGTGGATGCTTGCAACAACTGGTTCAGCGTAGGTGTGGGGCCGGTGGCCTGGGATATACTCTGTCCGGACAGAAACCTCGGCTGGCCCGAGTAGCTACCCGGGTTGGCGCTGACATACGTCAGACGAGACTCGATCTTGGAGGCGGAATAATGCTCCTCCATCTCGGCCCTGTGCGCCCGCTCACTCTCGTGCATCAAGTGTTTACCATGGTAGTCCAGCTGCTTGCTAGGGAAGTCTGCATGCTTGGCTACGTACTCCGGTAGCTGCTTACCGGCTGGATAGTCAGCAAGTGACTTGCTGGCGGCGAATTCGCTGGTTTTGTTGCTGTATTCGTCGGCGTAGTCACGTATCACGTTTGGCGCGAACGGGTGGCCGGGGTGGCCGGGGTGGCCGGACGCATCGTGACCCTCTTGCTTGCCAACGGACTCCTGAGGCGCCTGGCCAACCTCACGCGGCGATTTTACCTCACCGGCAGCAGTGTGTCCGCCAATGTCCTCGCGGTATTGACTCATCTCGTAGCCCGTGTCCCCGCCGCGATTCACATATTTAAGCAGCTGGGCCGCGCCCCGGGACACTTTATCGTCCGGCTCCGGATCCAGCTGCTGCTTCGCACTAGCACTCGCACTATTCCCACCGACTTGCGTACGCTTCTGTGCGCATTTCACGGACTCGCTCAACTTCACATCGTTTTGTTGGCTCTCGGCTTGCGTCGCAGCCATGTTCTCCTCTCCTCACGGAGCCATCGTCGTTTTCGTAAACTGGCCAATCGCGGGACCTCGTGCGCGCCTTGCTGAGGCAGAGTACTACGTACTCGAAATCGAAATACCGATTAGTCGAACGGCTCGCGTCGCGGCTAACGCCTTCCAGCACATCCTCGATCGGCCGTGCGTGGACTAAGCGGCGCGCTAGGAAAAATCACTTCCTGGCGTTTTCAAAGTAGAAGGAACCAAAAAAAACTCATGCACGAACGTCAAAAGCAGCGTCGCACGTATTACGCCATCTTGCGGCTGTGACGCGCACCGACGTCGGCCGCTTACTCAAGCGCTGTTTACAACAACGCCCCTCAAACCGCGTTTCGCCTCAAGTCCCGTTTTTATCCCCTGTCGCTGCAACACCGGAAGTCTGTTCTGTTTATTTATCTGCGTTCCCGCATCTTCGGCTCGCAACTACCGATCGCGCGCTCTTGCATAATTCGCAATCGAGCGATTCGAACACGAAGCCCCGATTCTCGCAGAGACGAAATAAATCGCCCGACGATCGTCGACGTCATGCGCGACGATCGACCATCGATTTGCGTCGTGACAACAGTGGCCCGTTGTATCGACGCTTCTTTTTATCGTCGATATCAACATCTGATTAATGACGCAGCGACACTCGCGGTCAGAACGAGCGGGTTCGAACGAGCGACCGATAAACGTTCGGACTAGTGGAACAGAGAGGTAGCGAGAGAGAGAGGGGAAGAGAAAAAAAGCGGGAAGCGCGAGCAACACGAACAGACCCGATCCGTCACATGTTTCAGACCGCGCGACGTATATCTCGCGTTATCGATGAGACGGCGGCCGTGATAGCGGCCATTTGCATTCACCGGACGGACTACTGTCCAGGAGGAAGAGAATTGTCACATTTGCGGTACGCGTCCGGCGTACGACGCGGCTAGATCCTGGTCGCCTTTAAAATGGCAAGGTCGTCTAATGACGTCGCAAAGTGCGTCTACGGGAATACAATTCAGGAGAATGAAAAGAGGCTGGGCGAGGCGCGAATTAAGGGCCAGGTACTGCGTCTCCCGTCCGACACTCCGTCTCTTCTAATCCACGCTCCACCGCGCTCTCACCGCGGGCTATTATTTATCTGTACTTTCGTCGCGTTCCGCGGCACTATCTGTACCGCGCTCTCTATCGCAATTACGCTGTCTCTCGCATCGCGAGCTTGTTGGTTCTTGTTAACGCGCGTCTCTCTCGTGTGTCACAACAGGGTAAAGGCCGGAGCAGGCAAGAACTGAACAGACTGTTTCGCAAACTCAACCAGGCGACTGTCGGTGGGAATTCGGCGAGAAGCTCGGACAAACTGAACCTGTCGTGCTACAGCAGAAATGTGAGTATCGTCCTTTCGTCGTTAATTCTTGAGTCATACGAATGATCATACGTGTATCGTGTGTGACGATGAATTCGATAAGAAAGGAATATTTCCACCAAGGTTACCAGTTGCTGGTATGGCCCGATCCCTGAGTTTCCACCCGGGTCTTGGTGGGGTATACGTATGGACTGCTCTAGGGACGGCGTGCACAATCCCATCGACGCCGACGTGCACGAAGGACCTTTCGGTGCTGCATCGGCTTGCACCTCGCAAGTCAACATGAACGAGGACGTGGATCTCGGTGATTTTCTCACGCTTACTGGCCAGGTGTATCGCAAGGATCAACCGAGCGCTGATCCGTTCACACATAATTACAAGAATCAAGTACCACTGAGATTGATCCGAAGCTACAATCTGCAGAACGACATAGCGCCTAACACGGGCTACAGGTACGACGGGCTCTACGTAGTCATAGGCTACTGGATAGGCGCGAGCGCGGACGGGATCAGGTACAATAAATTCGTGCTGATGCGTCTCGCCGATCAGGAGGCGCCGAGCTGGAGCGGCGGGAGCTGCGAAGTGCCATCTTCCGCACGACACAACGCGTCTTCCGCGAGATCGAGCCAGCCGTGCGTCGCTTCCAACACGTACGATCTGCGAAAATGTTCGCACAACACCACCGACGTCTGCGGCAAGCGGAGATTCGGCCACAGTCGCGAGGCTCCGCCGGACGCGACGAGGAAGCCCGTGCCCGAGAGCTCGATCGTCACGCGCCATGTCTTCAAGAAGCCGAGCAACGCGGAAAGCACAAACTGTTCTACTTCAGTACCTGACCGAAGGACCTTCACGTGCCTCGGTACGTCAGCACCGAAGACACACAGTACAAATATCTCGATACGCATGGGTCTGTACGAGTCGTCGCGCAACACCCAGGAGGCGAAGAGGTGCGTCACGACGATGCTGCATAAGCCGTTCAAGCCGATCGACATCGCCAACCGGACGGCTCTGGACATAGACGCGCCACCGAAAGACGATGTGAAGCCGGCCGCGAGACTGGACCCCGCGACGCGGGTGAATCCCCGGGAGCCGGTCGGCAGCGTCTCTTGCAACGTCGCGAACGACGAGCCTGTCTGTCCCAAACGCATGAAGAACTCGTGCTCCCGCGACGTTCACCCGTCGGGCCGCTCGCCGTCGAACGACGCGAATTTCGTCACCGAGGAGTGTCAGGAATACTCGCGAAGCAGCGCCGAACGGAGCGCGTCGGTGATGAGTCGCGTCAGTGAACTGCCGGGGATCGGTTCAGTCGCGACGCGCGAGAGGATCTTCAAGGAACAGTCGGCTGAGTCGCTTCACGCGCAGGACATTAAATCCCTCAAGTCCTTGGAATCCCTCACGCCGGACAAGATCCTGAATCTGATCAACAAGAAGAAGCATCACCCGTTGTCGAAGATGCTGATCGGAAATGTGATAGGTCTGACTAGCGAGGAGTGCGCGATGTGGGACTCGCCGAAGGTCGCCGCGTCAGCGGACGCGTCGGCGAAGATCAGTCATAAACAGCGGGACAACGCGGAGGAGAACGTCGCTTGTCTGCCGGAGGACATGCTGAACAGGCGGTGCTGCAGGTACTCGCGGTCCAAGAGGCTGGCCTGGAAGGTGTCCAAGCAGACGGACGCGAGCAAGTTCGACAAGGTGTTGCCCCGGCAGTCCCGCAATAACGACGTCGCCGATCAGAACTGCAATGGTAACGCTCGAGTGAAGAATCCCGGCGACGGTGAGAGCAACAACGAGTATCTGTTTCACGTGCAATCTCCGCTGCAGGCTATCGCGCAGCACACTCGCAGCAGGTACGATACATTAAGACGCGTCTGCGGGCGGACGAGGGCGGCATGCTGGCGAAGCAGGACTTCCCAAGCCCGTCGATGAAGAAGAGCAGCAGGCTCAACAAGAAGGGCGACCGTGAGATCGCCAATCTGTTGATAGACGCCAACATCGGGCCGAAAACGCGCGGGCCCCGGAACAGGCGGCTGCGATGCATCAACAGTAGAGTATAAAATGTTACTCCGAGGCCGGAATTCACGGGGGCAATAAAATCACCTAAAACAATCAAAATCGAGGTACATTTACCTCAAAATTCGTAAAAAAAAAAACTAAGAAAAATTCATCCCCCCTCACTATATTTCGAGAAAAAAAAATATTAAATATTTTTCCAACGCACTTTTAGTCAGTATATTGTAAGGCAAATAAAAATCACTAAAAACCATCCAAAATCATGCCAAATCACCTCAAAATTATCATAAAAACTAAGAAAAACCCATTTCCCAATCAATATATTTTGAGATAAAAATATAATTACTTCATTGTAAGAATTAGAACTTAAAAATAGAGCAAAACTATTCAAAAAACAAGGTTTTACACTGTGTAAACGCTCAAAAACATTCGTATTTCTTTACAAAAATACGCTAGAATTTCTGGCCGGTCCCTTTGTGGGAGATCAAAAAAATCACCTAAAACACATCAAAATTATACCAAATCACCTAAAAAATCGCATAAAACGAAGAATAAACCATCTCCCAATCGCTAGATTTCGAGATAAAAATTAATATTTTTTCTAATGCATCTAAGGATCCACAGCTTAAAAATCAAATAAAACTATCTAAACAGTCTCTTAAACAAATAAAAATTGCTTATTGCACCTATTAATTCTCTGATGATTGGAATCCAAAAAATGTGGGACACACAAAAATCTTCTAAGAATATGGACATATAAATGCCATTTCAGCAAGTACCTTCGCAACAGTGCATTAAAACCTACTGTTGGTAAAATAGATGTGGAAAATAAATCTTACATCAGCATTTTCATTTGCTTTAATTAACAACAAAAGCATTTCTGTGAAAATTTACAAAAGGAACGTTGTGAAAAAGTTAACACATCTTTCCAAGTTGTACACAATTATAACATTATTCAGATTTATTATTCAGATGTATAAATAAACATGTCAAATAGAAGAAATATATCTGACTTTTCATAATTAGACTAAGCTAAAACTGACTGAAGAATAGAACTAAACACAACTAAATCTATGGTTACTAAGCATCACAGCATAAACACCTATCTTAGTAGTCAATTGACACTTTTTCATTCTACATTTCTGATATACAACAAAGAAAACTGAATGTGTAAAAGAAACAAAGGAAAAAATTAATACGTATCATCTCATATTTTATAACTATATAATAATATAATAATATAATAAACAGAACTAAACTGAATATGTTAGTCTATAGAAGATACATCACAGCATCAAAATCCTGGCTGTTCTGTAAGTAAGCAATTGACATTTTTCCATCCTCATCCATGTTTATCCCTAGTAAGACAAACTGTGTAAAAGTATTTCTGATATCTCTTGCTTCCATTACTTTACAGTAGTCTCTATTTTTAATGGTAAGTATTGCATTTTTGCTGCTTTTTTTTTGTATTTGAATTCCATAATCAATGGAATCAATGGAATTGTCTTTTATCAGTGCATAGTCTAAATATCGGTTGTAGTCCTTTCCATCAGCACCTTTAGCTTTAAAGTGAAGTTGGGCACTAACTTTAAATCCTAAATCATCAACAAGGATGCTCATTATATAACGCATGTTCTCCTCAGTTTTTGTAATCCAAGTAGCTGCATATTGCTGGAAAAATTGTTCAAGATCTGCATGAAAACTTATGAACTCATCATTATCATATTTTGTTTCAGACAGTTTCTGAATGAATTCTCTACAGCTGATAATGCTTTTTATCTTGTCCAAATATCTCAATATCAAAAGTTTTTAGTTTCTCATGTATTTTCCTTTCGATTTGTTCATTGAGTATCACTACCAGTTCAGATCTCTTATTTGCACATGACAGATACCCTTGCTCAAATATAAATGAAAAGATGTTATATTGAGGATATTCGACATTCTCAGGGTCAAATTTTCTTATAATTCTTATCAAGCTAAGAACATCATCAACGCTCATGATTTTCTTCATTGTACCGAGTTTCTCGTGTGGCTTTCCAGATGGTGGCTGTCAAAAGCAAAGACTGATATTAATTACTTGAAAATAATACATGTGAAGCAAAATTTTCTTATATTGCTATCTCCGTTACTTCTAGATACATTCTGAACATCTATATCATCTGGTTTTTCATTTGGTGAATCCATTGTTTCTGAAAAGAAGAAAAATATCGATAAAAATTTATATTCTTCACTTCAACATCAATCAACGTTTAAAAACTATGTTGAGAAACATTTATTTCACGCTAATATGTCCATTTACAAAAAAACGTATAAAATATACTCGTTTTACTTACTTGAATTTAGAGAAAGGACCATTTTGAATTCTAAAATATTCTTGAAGCCACTGTTTTTTTAACTAAATATATTAACTTTAACAAAAATGGGTACTTTGAAATTACGGTATTAAAAAATCTACAACCTTTATAATTTTTAATAAAAATACTTTTTATTTATACTCTCGTCCAGAAGTAACTTAATATAAGTGAAATGTACATGATAAAATTGAACCACAGAACTAAAATACTTATTACATAACCTAACTTCTGAGTAATTTGAAACGTAATTTTTATATATCATAATTAAAAACCAACGCCATCACATATAATTAATTTATGACTTTTGAACTGCGAACACGTCTTGACTGCATGCAAAGATTTTATAAAATATGAAAACACTTACCTACAAAAAACGCACGCATGCTGCACACTACACTAACAAACACTAAACAAAGGACAACACCGACGACGGCGCCGACCACCGACCGATCAGTTGATGGCAACCAGTCTCGCTACAAGAAGCGACCTATTCGACCTCTTAGCTAAACTTACAAATGGCGCTGCCACAAAATATTTGGAGTGTAATTAATTTATTTGTAATAAAATAAACTAGAATAATAATATAATATTTGTATTATGCTTAATATCTTAAATACATATATGAAGAACTAGTAAAAATTGAATCAAATGCTGCGCTAACAAATCGATTTAACTCAGATTAATTTAAAAATTGTAATATTTTGGTTGAAAATAGCGATGGCGAGATGAGTTTTTCTTAGCATTTCGCCGTCTTTGTTTTTATGCGATTACACCAAAGGGACGTTTTAACGACTTTGCCGCTTAGCGTCTTTGAGATATGTGTACCTAAATTTGAATGTATTTTAGGTGATTTTTTTGATCTCCCACAAAGGGACCGGTCAGAAATTCTAGCGTATTTTTATGATGGAATACGAGTGTTTCTGAGCGTTTTCACAGTATAAAACCTTGTTTTTTTGAATAGTTTTGCTCTATTTTTAAGCTGTAATTCTTACAATGAAGTAATTATATTTTTATTTCGAAATATAGTGAGTGGGAGATGAGTTTTTCTTAATTTTTTTGCGAATTTTGAGGTAAGTGTACTTCGATTTTGATTGTTTTAGGTGATTTTATTGCCCCCAATGATTCTGGTCTCGGAGTAACATTTTATACTCTACTATCAACAACACGTACACGAACAAGAGGTGCTACAGCGCCCTGAACTATCATGTATCCGCCCGAGAAGCGCAATAGGGTCACGGAGAAGCAGCGGCACAAGTCGAGCTTCAAGCGGAAGAGCAAGCCGACCAAGATGATCAGCCGGCAGCCCACCCGGGACAAGCAGAGCAAGGAGCGGTACAGAGTGTCAAAGCGTTGCACGCCAAGGCTCCCGCCGAGGAGGAGGTGAACAGTGCGAAGAAAGGGAAGAGTTTCGAAGGTGCGACGGTGAGCGACGCCGGCGATTGCAACGTTCCTAAAAGCTCGTTCGACCGGAGCCTGCGGAAGAAACCGGTGCAGACGGTGGTGCCTCTGTCGCGGCGCGCTCCGCAAAACTCACGGTTGCATTATTTCCGTAAGAAACAGGCCCAGGAAAAGCCCAGCACGATGGACGCGAAGGGTCGTGAGCGCGAGTAAGGTGACGTAGGGACGTCGCCGAAGAATACGACAAGTACATGAATAACGTGGATAACAATGTGGTCGTTTACATGGACGACGAATTGCAGTATCAGGACATTGAGGAGGAGGAGGAGGACGAGGTCGCGAGGATGAACACGTCGATAGAGTCGACGTTCGTGGAAGGTGATGATGAAGGTGATGATGAAGGTGATGATGACGATGATGATGACGATGATGATGGCGAAGATGATGACGACGACGACGAGGAAGACGTACAATCGTACGGCGATAATACTGTGTCGCCCGAAACCTTGGAATCTTCCTGGCACGGTTGGAAGAAAATCGTGACGAACAATCGGTTACTGGATCGGTTGGTAGTGCAACTCCGTAATCGAAGGTGCTTTCATCGCTGCGATCAGAAAACTGAATTTTTCTTTTTTCCTTTCTTTTTAGGAAACGTGTACACAATATTATATTTTTATTATTTTCCTCTCTCTTTTGTTTCTTCTTTTTCGTTTTGCCAAAAATAAAAGGCTGTTGAGAGTAACATTCTAAATTATTCTTCTAACAATATATAATACGGTATTCGAGTTGACTAACATATTTTAAGAAAAAAGTATCGATAGATTATTATGTATAATTAAAATCTTATATATATATATATATACATATAAATTATTCTATACAACATATACGTAACATATACACACATGCGTATATGTATATATGTATATGTGCGTATATATTTTCTACAAGTCGAGGTATCATTAACAGATGTTTTACGTGTAAATAAATAATGTTCTATTAATATATGGTTGTCTTATCTTTATTACGACGATGTGTAATAAATAGGAAAATAAAACTTGTTCACCGATTTACGTTTTCCTTGTCTTTTGGTTTAGTTCTTAAAACGGTGACGAGATATCCGCGAGCATGGCGTGCTTCATTATAAAATAGAACTCTGCCCGTTAACTTCTCTCTTTCTTTTTTTCTCCCCTTCGATCATCCTTTGTTACGCTTTAAAAAAAAATATAAGGATATACACAGTTGTACACATGAGACACCAAATACCAAATATTTATTCATATCCGACACAAAAAAATACCCATCAGTTGTTTTTTTGCACTTTCTTGCTAGTGTTTGTTATATATCCTTTCTTTTCTTTTACACTTAAAGGCTCCCATCGGCGTGACAAATATTTCCGTGGGAAATATCCGTCAATCTCTCTGTATCTTTTTCTCCTCTTTTCAGATATAATTCAATGGTATATATACATGTATGAATTTTGTAAGACTAAGAAAGGAATAATCTCATAGGACTGTAGAGAAGGACGCAAAGATTCTTTTTTTGTGTATGTGGCTCGACCCCTTACGGAGAGACAGACGCGAGACGACGTTGCAAGAAGGTTGATCCTCAAGTGAAACCAACATACAAAAATATCTAAACAAGCATCGGCGCTCAAGACAGGCGTATTATCGATCAGAACGAAAGAATCGAGACGGGTACGTAAACGCGTGATCCTGTAAAATTAAGTACTATACAATTACATTTACTTATCCACGAAGTGTAAGCTTTATCTCGTGCGATCGAACACCCCTTACAGTGTCGTAATAGAGCCACAGATATATAGAATAACACTGCCTCAAACACGTCAGCGTATTAAAATAAATATCTTCTATACTATATACTCGTATGTTATAACATAATACATATATTAACATGGATGTAACATTATGGAACTATTACAGCGCGATGTAACGCATGCTTACGCCACGCACGCGCGCGACATCCCTTCCTTCTCCTCTCTTTCTCCCTTCGCGTTTCCTTTTTTTCTTTTTCATCTCTCCTTCCCCTTGAAATCTGTCATTTGTATTCCCGTGAGCGAGTCGTGTTCCTACCTAGTAATTAAATTCGATATCGCTTATGATAAAACGTATCTTTTTATGTTTTTTTTTATCTTCTTCGAAAGCAGATCTCTAGAAGTTCATGGAAGTCCCGCGTTTACAGTGACAACGTTTGTCGATATACATTTCTCGAATTTAGATTTCGCACTCTTTGAACCGTGTTTACGTGTAGGTGTGTGTGTGTGTGTATATGTGTATGTATGTGTGTATATGTGTAATGTACGCGTTCCTATGCACCTTATTGAAATTCGTCGTCGCTGCTCAGTAACATCGTTTTTTCGTTATAATTTTGCGAAATCGTGGCGACACGTTGGTGAGAGGTGTTTCGCCTTTGCGGTGGTGGTACCGGCATGTTTTGCGGATCGTCCGGATCGTAGCTGGATACTCGCATACCACGTTGTCCTTTCGGGCCCCCTAATCGTTACATCACGTTACATAACGTTACAGAGCGCGGCAAGCGTTAACGGCTACGGGCAAACAATAATAAGGGACAGGCGTCGATCGGCCGATACGATGGGATCGGACGACCGATTTTTATATGTTACACGCGCGAGTGTAAACCGCACACAACCGTGTTCTATACGCCGTGTTCGCTATTTGCGTTACTCCGTTATTGTTATAGATTCCGACGAGAGAGAGATCAGCGGCAGAACGTCGCGCTCGTCGGAATGTCACACATTTGCATGTCAAACGTTTTTGCTCCGGAATTACGCTCGCGAGATCGAGGCCCGGGACCGAGATGTGATTTCGACGAAATTTCAATTTCGGACACTACGCATGTTGCAATAATAAATAGTAGAAAGAAATCTCGCGGGGCGTTTCACTTATTCGTTCGCGAGAGTGAAGAAGGGTCTCGGCCGCCACGAATTCGGAGCTTGACGAAATCATGCCGGTTTCACAATCGATAACGAGTAAGCGCACGTCAAAGTCGCATCGACGACATAGCGATGACGAGAGCCGCGCGGGAGTCTCGGTCTATCGGAGCAACAAAGTTCAATATTTTTTTCTTGCGGCATACAAGTGATATATGCAAGTGCGAGGAAAGAAAAATACCTATCGATGCGACGCAGCAGCAGCCGCAGTAATAAACGATACATCATGCAGATTATGGAAGTAGGAAATAAAATAACCGCAAGCAGCTAGGGGTCGTGATAAAACTTTGCCACTGTAAGTGTGTATATGCTGTTGTACTGTTGGGAAAGAGGACGCAATAACGTGCTTGCATGCTCGATCAGTTATTTCATACCGTATATTCGCATGCTACATAACACCATATGATGGGACGTAAAAGCGATGAAATTAATTCGATGCTCTCTTTGTCGTAAATGTCAAACCCATAGGTGTATTACTGTATGTTAAAAATGAAAAGTAAATAAAAAAAAAAGAGAGAGAGAATAAAAAGATGACGAGAAGAAGACGATACATCAACCAATACCTAATTATCTTTTACATTTATTATAGAGCAACGCTATAGAAGTACACCACTTTCCCTCTTTCCTGCTTGCTTTCTTGCTTAATCTCTCTTTCTAAATGCTTGTCTTACGTTAAAAGTTTCATATTATACAGCAGAGCTTGTTAATCGCAAAAATGGATGAAATTGTATATGNACACATATATATATATATATATATATATATAGATGACGATTTAAGTACAACCGAGATTACAACTTATTTTGTAATCTCAGCAGAGAATTTGTTTATCAACCTGCGGATAGATAGCGATTTTTAAGGCATTAAGTAATCCCGTAAGCAAAGTATAGTGCTGTGTCGTGTATCTTTCGATCCTCATTTTTAGTCGCGCTAAGCTCGATGTCCAATTTCTTGAAATTAAAAAACTGACGCCTCACTGTGTCATAGCTTTTCGTACGGCAAGTTGGTATTAACGTCTGAAAAATAGCAAACAAAAGTGCCTTCAAAGAAATTGAATCTAGCAAAACGGCACATGTTAAGGCGAATTTATGTCATATTAATCTTTCTCGTTAGTGTAAAATAATACATGTATATTATTATTATTAGTAGGACTATGTTCTTCAAAGCGAGTATTTTCTACGCTATCTGTGACTTTTGGGACTTGCTTGTGTAAAAATTAGCTGCATGTGTATAAAAGTGGGCGATATATTAATTGGTGCCTGCATCGGTCAGCAGTGAGAAGTCGGAAAATATATGTGGAATATAAATTATGTACAAAAGCCAAAAGCCTGTAACTGAAGCGTTGCAATCGCGAATCAAACGTATATTTCACGTAACTGGCTCAACGTTACTGGCATCATATATGCCGAATATGATTTCGCTCTATAATTGGAACGCTATTACAACCTCGTGTTTATAATGTCAATTCTTACTAATCAGTTCTTTTTCTGCGATAAATGAGTGAGAAAAAGTAAACGTTATATGAGACACATAGGAGAACTTGCAAGTAAATGAGTCGAAGTCTTATCGCACACTACGTCATGCTATATGAGAATTGGGCAGTTTGCGGATGTAAATATATATGACGTGTCCATCAAGATAAATAAACAGTATGTAAGTCAGAAAAGAAGTATGCAATATTGCGCAAAACAAAAGTAAGGAATTGTGGTGAAAGAGTAGAACACATACCGGCGCTATACTGCGTGTATTGTTGGTACTGTGGATGGAAATTATGGATGGCATCGGTCATAATATCTTTTGGATTCATCGTTTCCTGCAAAACATTATTATTATCATTATCACCATATTTTACAAATTATCATCCCCACGAATGTATTCTCCAGATTCGTTATGTACCTTTAAACTACTACTGATACTCTGCATCGTCACGCTTCTACCTCTCGAGTCCGTAACACAGCCAGCTGCGTATACTTGGTACGGGAACGCGTAACGTAAAGCAATAGCGGCGAACAACATCTCGATGCAAATCAAGAAATTTTGATAACCAGCAGAGACAGTTCCCGCGCTCGTCGACTGACCCAGACTATTTATAACGGGTGAAATGACGTTCGCCTTCTCCAAAATAGCTAATAGAACTCCTGCGTGGGGGAGAGAAAGAACATTATTCTTGAAAATCGACACATTTCATGGAGCCGAATATCGATTCATACTCGGCAAAGAACGAAACACGTGAGATGAGCGAGCGAGCCCTGAGTGAAATTCAAGTGCGCACCTTGCCAGAACGACAGGAAAATCACGCTCTTCACTGTACAAAACTTCAGCACTGGTTCGAACGGTGTCAACAGGTCTCTCGTAGCGAAATAAAACAGAAACAGCCCGTAAAGCGCAAGCGACACGCTGATATTGTAAATTACAGTGATGTAGATGTAACCGCCGTCGGGGGACCAATCTCCGTCTCTGTAGTGGCCGAAGGCCTGCAGAAATATGATGACGAACGCCATCACCGGTTTAACCAAGCAGAACTGCAGAGTGGCTTGCTTGCAGAATCTCAGGAAGCCGATGGTGTATGTCTTTCCGACTAGGCAACAAGTCCCGTAAAGGCAACTCGAGCGTATCGGCTTTCCCCTGATTTCGGACATAATGTTGCCCTCTCCGCCTAGGTACTCGTAGCATAGCGACAGAAAGTTATATATAACAAACGCCTCGTAACAGTCCCGCACTGTGAAGAAGTAAACGTAATAGCTCTCGCTGTTGAAGAACAACAGCGAGATCCAGGAGTACGTGGCGTAGATGGGCACGATGAAGAGAATTCGCACTATCCATCTCTGTTCGGTAGGATTCGTGTACCACCTCAAATGCTGATAGATCTGTAAGCACACAACACACGATGCGTCATCACTGATAACGTGTCTGCTACACCGCACTGATAGCCTAAGGAATCGTCCTAATTCGACGATAACTACCTGTTGGCAGGTGAGAAAGAGCGCCACCCATACGAATACACCTGCGATGCACTGTGCCGCGCGGGTCTGCAGGAAGATCGGCGTGCCTTCCTGGGAGCTTGTCTTGGGAGTCTCCCCCAGCATACTGATATCGGTGGTCGTTGACATCATGTCCGGATTCACGAGCGCGTGTGTCCCTGTGACCGCGACACCATTCATACGCCAACCTGCCGGTGCAGACACGGGATATCACTTTCCCGGATCGGACGTTCGCCACGGACGGGGCGCGATCGACGTGATCGATGAGGAGTCATCGCGATCGCGCAATCTTCGGACACGCGCGCACGGGAACGGGGCGAGGAGGGAAGGAGAACGGGTATTGCGGGAAGGGAAGAAGAAAGAAGGAAAGTACGTGAGAGCGAGCGAGTCGTATCGCGACGCGCGACAGATTGTGCGTGAGCGACGACACGAGAGATCGATATGAAAAAGAGAGAGAGAGAGAGAGAGACGCTGTGGTATTCGGAAATCCGCGTCCGAGGATACACGCTTCGGGACGCGCGCCTCGCAGGTCGATCGCGAATAAACATAAGACCTACTTTCGCGCACTCGCGAAAAGCCTCGCGACTATCACATATCACAGTCGCGATAACACAACAATGACAGGTGACAAGCGTCTCTCTCTCTCTCTCTTTCTCACACATATTTTCTCCTGTGGCTTCCATTTCTTTTAGCAACCACATACCCGTGCCTCCATTCGCGAGCTCCTCTTCAGATGATGCAGCATACGCGCGTTCCCCGTGGCCTCCCTGGTTCCGTTTACTCCGCCACGTTCCCGTTGACGCTCTCCTTTCGACGCAGTCAAGCGTCGTGTAGCCAGTCGGCCAGCTTTGTGTATACCGAGAGGCTGTACTGCTCGATAAATCTCGCGTATTTCAGGCCGTCGTCTCCTCGAGCGTGAGCCTGCGAAATAAGTCGGTCGCGATTCCGCCTGTATCCTCAACGCCGTGTCTTGAGCTGACAACACGCACGGAATCGACTCCCCTCCGGGCACATTCGTGAATCTCGTCTGCCTGCCTATCTACACTCGCGTACACCTGCGCTCGACATTCTCCCGTGAGTGGGCAACCTCTCTCGGTCACACAGATGCGCGCCTCATCGACGTCGTGCCGCTGGGAGGTCGCACACGATCTCGCTCGGGATCGCCGACAAACGCGAGCTCCGTGACGTCTATTGTCACTGTGATGCACTTGTTTTCCTCGAGTATGTTATGTGAAAGGGAGTGAGAGAGAGAGAGAGAGAGCCCTTCGCCGTCGATCCCGCTACGGTTTCACTCCCACCAAGCGTGCGTCGATTATCGCTGCCCTCGCGCGATTCCTCTCTCCCTTCCTCCTTCGCCTTGTTCCACGCGTAAACTATCTTTGCGCAAGTCAGCGCGAAACGGATGTACACACGTCTGCCTGTTCGAGCTGCACCTTCTGCACCTGACGCGACAACGAAATCCCGACGGCCGTTCTTGGAATATTCTTTCAAGTTCTTTTATATTCGTCCGCAGGCGTGATTTGTTTTCTTCGTACTTGTCACCCGAGAGAGAGAGATTGTTAGGTGTGAAGTGTCCCCCGCGTCGCGAGATTCGCGTCGAGAAAAAGGGTCGATATCGTGCTATCGGTCTTTTCCATCGACGAGTCTCTCTATGCTGCTCTCTGCCGTCTCTACTTCCACGTCCTTGCCCTTGTTTTAAAACCGACTGAGTTTTAACAATGACGCTTACGCATTTTTGCGACTGACACGTCGGGGAAGTTCTACGATTGACGTACGAGTGTGGGTAAACCTTTTGTGAGAGGCATTTCTCCCCTGTCTCTCTTTTTACCGCGTGAGCGCGAGTCATTTATTTCAACTCAACGCCGAAGGCTGCGCGAATCGTTCGGTCTTTCTCGGCTTCGAATTCGGAAATAGCCTGAGGGCATAGGAAAACGGGTATTTTTAGCTATTCTCTCACTGCTCGAGACGAGAAAATTATTCATTTGCGTTTGTGGAATAAAAAAGAAAAATATTGAAAAAAATACAGTGTTTGGTAAAAACAACAGATCTGAAATGATGTAAAATTTCGCGCTTGACGTCACGATGACATCAAGCAGAGAGAGAGAGAGAGAGAGAGATGGGCAAAGAGAAAAGAGAGCAAAAGAGAAGAAAGAAAAAAAAAGAGAGAAATGAAAATGTCAACCCAACTTTCTAGGAAATTTAGTTTACTTGATACGCGCCATCTAGACGCACTTTTATATAATAAAAGGTGAATAGTAATTAGGGCAATTTGAGATATGAAGTTACCCAGCTTGGCGCTCGGATATCACCAGACGAGCTGTGGTGTACAGCGATCGTAACGTCACCACAGAGTTTGCACTACAATACCTGTGCCACGTATATTTATTATTTGTGTGTGCCGCAAATTTTGCACGACCGACAATTAGTTTGATGTTTTTTATCTGCTCGTCTCAGGTGACCTAAGAAACTCTCAGCCGAAATGGGGTCTTCCCAAAGCGTGGAAATACCAGGAGGTGGTACAGAAGGTTATCACGTATTGGGGGTAAGACGGCCTGTCAAGTGTATCTAATTATCTAAAACATCACCCACTTTTAAGGTCCCTATGTGTGTATATATATATTGTCAAAAATAATAATAATAATACTTCACGCGTATATTTTACATCTGTAAAGCATTCAACAAAATCTTCCTCGCTTTATGTGACTGCAAGTCTGATATATTACTAATTACAAAAGGTGTCACTGATAAAGTATATTTATCATTATTTACTTTGTTATCATATATAGTGTCAAATCCATGAAGTCATCTTTTATTTACGAGTCCTTTGAGCAAATTTTTGCAGTTAATTTCTTTTCAATAGAAATTTCAAGTTTTGTTGTTTAGTGAAAAAGTTATCAACTTGTATTAAATATTTTTCCTAAGTATAATTTTTAAATTGTAAATCGTTAAAGTTATAATTATAATTCAATGAAAGACAAAATTTTATAATATATATTTATAAAGTTTTGTCCTCTTAATATTTAACATTTAAATAAAAATTCACATCCAATTTAATCACGTAATAGAAATGTGCATGAAATAACAGTATTTTTTATTGCAGGTTCAGGAAGGTTCCCCTGGGCAGCAAGCAGGACTGGAAGCATTTTTTGATTTTATCGTAGCAATTGGAAATACTCGTCTGGTATGATTATTTATAATTTCTATCAATCATATATATATATTTTTTTTTTTTTTAATATAATTGTGAGGTAATCATTGTATTAAAAAGTGTAATGTCTATATTTTCTAACGTGTTGTAAATTTTCCCTCAATAGGATCAAGATAACGATACTCTGAAGGAACTTCTGAAAGCTGGTGTGAATCAGAAATTAATAATTACAGTATACAGTAGTAAAACAAAGTCTGTAAGGCGAACTCATATTACACCGAGCATGACATGGGGCGGACAAGGATTACTGGGCGTCAGTATACGTTTCTGCTCATTTGAAGGTGCCAACGAAAATGTCTGGCATGTGCTTGTAAGTATGCTTCAAATAGACTTTCACTAACAGTACATACCAGTTCACATGTATATCAGTAATTTAATGCCATTATTATATATCTAAATTCGCAGGAGGTGCATCCATCCTCTCCTGCAGAGTTGGCTGGTTTACGGCCGTTCACCGATTATATCATCGGCGCGGATTCCATTCTACATGAGAGCGAGAATCTGTTTACCTTGATAGAAGCTCATGAATCACGACCACTGAAATTATATGTATATAACACTAAAGATGATTTCTGCAGAGAAGTGACTATCACTCCTAACAATACCTGGGGTGGAGAAGGAAGGTACATATGTATGGCGCTTTTGTAGAGTGTCTTAGATATATCAGTCGAGATAGTAATACATATGTAAATAAAAATTAAATTATTATATCTTTTTTAACAGCTTAGGATGTGGAATAGGATACGGATATCTGCACAGAATACCTGTCAGAAGTGTGCTGGAACACAAGCCTGCTAATTCATACCAGGTAAAAGTTATGATATCTATTTCTGCTGTTTTTTCAATTATAAATCTTAAAGTTTCGTAAAAATTCCAAAATCTGAACATTTTTTTACGTTGAACCATATATTTTGCTTTTAATTGATAAAATATTAGTTGATTAATGCAATTTTAACATAATGTATGTCACAGCGGAATGTTCACAAATTTTAAGATTTTTCTAAATGAAAAATTTGGTAATTAAAGAAACAACCTATGAATATAGATTTACCAATCATAATTAATAAATAAAAATATCAAGTCAAATGAGTCTCGGAAACTTGTGGAGATTCTCCACAAATTTTTCATACTACGTATACATTTTTTTTATTTTAGAATACTACCAAAACTGCTATGCAAGATCAGCCAACAACAACTGCTACCGTCATCATGACAGGAAATAATCCGGTTGTCAGTATGCCACCCGGATTATCCGTCCCGCCAACTTATAATTCACCGATAGATAACTCTATGAAAAATCTGAAAGCAGAACAGGAAACTCTACCATCTCAAAGCACAGGAGCAAACACGCCAATACAGACTGCGAGCCGTGTCAATTTCACTGTTCATGCCACTAGTGCCAGTACCGGTGTTAATGCCGGTGCCGGTATCGGTGCTAATATCGGTGTTGGTGGTACCAATGCTGGTACCGGTGTTTACCCATCGATCAGCTCGGCACCTCATATGTTTCCAAATCAGCCTACAGTCAGTTTTCCTCCTGGTAAATAACGTCAGATTTTACCTATATTCTTTGTTGTAAATAATTACTCGAGTTCGAACTTCGATGTTAAAGAGAGACATAATTCTGTAAAGGCAAATATATATATATATATATGTTCGGGAATTGAAAAAAAAACACCGTTCCACTCAGAAATAGATTTTTCTTGTAAAAAGTCAAAATATTAAATACAGAGATTTATCTCTTGTTTAACAAAAAGTTTATCTTTCCATTGAGATTGAGACTTCAAAAAGAAGTTTCAGATAATAGATTTGAAAATATCAGACTCTTAATATTGATTCAAGCATTCGTATCAATAAATCAAATTAGATGGCTATAAATACATCTGCCCAATTATTCAGGTACTTATCAAGCGACTCCGAACATTCCCGGTATGCCAGCCAGTCCAGTCTTACAACAGAGTCTTTACGAAGTTGCAACAACGCCGACCGCGCCAATCAATATCCCGGGACTGCAGAAAGATCAGATTCCTGCTTACAGTGCGACTGTTGCTGCTACTGGATTTAATGTGCCTCAATCTCATGTTGTGACGACGCCGATCTCACTGCCTGGAATGCCACCTATCACGGTCAGCGCCTCTCTCCCGCAAAATACTTCCTTCTATCCGTCTGTTCTTCAACAAAACCAATCCCCTACCAACGCTACCACCACCGCAACTACTACTACTACACCTCCGTCGATGTTAATGTCGATGCCGACATCGACGCAATAACGGGCACGCGTTCTTAAGTTAAAGAAGCGTAACTTTTAAACATAATTTTCGCACTAATAAAGCATAGTATTAAGTAACACCGGTAAAGAAAGAAAAAAGAGAGAATGATCGGTATACCTCGCCTGTTCTATTCTCGCATGCGGTGCGACCATTCAACAGTTACGTTTTGTTTCTTAATGAGTATCAGAATGTGATACATATAGTAAATTTTTTAATGTGTACTGAAAAGGATAGTATAATATAATATTGTACATAAATAAAGTATATATAATCACAGGAATCTAATTACAATATTGGTATATACCTCTATATATATGTATATTGCATTAAGAGAAATTGTTACATGATATTCATTTTGCAAACAGGACTTCTCATACAAAATTATGATGCATAATTCTGACCTTGTGCAATATTTTCATTATAAATTTTAGTAGTCAATGTTACAATTGTTCTCTCATCTATTTCCTATTATACTACTACTATTTTGTAATTTCTTGTCTAGGTATAATTTTAACATTAGTGGTAGACATATTTTATGAATGATGATACATAAATTTTAACATTCAAAGTAGTTTTCATCAACGAAAAATTGCAAAAAATCTAAAGATTCTACAATTACTGGTGAGTTTCAACATCAAGTTAGAGAGATTTCAATCAACAAAAGTAGCACATTATTTATTAATCATCTTCAGAACATTATTAACAAATACTAAGTTGTTACAGATGAGCAGGGATGATACTCAGAAGTCGAATAGAGTTCCCCACGTCTGGCCGTTGCTTTTCTTAAATAATAATATTTGTGTCACCTAACTCCTCGTCGCTTGGTAAGTATATTTTGGCTGGATCAACCACATTTTGGTCGACTAGAGGAAGCCCGTGCTCCTCTCTGTAACGGAGTTGTAGATAAGCCTCTCGCTGTGCCCAGTCTACGTTGTTCACGTCAGGCAGGTAGCCAATAACAGCGCCACCGACCACAAAGCACAAAGTCACAACGACAAACATAGTCTGATGCAGGCCATGACGATCATCGGCCTCGTTTCCCGTATCGAAGCCATAGCTCACCCATTTCTTCTTGACAGACTCCTCCTTATTGTATCGTGGTGTTGTTGTTATCTTGCGACAAAGTGTTTCTTTGCGTGCCATCAGGGTTAACCCTCTGCGTAAACTTGGCACACAATTCAGACGAAATAACGCTGCCATTATACCACCCGTCCCCGTTCGTACCTTTGTTCTCTGATAATTGTCACGAAGAAACTTTGCAGGCTTCTATGTTGGATGCGCCAGCCGTGCGCTCCGAGGGGACGGCAGAAATTAGGTAATATTCCTTCGGGTATACCTTGGCGTGTGCGAGTATGCGTAAGAGTTGTCGGCATGTGTCATTTTAGGTTACATTCTCATCGGAGGAAGTTCAGGCATGCGCAACACCGGCCGACTGTTGGGGTCCGATTCTTGAGCTCGTTTCACCAACGCGAGTTAAATCGGTCGATTAAATTCATCTTGTCCATTGGAACTGACCAATCACATCTATCTAACATGTGCCCGTATCATACTGTGCATCAGGATCGAGATTGAATTAAAATTTGACAATCCGAGCGAATTTAATTAAACTTGTTCGCGTTGCTAGCTAGGAACCCTATGAAGTGGAATCTTCAATTGGTAGAATCGTTATACGTCGGACGCGGTGTGAATCCGCCATAAGACTATTGACGGTTACCACCTCTGAGATGTCGTTACCGGCAGAGCTTCCCGGGGGGACAAATTCGAAAAAGAGCGCCACGTTGTTTCGCCATTTGACCGGCACGGCGCGACGTGTTGTGGTTCATGGTCGATTGAGCGATCGTACGGTGGCTATCAACGCGAACGAGTGCGTGCCGTTGTTGAATAGCGTCGTCGGGAACGCACATTATCTCGTGCCGAGAGCGCGACATTTATGTGTTATCGAGACTGCTGAGACGGGCGAGAGGTGTTTAACCGCATTCACGGATACACACACAGCGGAGTCGAGTGAGTATTCCACCCCGATGCTGCTTCCCGCAGCCGTTGTCGCGCTGCTGCGCGATGCTCCCTCGCGCGCGCAAAATCTTGTTGATAACCACAAACCAAGGTGGTTAAAATCGATCGATGAATTCGAGAGGTGACCGCGCCGGGCGACCGAGAGGCGGCCGCTGCGACCTCGTGAGTGTTCCCTTCCTTACGGCGAACTGACGAGTGACCGGGGTGACGATTCCGCCGGAATACGGCGGCGGTCTTATTCGCGTCGGATACGTCGCATCTCATAATACCGTGGCCTTTATCTCCTACCAATTGGCGTTAGGTCGCGTCATGCCGAATGAACATGGAGGCGTGCTTGTCTTGTGTGTGCATTTGTGTTTTGACGCCTCGAACTGCTGGAAACGGATATTCGGCCGACGTTGCCGTGTTGTGCTGATCGGTACTGATAGATGTTTTAAGAAATTTGGAAAGAAAAAAAAAACAAGAATTGCTCTTGTATTCGAGAGAGAACGGCTTGAGTCGGCTCGCGAGGGAGCTATATTCCAGATTGTGCTGTGCCTCGTGGTTGTGTGTCCGAGTTACATGGTTGATTTTGTATTGCAATTTGATAAGACTCGACGGATTATACGGATCGTAGTTGATTTTAAGTTATAACTGAATATAGCGTAACGAACAATTTGATTGATAATTCACGTATGTTTGATAATAACTTGACCTTGTTGCATTATTCATTAGGCATGAGACGCAAGAGCGAGAGGAACAAAGCAAAGGGATCTCCGGAGAAGAAGGTTGAGAAACCGACGAGAAAGTCGACGCGTAGGCGAGGCAGGAGATCACCTTCCACTTCATCCGAACAAGATGTTATGGCTGAGGAGGCAATCAGAAATACAGCTCAAGTTAAGGAGACCGAGAAGGAGCTAAATGCACAGATACGTCTGCAGAACGAGGAATCGGAACAGCCGCAGCAAGGGCAGGAGGAAACTGTCACGTCCAGCGAGAGAAACTTGAAGGCTGATTCGCCGGAAAATGAAGCGGACCATGGCGGTTCCGTGTGGAAAGTAGCTAGGGCGGACGCGTCACCCGGCGAGATACAAAAGTTAAAATTGTGCAGGCAGCGCAACACGTCCGACGCATTATCAGACGCGACGACATCATCATCGAGTAGGAAAAGTAATTCGAGCAAGTGGCAAGAAAGTGGTGAGGGCGTTGCAGAGGAGGCTGACTCGGCGGATGAGCAACTGGTTTCTTGTACAAGAATGCTCAGTAGCGCTGAACAGCCGAACGATCCCTCCTCTTCATACCCAGGTCAGGACTCCAACGAAGAGGTAAGTGATAGCAAGGAGATCCTGCCTGAAACCACTTCAGCCAACTTGTTGTCTGACGATAAACCAAACATAGATCAGCATGGTGAATCAAATGAGGCAAATTGCGCTGCCCAAATCGTTGATATCGAGCCCGGTAAGCCGAGTAACACGACAACCGCGCCGGCTCCTAGCACAAACGGTGAGAATCCGTGCGAGGAGATCGCCGTCGTCGTCGTCGCCGCCGATGATGATGATGCTGTTGCTGCTGCTGCTACCACCACCACCACCGCTACCACCACCACCACCACCGCTACCACCACCACCACTACCGATGTCATCGCCGACGACACCGTTACACCGAAGGAAGATAAGTCTGCGGAAGATGCTAGCGAAAAGTTGACGGAAGCGTTCAGCAAAGAGGCTAGCGCGGAGAAAGAGGCTCGTAGAGACACGAGCAGCGAGGATGACGAGGACGAGAAAGTGAAGGAACGCCGTGGCGTCGATACGTCGTCCGATTCGAACGACGAGTCGCGCGCCAAGAACAGCCGAAGAAGTAGCGACCGGTCGCCGCCGCGGGCCCCGATTCGCAGAAAACACCGGAACAAGTATGGCGACTCGTCGAATTCCGACACAGCCGATTCCGAGGACGAGCCGGTCGACAGAAAGGTCTCCGAGCCTTACGCCGTGGAGGAGGAGGAGGAAGAGGAGAAACCGAGCGCGGAATATTCGCGGGAGGACAAGGAACGCTCGTTATCGCCGGAGAGAGCTAGTTCACACGCGAACAACGTCGAGCAGATAGAGATCGAGCATTGTGCGACTGTCGAGCACAAGCCCGAGGACACGAGTGAGAAACCGGAGCCGACTGTGTCACCCGGCGTCGTTCAGCCGGTCACTCAGAAACCAGTAAAGGTCAACCTGAAGAGATCGTTGTAAGTATCGACGCCTCCTCGCGCGCGATAAGTATCGAGTAAGCACGATTTCACGTCCGGACGAGAGTTAACGCGTTCTGTTGCGTGTCTTGAACATATTGTTGCACGCCGTTACATTGGTCGTCCTCGATACCCTTTTAGTTTTCAAGTGTACATATCGGGATTTTGTGGAAACGATACACATATATTTCCGTATAAAAAGTATTTATAATTATAACATCGCGTATTGCGATGTGCCGAAACGCGTTAAACAAATGCCTGTCTTCACAATCATTGCAGAAATGTGGCTACATTTATGGTGGAATTCCTTACTGATATATTGTATCAAGCTTTTCAACGGTATTTTTACAACAAGCTTTGCAAAGTTGACTTGTAGAATTGAATTACGCGTATTATACAATTGTATAATATCGGTATTTATACGCACACCAATCGATTTCTCCAGTTGTGTAATACCAAAATATACCAGTACATAAAACGGTATTTCTGATACCAGTTTCAAATTTTCCGATACCAATCGCCGATCGAAGAAAATACGAATGGCGTCTACAATCGAATCACGACAATTTCTGTTGGTTCTTTTTAGCTCGGCGAGAATAGCGTCCGAGAAGAACGAGGTGAAGAGAGACGACACCGATGTGAACGTTAACAACGAGGCTTGCGGTCAAAATAAGGTACGTCATTAATTCAGATTAGATTCGCGTTGAACGAACACCCCGGCCCCTTCGGTTTTTGTTACGTTTGAACGTCACGTTTCAGGAAAATCACAACGACAATGAACAGGAACCGAAATGCATGCCTAGAAAACGTCGATGGGGGATCACGCTTTCCACGGATACCGCCCCGTCGTTCTCCATCTCGACCGATTCGCTCAAGGTAATTTAGCTTTTCATCGTGAATATTCATCTTTCACCTTTGTATTTACTGCAATTTTAGCAGTAATTCAATCACTTATCAATCCGATAATTTAATAATAATTCGACAGGCCTTGGTGCCGGGTGCAAAGCCGTTGCCCATCAATGAAGTCCGTCTCTCGAAGGACGACGACGAGGACCGAGATCGCCACAAGAGTAACGATAAGCGGCACATTTCCAGCGACGGTGCAAACGACAACAAGATAACGGACGAGAATCTGCAAAAGAACGGCGCCGCCAAGAAAGGCAATGCCAAGATAGACAATCATATCGGTAAGTGTCGCTCTGCACGCATGATTCATTTCGTCAGCAAAATTCACGCTAGCTTTAAACGTAATATCGTACAACACCTAAGACGATGTTGCTCCGGTTTGTTCTTTAACACAGCAACGAGGCGGAAGATATCGATCGTGAAGGAGATGCCGCATGTGAAATCGCCGAGCCCGCCAGCGTCTAAACCCACGAATATTCTCTTGATCAAGAATCTAGTTCGCCCTTTCACGCTGAACCAGATTAAGGAGCTTCTCTCGCGTACGGGCATCATCGTGGAGAATGGATTCTGGATGGATCGAATCAAGTCAAAGTGTATTGTTGAGGTATGTGCTACGTAGATAGGTAGATAGATAAGGACGTTGAATCACGTAACGAATCAAAGATGAATCCGTCACTTCGTTGTCCACCGTTGTTTTGACGTCACGGTATTATATTATTTATTTATACATCTCTATCTCATACCGATCGACCGTCATGACGGGGTACGATTGTCTAACCGTCTCTCAACTAGAAGCGTGGCGCGAGTTTACACTCACTTCGCGCGTGCACTATTTCTTAATTACTGTCGTTGTCATTCAGTATTCCAACGAGGACCAAGCCTTCGAGACGAGGCAGGCGCTTCACGGGATCTCCTGGCCTATGTCGAACCCAAAAAAGCTTCACGTGGAATACGCCACGAAGGAGGACATGGAGGCTGCTCGGGAGTCGTCCAAGGACCAACCGGTTGCTCGTAAGGCCGAGCCGCTCTCGTCATCCGATCCGTGGCAGCAGGAGTGGAGTCGCGAGGAGAAAACCAATACGACCAAGGTATCCTCGTGTTTTAAGATCCCTCTAGCGCGATACCGCTTAGTTCTTTCTTCGTATCTAACGAGAGACGCGTCGGTGTGTACCAGGTGACGGTGGTGAGGGAGTGGGATCTGGGCAAGGAAGACGGGCAGCAGCACATCCGGGAGAAGGAGCGCGAGAAGAAGGAGCACGACAGGAAACGGCGACAGAGGAGCCGGAGCCCGGCGTTGGAGGCGCACCTACCGGCGCCGGCTCGTAAGTTCAAGAAGAAGGAGGACGATCCACCGCCGGCGAAACTGCTGGACGACCTTTTCAAAAAGACGAAGGCCACACCTTGCATATATTGGCTGCCGCTTACGAATGAGCAGGTAAGAACTCGCGATGAACAATCCGGGGATCAATGAGACGCGGTGAGACGACGATGAGTTGATGTGTTCCCTCTTTAATTTCTCTAAGCGTAAGATAGTTTTGATCCATAAATCCGTATTTTCGCATAGGAATATTTTGCAATTCCAAGAGCGTATTGATCGAAACACGATCTGCACGCATACGAAATTAGAAGAGGATTTACCATATTGTAGCTTACACAATTGAAGTTAATCTGTTCAATTTTATTTATACGTATCACAAATATAAAAACAGCTTCTCGTTTTGCGTAATTCTAGCGGCCGGACTGCTCCTATGGTTTTAATGAGAAATGAAAAGACGATAAAGGAGACCTGTTGAAATATTATATAAAATTTACAAGACCATCTTGCTTTCCGAAAATTGATATGTGAAGCGCATAATTTCTGATAACAGTTGTTCTCGTCAGCATATTATATGTTTAATTCTCCGTTTACCGATGCCTTGACCTTCTCACCGGGAAAAATCGACTGCCGCTGCCGCCACCGCTTGTAGATAAATATCCTCACGGGGCAAACGTGCGTGAAACGTTACAGATAGTCGTGAAGGAAGAGATGCGAAGGCAGCATATGGCGGAGCACGCACGCAGGCTGGAAGAGATGAGACGCGCAGACAGAAACAGAGACGGCCGACGTCGACGTAGCCCTAGGAAATAGACGAGACACAACGTATCTTTCCTCCTCGACCTGACTTAAATTGGATCAGCTTCAACTGACTCAGTATCCCCTCCTCCTCTCTCGTTTCCCTCCAAACCAGCACTGGATGTTTACTTTCTTTTCGTTATAATATTGTTCTTGCGCGCACGCGCGCGCGATATAGATAAGTTCTCCTGTATCGTTTGTCACGTAGTCAGGATGATGCATTAGCGTATTTCAATATTCGTTAGCTATAATCACATATCTCGGACTTTCTTTTCCGATGAAAAACAAAAATATCAATTCTGAAATTCTCGTAAATCTGTTTCGCCGTTAATTTCGTTTGCGTCCTCTTTCTTTCTTCGAAACCCCAACGCGTTCGATTTTTTAAAGAAGCTTATCGATGTCATTCGTCCGTCAACCAGTGCATGATTACCGACGGATTCCCCGGCTCTCCTCGATTCCTCTCCTTGTGCATCGGAATTAAACCTTACTTCTTGCAGGTCAACATTTATCTATCTCACAGAGCGTCAGTAACCGTAGATCAGACACGGTAGTGGTACTGTGTATTCACGTCGATCGTGCAGCAGACGGTAATCGTTTTTACTACGTCACGTGAAAGACCACACACATATACATACACATACACACACATGTGCTCGCGTGGACAACCCGTACGAACAACGTGGGAGAACCACTCTGAGGGAATAGAGAAAACGCATTGATTTGTCGAGCTTGTTTGTGGAATAGACTTGGTTATTCCCGACCGTCGAGTAACCTTCACGCCTCCGCTCTTCCTTCCGGCTTGATTTCTCATTCCGACGGAATCGGACGGACCGGACGAATACGCTTGGATCTATACGGCTTCGTCTGGATGGAAGGAAAGAGATACGTCGTCATCGTCGTCGTCGTCATCGCCGCTTGGGACTTAGGAGAAAGAGAGAGAAAGAAAGCATCATTTGTAGAACGGTGGCGGACAGGAGAAAAGGAACTTGCGTCTTCACGTTAATTGTTCTTCGTAGTTTACTCCAACTTCCTCTGAAAGACAGAAAGAAAGAGAGAGAAAGAAAGAGAGAGCGAGAAAGAGAGCGCGATGGCTTTGGCAACTTCGGTAGAGCGGCTACGGTTGAAGCGTCGTCAGTGTTGTAATCGTGCGATAGACTTAGCACAGGGCGAGAACATGTATGTAAATATAAGCGATATTCCACGGTGTGTGACATGTAAAATTATATAATAAATATTAAACGAAAGAACAATTGTTAGGATACACAAAATGTATACATACATATGTCGCTTACTTTTTACGATACACCAAATTGAAAAAAAATTTATTATTCACTTGTAGATCGAAAAGATTTGAAGCATCGATAGTATACAAATATATGTTTATGCTTAAAACGAAACCCGCTTGTATGTGTGCGTGTGTCGTTGTCTGATTTGTTACACGGCTTATGTCGTGAAATTACAACGGATGGATTCAACGGTGGAGGTCGCGCGACATGGAACAAAACACGTAACGACGCTCCAGATTACTGCAGGTACATTCATATGTATATAAACTTATTTGATATTTTTATTTATATCAGTAATAACATTATCAACACTAACATTGTAATTACTTTTAGTTTACAAAATTTGTGGAGTACAGAATGTGCATATTGGCTATTTAGATACGTCACGGTTACGAGTACTATCGGTAGAAAGAGAGAGAGAGAGAGAGAGAGAGATAGTGAAAAAAAAGAGAAAGAATGATAACAGAAAGTACATCAGATTTAATGATTAAGTTAATTTTCGATCTGTACATTTTTTTTTAATTGGTGTGTGTATATATATATGTGTGTGTGTATATATATAATACACTTAATTCGTAGATTTGTAATTTGAAAAGAAAAAATGACCACGCGAGTAAAACCATGGAATCAATATGTACATCGTTACAATCGAATACTCTTGGTAAATTTTACGCAGAGACGCGCACAATTTCGGATACGCCGATAAACTCGATGAAAGGTACGAACAGCAATCGATATAATCAGTATCAGTTTGGCGTGAGACATCGATTCTTACCGTTATCTAATCCGAGACATGCTAAACACAGTGTACCGTTTCTCAACGTAGGCCAAGAATTTCGCGAGAACAAGGAAACGAATGAAAATCAAGTGCTTATGCGATAGATACTTTTCACGAATACCTAAAACACATGTCTCATCGACACGCACGACGTATGCTGTGTGTGTGTGACGATTATTCGAGAGAATATTTCCGTAGAATGACTGATAGTCGACCACGATGCTGATGCGGTATCGTCCTTCGAAATCGTAATCCTTCGTGCGCGTTAACAAAATAAATTATTATTTATCGTTACGAACATCGTGACGATATTCGAGACAATAGATGTTTCAACGATAACAGCTCGGCGAATGGCACTATCGTTCGCTAATTATCGTCCCGTTAAGATTCTTTGTTTTTCTCCTTTTTATAACGCGAATTCGCGTAACGCCCCGACTATCGTTCATTCCCGTTGCGAACAGTTTCACTCGCTCGTATCCACACTCATTATACAGACGTTGTTCTCGCCATCAGTTTTCTTTATTTAGTCAACCTTCACAACACTATAAATTTTTCGCACGAACCAAAAGCAGGCGAAGAAACCGATTGAACCTGGAAAGAGAAAGAACACTTTTATTCGCCACCCTCTTAATCGATATTTGGCTGCCAAATATCTATTGTATGAAAGCTTGACTCGATTAGTTCATTCTTTTGTCATTCTAAGTTGTGTTGTTATTGTCAACGCGGAATTCTTGGCTGACTATTCCGTAGCTTTAAGTACTGCAACTAGTTACACCAACCACGGTCGATTATTCTTCTAATAATCGATCGTGGTTGATCAATCTGCTTATTAAACAAGATTGTGGACAAGGGATAAAGGGACGTCTGCGACGACCAGTATACTTGCCTGTTAAAAGGAAGAATAAGTAAACCATAATGAACGTGTATCCAAAGTACAGGAACGTGGAAGTGGCGCCTACGATGTCTAATTTCGTAAAGAAGAAGTGTATACAATAAATTAACAAGTAGATAGCAGTAAAGCCGGATGTGAGAAAACTGCGCCACCACCAGTGGTAATCCTACGAAGAATGTCATCAGCGTCAAAACTTTTTGAAGATGAAGGAACGAGAAACACACTGTGTAACGCCTGGCGTTCAAAGCGTATACGTACCTCCGCGCAAAGATGGAAGTAGCAAAGCAAAATCGTCGTCTCAGAACAAGTGATAACAAGTATAAGGAAAACCAAAAAGAGGAAACCGAACATGTAGTACACTTGGCTCGACCTGTTTGGAGAAAATCATGTGTAAGAATGTTTGATGATATACAATGTGAAGCAATAGTGTTACCATCTTGAATATCTTCGAAAAATGAAAATTCAATAGCAATCAAATCCAGAAGATGAAAAAAGTTTATATTCACAGAAGGTAAATACACGAGGATACTTTGAACGACGATAACAGCCACGTGCGGCCCACTTACCAGAGGGAATTAAGTATGAAGAACAGCTGTATGAATATGCAACCGAATGGTAAGACACCCCCCATGACGATCCCGGGTATCAGCTGCGTATAAAAATTCTGCTCCGGTATCTGCCGGGGTATCTGATTCGTTCTTACCGGATGTTCCAAAGCCTACGTACACCCAGCATCTCGATTAATTACTGTTATATCGTTACTTCGTCACAACAAAGTTGTGAACGAATATCGATGTTTCTCAAACATCGATCAGTCGCGCAATCCGTCCGCGATAGGCGCGCACACAAAACAGAGATACCAATTACCCTTTTCTTGAAGCCGAAATAAGCGCCGATGAAAGTTAACGGCACGGACACGCCGAACCATAGGGCCAGCAGTGCGATCAGAGTGCTGAAAGGCACCGCAGCTGAGCTCCCGTTCACCCAGAATATCAAGTTCATCGTGAAAAATAAGCTGAACACGATTCTGCGGAAAAAAAGAAAGGAACGATAGTGATTTTCGAGATAAATCCAGGTTAATTTGGAAAATCGGGAAATTTATACAGGAGGATATCTCCCAGAACTTTCGTTGCAAAGTGTCCCAAAGAATTTGTCATGTTAAGGACGCACGGTGGTTCCGGGAGGATATAAATTTCCTGTATATTATCTCGGATGCGAGAGGCGTCGTCTCAATTTTGCGAAGCAACAGACACTTTTACCCAGGACTCAGCATAGACGTTAATAGCACGTTGGACTTCCACTTCTCCCCGCCGAAGCTCTTGTATATCCGGGCGGCCACGTAACCCGCGGTAGTTCCCAGGCAGACGTACAACACCATCGCGCAAGTCATGAGGGCGCCTCTATTAGCCGGCGAGAGGAAGCCCAGACAAGCGAATGCTACAACGTTCATCAATGTGACATTTTTACTTGTGTCGCTGGCGTGACATTTTCTTCTTGAGAGCGGGGAGAACGATCGAGCGTACCTAGCGTGACTAACGTCATGAAGAACACTTGAACACCGGAGCCAAGGAGAACGGAGAGCAGCATCCCTTTGCGCGGAGGGCGGAACACGTCGCCGTGCACCAATTTCCAGCCGAATTCCTCTTGTGCATCTTCACCCGACTCTATCTGGAAGTAGGCCTGCGTTATCGCAACACAGACAGAGGGATGTATCACAATCTTGTAAAAGTGAAGAAAACGTATGGTTACCTTCACCTTTTCGCGGGGTAATTAACGTGTGCTTCCGCGAAAGCTCGATTAGAAGCTCGTCAGTTTCACCGTTACCCGAAGTGTTTCTTATTACAGGATTAGTACAGCCTACATTTCAAGCCAGCCGATTTCTAAAGGGTGCAATTTTACCGAAAAGCTCTCGAAAATTCACACGTGAACATTCTTTGACGAGAATTTTTCCCAAAAATAGAACTTCCGATACTGATAGGTACTAGATAGATATTGATAGATAGAAATACTGATAGATTTATCAGCTTTTTCGGTGATAATCTTTTCCTGATATCGAGCGATATACAGCGTTGTTATTTAAAGCATCAAATAACGCGAAACTATCACCGGAAAACACGGAAAAACTTTCACAGATTCATTCGATTACTTACACACGCTCACCTCGTGCTGGTGAGAGTATGAAAAGTGCGTATATGTGCGTAGAACACAGAAAGAACTACGTAGGACCGCTAAGTTACGTATATTGATCGGGGCGTATGAGTACCTGATTATATCGCGCGATGTCTTTGTGCAGAGTACGAAGCATTATCATGGCCACCATGCCGGAAAGGAACAGAACGATAATTAACGAGTTGAGGATGCTGAACCACTGAATGTTTGTATGCGGCATCGATTCTAGAATGTAGTCCCATCTGGATGACCATTTGATTGTGTTATTCCTCTGAAACAATCGCACAATATCGCTCTTGGTTTTCCTCTCGGAAACTCACTTGCGTTTCACCGCACCCATCGAAAATATTCCTATACTTACCACGAATTTCACGGAATACGTGTACGTCACTTGGAACGTTTGTCCATTCGCGAGCGCATTGGTATTTCCAGGTATTTCCAGTGGTATTTGACTCTCACAGTCGATCGTGCTGGTATGCTTGATACTGTGAGGCATGACTTTCACGGCTGTTAACGGCATCAGAATTGTTACGCATGTTTTATTTCGATTTAGAAGTGTCTTACGATTTTAATGTATCGTGATTAAGGCTCCAGAGTAGTCGCTGTGACTGTCCTTATTTTAGTAATTTCAATGCTAGCGGTAATCACGTCGGTCTCGATGTGTACGAAAGTACTCACATATAATACGACCGCCGTTGTCTCCAAAGCCCGATGCCCACTCCTCCGAACCACCACTGTGATAGGTTATAGTAAGGTTCACATGATTGAACAGGTAATAAGTGTTCGGTTTGTTGTACGGTCCCTGTTGAACGCGGATAAAAATGCGTCTGTTTAATCGATAAATTACCTGCGTAATTCGACGATAACGCGATAACTTGGTCTCATACTCACGTGTATAGTGCAAGTATCTTGCTGTAACTTCGATTCTTTGGAAAAGCAACCCATCGGGAAGCCGGTACTACAATATTGTCGTTCGTCTTCGAGCTGGTAACACCACGTCACTGGCATGTTATCTAACAGAAATGAAATATATAAATGGAATCCACATTAGCAAACCATCACAAATATGTATTTTCGATATGTTTGATCGATATTTCTCGATGCCCTACCAACGATCCAGTGATGTTGATAATTCATCGCCATCCCTTTCCTCAATAATTGCAGCTTCTTCTCTGAAGCTGCGTCACCTCCTGTATAGGTTTTAATGCACGTTTTGGAACACTTGACATCTTTCAAGAATTCCAACTGAAAGTATATACGTCTTAAATTTGCCGATCCGTCGAGAAATAAGTACTTATATCAGATTTGGCTATACTTACAGTGTACGGAGATGGTCGTATGCGTTCCCCAAATACAACCTGTCCCAGATTCTCAACCGGTGACTGTCCGTCTTCCACGGTACAGAAGTCAAAGCTAAAGTTGAGAAGTTTGCGAAATATTAGGAAATATCAGGCCAGAGAGAGAGACAGAAAAATATTGAAAGAATTGTATACCACGATATTACTTACTGACTGTACTCGTAAGGTATAACATACTTCTCCGTATTCAATCGATTTACATACAATTTAATTTCAGACTAGAACAGAGAGAAAGAGAGAACCGAATAATTTCTATAATCACATATTCACCGAATGACATAACACATCGAATATCGTGTCAGGCACAATACAGTATTATTAGTTGATAGTACGACAAGTTACACGCAGCTATCATGTGTTATCATTCCTAATCAACAGCTCAACCGACAAGGCACGGAAGTAATATATAAGAGGAACATGCGTGACAAAAATGTTAAGTACAAATACTGCCGAGAAATCATAAGACACATAGCACGACATATGCGTACGTGTGAACGTACTTGTGTGTTATGCGTGTAAGAATTATTTACATTATTACGTGCACATGTATATGCACATATGTACGCATGTATGTGACATCGATCATAACCAACTAGAGTCGGTCGTCTTTCACCCAGTCCCTGCGTGACGTACCTTGCAGTTAGAGGAGGTTTCGCTGGCCTTGCAATAATTCACGGGCGCCAGACCAGGCAGGTAGAAAGCCGAGGCGCCGTAGAGTACAGACAATGCACAGAAGACAACCGTCGTCGTTCTCATTGCTGTCACGAGTCGCGGGCACTGGTCTCCTTTGATAAAAAGTTCTGCCTACCGCGTTTCCTGCTTTTGTACTCTCCTACATGAAAGCGTCGTTCGCATCATACGTTACGTCTTACGTTGCGAAGGTTCTTCTTTCGCTCGGGGATTGCGCGAGTCGTCGCGGGTAACGCTTATCACATCTCGAGCGCTGCCATGACACGTCATAAAGTGCGCGACGGCGAGTGTCCGGTGACTAATAATCGCCCTCTCCTCTCCGTCCGAGCGTTTCCTAACGATCCACTGCTGTCTTTGAATTGCGCGCCTATCGCGGACGGATTGCGCGACTGATCGATGTTTGAGAAACATCGATATTCGCTCATTGAGGATGCGTCGTGCGAACTTGCCGGATGTGCCGATTGGCTGTCGGATAGAGAATTTCTAAAGTCCCTAACATTTTCTCTAGATGTAAGACCATCCAAAAATCACTGATATCTCGGGATATTGTTGCAATTACTCGGCTTATAGCATTGGGTTGAGGAATTTAACACATCAAGAGTTACATTGTATATACATATTGATATAATTAATACTACTAAACTAATTAACATGATTTGTAACAATGTAGTGAATACAATGCATCGGTTCATCTAAGTTGTTGCAATAATCGAGAATCTTTGTGAACTCTGTATGTACAGCATTTTGTATATTATATGTACACTAATTATGTTTAAATTATATCGTTAAATAGATACGTGATGGAGTCACAGGTTCCAAATATAATAATATTATACTAAGGCATAATACACTGTAACAGGTACATATGCTTATTATTATTATTATTTCATTATTTACTTAACACGTTTTCTTCTCGTGATCTTACAAAAATTACATATATATATATAGAATTATCACAAACTACATAATTACTATATATACATATATGATAATTCTTGTGTACAAAAAGTTTTATAAAAGTATCATACATAAATTTAGAGCATCAGTTATATTTTATCTTCTCAAATATTCTTTTGTGGTCTACTACCAAAAATAGCAGTACCTACTCTCACACTTGTACTACCAAGTTCAATCTGCAATTGAGAACGAAAGTTATATCTAATGCCAGATATGCGAAACCTGTCGACTGCTTTATTCACAAGCGATCTAAAAACTTACCGCATGTTCATAATCATTAGACATTCCCATTGATAATTCAATATTTTTAGTATCGATCCCTAATTCATTGCATACCATTTCTTGACATTTCAACAAGCTAATAAAATCGGGATTCGGCCCATTTGCAATATCGTGTCCAAATATTCCTATTGTCATTAGGCCGATGAATTTTAAACTAGGACAAGTATTTACAATGTATTTTACAAGAGCTGGTGCTTCTGTCATGTCACAACCACTTTTTCCTATAATCATAATTATAGATTTAACAATACAGAATTAATTGTTAAATTATTCTTCCGTGTTTATCACGTAATATATAAGAAATATTTTATTACCTCTTTCTTGACTTGTATTAACTTGAACCATGATGTTCAGCTTCTTGTCATCACTCTTTCGAAATTTTATCCACGAATTATTAAGTGCACTTGCAATTCTCTCGTTATCAACGGTTTCTATTAGATATAAGTTTGGTGCGCTCAACACCTTATTGACCTTATTCCTCTGCAAATTGCCTATAAAATGCCACTGAATCTCCTTGCAATGCTTCAAAATCTGTGGGTGCGAAGCCTTTTCCACCAACTCGTTCACATAATTTTCACCGAAATGTCTTTGACCCGCTTCGTATGCAGATAATATCGACTCGATAGACTGCAGTTTACTAACCGCTACCAATCGTGGCTCGCAGTATCCGCGTTCCTGTAAAAGATTTTTTTCTTATTATCTAACTTGTTATCTAATCTTCTTTATTGCATATTTCCTTACTGCGTTTTCTCATTCTACTGACGATTTGGTATATTCTCTAAAAATAACATAACGTTTATGCTACTGATGTTAACATAACCATTACTAGTAAAGACTAAATAAAGCGAAATACCGGTGCTCTCTTTGAGGCAGCGCGTAATATCTTTTCACACACTAATTTCAAATTTGTTGCTATTTCTGCCATATTCCTCTTCTTAATATATAGCTGCTATTGGACTGCACAACAAATTGGAAAAAGCACTGTCACAAGGTACTGTCACAAGGTACAATAATCAGATTGGAGTTTGACAGATATTCCTGATATTAGGGAGAATTCACACGGGAAGCGGAAAAGCAACGGCCAATCAGAACTCACCCTGGTACTAAACTAAATTAAACCTGCAGATAAAGCAGAAACTGTCGACTACCAGCGCGAATTCTGATTGGCTGCTACTTTTCTGCTTTCTACTTTCTGTCAGATATGAATTCTCCCTTAGATTGGAAGAATCCTGTTAGCGCACAGGATGCGATAACATACGTCCACTCACATCGGCCGGTGTCTAGAATTTTTCCGCTAGGTCACCAATCAGAAAATTTCAATTTCGCTTATATCTCCAGAACTATTGACACCTCGACAAATTTTCGTTCAGAGAAAGTTAAATCGTTCGGAGAATCTTTCTCGATAAAATTAATGTCGCGAGAACTGGGACATCTTGTATACAATGAAATATATCCCGGATAAATTATACATTCTTCGTGATGCACGGGAAAAATATTACACGCTATTATTTATTACTACGCCACTGCGTATCTCTTTCTTATATTTCTCCATATTCCGCACTCGTGAAAATTCGCAGTGCCCACGCGCGAAGTGTTCCACTTCTCCGCCCGTGCAGTATCAACGCAGCTGGGGAGGAATAAGTTGCAACGGCCATGGGGACTGTGTAGCAGTCGCTCTCTCGGTGTTCCGGTCGCTTGTTTTTATTTCTTTGTTTTTAGTTTCGCCCAGGATTATCCGTTCGCCGTCGAGTTCCGCGGAATTCGACTCGCGATACGATGGCCGTGATAGATTCTACGGGCTTTCTGGTTTCGTTGCTGTGTCTCGTCGCGGTGCTAACCTCGTCTGTCAGTGCTGTCGCGGGACCAGATGGCACGTCCTCGGCTTCGCCATCTCTGAGCCAGGATTGTTCGTCCAAATCGTCGTCAGCGACAACCGGAAAACACCCACATTGTAATGTCACGGACGATAAACAAATACCGAAGGCAAGTATGGAATCCGTGCGTATTATCCATGTGTGACATGTACTTTGAATTTATTAGCGCTCCTTTGCTTTGTTTATTTTGTTTTGTTTTTCGTGTTCCGTTGTTGCCTTCGAATACTTTCGGTCGTTGCTATTTTATAGCAAGATCGTAGAACGCAGGACGATCAGGATACAAAAATTCCTCGTGTATATTTAGCTTATGACTCATATTCCTGTTCTGTTCCTTGTTCTTATTTTCCTGTTCCACACATCCTGTGCTTTCTCTTAATATTTATCAAATTTTGTGAAATATTCCGGATATTTTTCTTAAGAATATCTTAATTTCATCAATATCAGCAATAAGTGATTGAATTTTTATATAATAAATATCAGATATTTGATAAAATTATCCTAATTTTATTAAAATAGTATATAATATTTACATACTATTATTAATATGTAATATTGACATAATATTAATAATATTTAATATGAAATATTAATTTGATAAAGATATCCCTAAACTTCTCGATACCAGCGGCGAGTGATTGAATCTACATCAAATCTCAACAGAATCTCACGAGTACATCGATGATGGCGGAAGGGGGACCAATACCAATATCCACAAGCCCTGAACAGCAGGAGAATATCAAGGCCCCAATTGAGGCTGACACCTCCCATGAATTCAGAGCGAGAGAAAATATGCCTAAGGAGAGATTCGCCGCGCCTTCCGTAGTAGCGAGGAAAGGAGTCGAGGAGAAGAAAGTCAAGGCGAGGAAAGGCGTGAATCAATCTAGCCTGGACTCGGAGCAAGCGACTACGTCGTTCAGCCAGACCACTCTCGAGAATGCAAGACTACCCGTAGCGGAGAACGCCACAACGGCGCCTGCTCGCGCCGATGATCAAGCGGAAGCTTCCAACGTCGACGCACCGAAGTCAAACGTCAGCGATTCACGGCCTAACGCAGATCATGCAGATCATCACTCAGGCGCTAAATCCAGTTCGATTTTAATCCCGGTGAACGCGAGCACCTCTCACACAGAGAGCACGAACGACACGACGATACAGAAGTCTTCCCCGCCGGCGGAAACGAAACACGTACCGAAGCCTAAACCAACGGTGACGACTGTCGGCAAGTCGGAAACTAACGAGGCTAGGCTGCCCTCGCGTAACAAGGGCTCTCTATCGGGCAAGCCGAGGAAAATCGACTACATCGTGCCGGTCATCATAACGATCATAGCTGTGCCCTTATTGGGCACCGCAATTTTCCTCTTGTACAGACGCGGTCGAGATTGCTGGGACAAGAGGCACTATCGTAGGATGGATTTTCTGATCGACGGAATGTACAATGACTGAGAGAAAGAGAGAGAGAGAGAGAGAGAGAGAGAGAGCGAGCCTTGAACGGCGACGATCTGCCCGCCGTGAGACTGCAGACCACATACAGCCGTGTGTGGTTACGCGAGAGGATCCGTCGACGGTCCATTTTCCCTACGCGTTCCTCTGGCGAACGCAGATTTGGCAGTTCTCTCGGAGCAGTCGTTGCCGTGCAACAGCTTCGATTTTATGCTACATGACAATGTCCGAGCGAGAACTGCGCTTGTCGTCGGTACGGTTGGTCAGTTAGGACGGTTGCCATAGTTTTCTCTTTTCTTCGACATGTTCCGGAACATACGAAAGTTACGATGAAGCAGTGTAAAAGAGACACGTAAGAAAGAACTGTCGCAACCGTCCTGTGACCGACCATATGTGTCTATCAACATGTTCGCTACCAACGTCACACGCATATGTGATGCACCGTTGATCTCTTACCAGAGACCAACGTCACACATGCGTAGCACATTGTGTAGTCGGTATTCGTGGTCAAATCTTGTGTTTGGGTCGTGCTAATCTTCAGATGCCTTGCTGCCGGTTTGTTGGACCAGATATCGCACTCTTCTCACCTTTAGAGCGAAAAGAATACACAAGTTAGCGCAATGCTAGTTTAGCTGAAATGACCGGGCTTAACGAGACGATCTGTACAGTAGAAGAAGAAGAAGACTCGAGACGATCTTAAATATGAGATCTGCGAGTGTCGCTCTGTGTTCGAAAATGCTCAATTCGCCTGTCAAATATATTGTGCGTAAGTACAAACATACGTTGTATCAAGGTGGCAAACAGGTGGTGAAGATGCTGTGTGGGCTGCGGTGAGCGACTATGAGTGTTTGGTTCACGTGTTCCATGTCGAATTAATCTTACGTAACTGGTCCACGCTTGCCGTATTACGGGCGAAATTTAATCTGTCAAATAACACTTGTCACAAGAATTACCTAAGCACCTCGATAATTGCTTCGTTTTCGAGGCAAAATATCAAAAACAGCCTTGACCCGCGCAGCACGAAACACGAACGCGATAGCGAACATGTTGAAGAACTCGACAACACTTTGCTACGTAGTGTAAACATATAGAACGATATGTATATCGCGCTATCGTGCAATGATATAACGTCCATGTTCGGCGTGCACAATCAGCGGATTAAAGTTACAACGTTTTCTTTTTTTTTCTCCTCGATGAGTCTCCTCTCGTATCCAGTAGGCAAATGAATTTTTGATTGCTAACAAATAAATTCTGTTGGACACTGATTGACACGAGACTCATCGAAAAAGAAGATGCTCCGACCTTTGATCCGCCGACTGTGTCTGCTGACGTCCAAGCTTGCTGTGCAATCTCCCCCTCGTCGTACTGTTGCCTTAATGACAACGCGGTGGAAATTTTGTGATTCGTTATGCGGCGATGTTTACATTTCGCATTGTTACTCGGTAGCTTTAGCAGCTGATCGTACCCTTAGGATAATCGGACGCGAGAAAAAATCATATCGGAGGAGCCTCGTGCTGAGGGGCTTTGATGAGACAACGATTTTACTAACAATTGCGATATCTTCCGCATTGAATATACTTTCCTAAATTAATCTCGTCGAGATGGGGAAAATTTCGGTTGGACACGCAGTGTTTCGGAAAAAAAAAATTTTTATATATATATATATATATCGGAACTTGAAGACTAAAGCAATTTCTTGAAAAGTAATGCCGGATATACAATTTCCCAAAATACAAATTTGACAATAATACAACTTTTTAGTGTACAATTCTGCCGAAACATTTGGAAGCATCATAGAATTGTCCCAGCTTTCGAATCGTGAGATTTTGATTCTTTGGATACAATATGTGCCCGCCGAAAATTTCCCTTGGGAAAAATCGTTGCTTTTTTTTATCTTCACTCGAAAGAATCTTTATGTGAACGTTGCACAACTTCTATATCGTGATCTTCCTTTGTGGGTAAGAGTGTGCGCGTTTATATTACGATGCCATTTAGAAAATGTAAGAGTGAAAAGTTCACCGAAGGGTCCAATTTTGCCAAGTCCGACAATAATATATCAGCAAACCGAATCTCTCGCAGAATCTCGGCAGAAGGAACGGAGAGATCGCGTCGTGCTTCAGCGATCCCTTAGCGATAGCAATAAACGGTCGCGCGATTTCTCCACGCTACGAGAACCCCCGTAGTTCGTAAGATGACGCTTAATTGTACGAGACGCGATAATGATACACAAATTTTTACCAAAGAGTTACCCTGGTTTGTGTGACACACCGTTCGTTACTGTGTATTTCGTTCATTTTACTATATTTATATATGTTGCATTTATATTTCGCTGGATCTTACGAATCTCGGATCTTCTATTTAAGCTTTCACATAGTGAGGATATTTTTACCGTTTATATTTTTGCCATATACGAGATATCGCGGAGTAGGGCAGGCATGAGACGTCTTCTCGTGTAAATAGGGCGAATAATGATTTGGTGAAAATTATACGGTCTGCAAGACCTTTCTAAGATTGTGATTTTTACGAGCGAAATTGTGTTTCACGTTTTCGAAAGTATATTTTATTAATGCGCGGGAAAGCAATAATAATAATGATAATATAATTATTTTTATACGTCTATGTAAGAGAGACAGATTATTCATATTGTTACGAAATATACGTACTTGCAAAACCACACGTTGTTGTGTTGCTCATTTCGAAATTCTTCTCCGTCGACAAGAACACCGCAGAAGATTAATATTTGTAAAGATTTTATTAATAAGCTTGTCATATAGATACATAAATACAGAAACGTTAGAGATATATATATATATATGTATATATATATATATATATATGATTTCCGGATAATCTAACGTTTGCAAGCGATCCGTTGGGATTCCCGAAGACTTTTCGAAATGAAAATGTCAAGGTTATGAGAATTCTTAAATATGGAAAGTGTTTGAAGATAGCCAGACTTTCAAAAATTCACGCACTCAAAAACACGGCCCGTCGTAACGAAGATGGCCATGAAAAATCATTTTCATAATAATGATGCAAATCTACTAGACATATCAGCAGATATTGCTTCATAACTTTGTCATATGCTTTATTATATGAGATATCATTAATCTATTGAACGTTGCGCTAATAACAGTAGCGGTGTGAGAGTTTCACAGGATATTAGCGCGATGTGCTGATCGAAATGTCGAAACTGCCATGCGTCTTTGGTGAATAACATGTCCTCACGATAAAGATGCTCAAATCAATACCAATAATATATTATTATTATTATTAATCCTACTACATATTATTATTAATATTACTATTATTATTACCAAGCTATGAAAGCTTCATCAATAAATCATCGTTATGTTTTATACATATATATCGCGCGAGTTATTAATGTTAATACGCGTCTATCTCTACGCAATCGGTTTAAATTTTTTTCTTCGAGATACTCGTGATTGCTAACGTTCTGTTCTAATTCTAATAATAACGTTCTCCTTCTAATGAGAGATTGTACTTATTCTAGAAAAAAAGTACAGTTACTTTTTTTAGTTCCCGAACCAAGTCAAGTTATCGCTTGCGCTAAAAGTATCGTCGTCACCTGAAACTAAATATAAAAATAGTGATCTTTTTTTGACGCTCTCTATTCAATCTGAGATTACCGTTGCGAAATCAGTATACTCGAAAGCATCGTGACGGTGATTCAATCCCCGAATAATGTTAAAACATGAATATAATTACGGCATTTCCACATGCGTGGTGATAAAAATATCATATTTCCATTTTTTATTTCCATTTTGCGTTAGAAAAGTAAATTAATATCTACAGACCTGTCTCGACTACGTTGAAGAAGCTTCAGGATTATTTGTGTGTGTGTGTGTGTGTATGCGCGCGTGACATATGTGTGCGTGCGCGCGTGTGTATGTGCACCTTATAAATTCGTATATAACACATTAATACCAGTCTATCAGAGATTTAACGTAAGGACTTGTGCATGAATGTACAGCTTAAATACATATCACTTTTTAACATCGATGCTAAAAATATTATAGAAAAAATGTGTGAATCAAGATTGAACTGAAAGAAAAATACGAGAAATAATTATCGGAGGACGTTACATTTTTTTTTGTCGCGTACATGTGTACAATTTCGAGGATGTACTTTATCGTTGGAATTTAGAAGAATTTGTACACACTCGAGCGAGCGAATGGAATGTACACGATGGAGAAACAAGAAGAACGTGAATTGACTCCCGGTAAGGGCTAGAAAAAAAAAAAGGAAGGAAGGGGACGCTCGTTACTAAATATCGGCGAATACAGGCGAATAATGAGAATCTCATTCTGTTGCATCCCAAGTAAAATATAAGGCACTCGGTCTGTTATCAATTTTTACGAATTTCCCTCCGGCACTTTCCCGATACTTTCTCTATTCAGTCCAACCTTACAATAGCATTTGTATATATACAGTCGTTATCACACCAGGTCAGTGAGCGGATAGTAAAGAGTTACCTGCGTGGCAGTCGTCTAACCGGTAAAAAGTCGAAGACTTCCTCGCGACATGTACTTTGAAATAACAAATTCATGAAAAATCAGGATGTACATGAAATTTTCGACAGATTATAGAGCGATCGAAGACGAACGAGGGAAAGAAGGAGAGCCTCTGAGACAAAGGCAGATGCAAAAAGCATATTTAAATATTATGGAAAGGAAAGAAAAACAGAACTGATCACCGGTCAGACGAGTGGCGTGCAAATGAAGATCGCGCATCCTCTGAAATTTATCCGGTCTTGTCGGAGAAGTTCGCCGGTTATGCGATACATCAGACCGGATGAAATCGATTACACTCTCGATCCGCCGTTTCCCAACTCGGTCAGTAAAATGCGGGATTATTATATTGCACCTCACGGAAAAATTCCCTTTTTGGAAGTTCCCTCGGAGACTTTAGCGCGGGCCACCCCGAGCGGCTCCTCTACTTCGATTTGTACTTCGCTTCGTCCGGGAAAATCTCCCTTGCCGGCGCGAGGCTGAGCATCATCACGTGACGCGCGTAGTTCCGCGAGTTGCGGAACTGCGTGTCGGTGCCGTGGATGCGGTCCAGAACTCCGAGTACGCCGTAGCACTGATTGAACCTGCAAATACTCGTTCAAATCACTCGACTCTTCTCTCTCATCTGTGAAGATAATTCAGCCATATTGTTAAGGCTTATATGAAGAAACGTTACACGCGTTATCGCAATAACGTTCCATCGATGATTCTTTTTTTCCTTATCGGGTAAAATATGCAACGAGACAATTCCAACGGAATGAGGCACGTTAGACAGATGAGCAAACGCTATGTAACAAAATTAGGCTGTTATTGTTACGGCAGAATGCGCATTACTTGAGATGATGGAAGTCGTGTGCCTCCGGCGACGGGAAAAATGGTAGGTGATAGCCGGAGTGTGCATTCAGCGTCGACAGGATCGCGAGGGAGAACCAAAGCCAGGCGGTGGCCACGTGAGAGCCCATAAGGAACACGCCGAGGAAGGGCGGCAGCAGGTTCGAGCCGATGTTCTCCAAAGGATGGCAATACATCGCAGTGACGGCCACGGGCGCGGTCCATTCGTGATGCTGCTTGTGTATGTACTTGTACAGGGTGCCCTTGTGGAGGAATCTGCAAAGCGAATCGGCAGAGAGGAGGTTCATATCGGTTTTGCCGTTTCGCGACATGTATTTCCAGGAGCGGCGGAGCGGTACATACCTGTGCGAGTAATAAAAGCCAATCTCCTCGCATAATATGTGAATCGCGATCTCGGCGAGCACCCAGTGGAAGGTCGGCAGCTCGCGCACCGGGGGGAAACCGCGCCATTCCATGATGTAATAACTCAGATAGATAACGGGAAACCCGACAATGATCTGATTGAATAGCACTTGACCGATCACTTTGCATAACTTCCTCTTGTCGACCGGCTCGTTCGTGCCCGGTTGTATCTTGTATCTGCGCAGTGCCGCCGGCCGATTGGTGATGTCCAAGATAGTGTAGATCCCGCCGACCATCCAGTAGACGACTATCATCAGCAACAAGGATCCTGTGCAGGATAATAAATGCGAGAGAGAGAGAGAGTTAACGGTTGTAACCTTCGACGATGGGGATGCGCGCAACACCGAGCCGACTATTGCCATTATTTTTGCGTTGGCTTTTTCAACACGTTCTCTGCCAACACGTGTACTCGATCTCTCACGGAGGACCGTCGCCGCATACGTGTGCGATAATTTTTCATTCTGTGTCTACATAAATAAACTATGTCCGTTACGTTTTACACCGTCGCACGGGAAAATACGATAGTGAAGACACAGATATTTATGCGAACGATTTCCCAAATGAAAAATGATGGTAGGGAATGTGTGTCAAGGATCAATATTTCCGAACTTACCGTAAACCCACAGAGTAACGGGGTCATCTCCAAATCTGTCCAGGATCTTGTCCCACTGGGCTTGCCAGAAGTCACCAGATGCCCCCCAGAATCTCTGCAAATGCCTGGAAAATTACCTGTCAATTAGCAAGTTGATTCGTAAAAAGCTTTTACGCGTGAATATTGAGCGTGTATATTTAGTTCCATATTTAGCGTTTAGCTCTACAGAAAGAATGTAGAAAAGAAAGAGAGGGAGAGAGAGAGAACTTCCCAGACAGCAGAACGTCTTAATTCGGAACATAAGACGTTTTAGAGAAGTCTTATCTTCCGATTTTAGATACTGTGCTATCGGTGTTATTTTTAGTTAAATCTCTTAGGATTGTGCAAATGGAAACGATTAATCGGCGAGAGATAATGCATTTTTCGACAACTCTCATTCAAATAAACACATATCATATTAATAAAATAATAATATAATAAGGTTGAAAATAGCTTGTCATTATCTCTTTAAAAAAGGGGTGTGTTTAAATAATTTTACCACGTCAGGGAATTGCAGAAAGCGGCGAATCCGATTACCACAGTCCCGATAACGAAGAGCACGCTCCGAAGGCTCGAGAGGAGCGTCGGTGGAGTTTGATTCTTCGAGGCATCGTTGGCAGTGGTGGTTGCTGCGAACAGAAAAAGATAGAATGAATCTCGCCGCGAATACTCAAAATATCGTAGCTTATTTACGGGCGCCGAGGAGCGCGCACTCATTGACACAATGAGTTATCGTCACGTGCACTCGTACGGAAAAGCTTGTTTTATTTCTCGTTCGTTTTTCAAAGCGGCCATGAGTCATCTATAAGTCATGTATGCGGAGAGTCATAAAATCTCACATAAATTTTCTAAATTGTGAGTGTACAATCTTTTGATTTTACAGAGAGAGAGAGAGAGAAAAATAATCCAGAGAGACAGCAACTTTTATGCTTTCATAGCAAATAAAAAAATATACAAGGTGTTTCTTAATTACTGTCCGTAATATTTTAAGGATTGATTTTGAGGCCACTTATGAAGAAATAGATGTGTTCGTGTGGACTTTTTTTTTAAAGAATCTTTGACTTCAAATCAACCGATTACTAAAATATTAGAAAGTACTTAAAACACACCTGGCATATTTATTTCTTTGTAACGACACAGTATAAATTTCAATTGCGTCAGAGCCTGCTGACAAAAATATGACTGCCATCTAGTCTTCGTTTGCTTCCTGTTCGATTGTATGAACTGAGATGTTTTTTTTTTCCATTTGAATATACTTCGGTACATTCACATTTGAGATATTGAAACAAAATTGAAGTATCAAGAGTCACTTGCTTTTGCATTGGATCGGAGCGTTGCATGTGAGGAAATCGTGCTGTGAAAGTGCTGAAAGCTAAAAATTGCGAAAGCGATCGCAATTACCAATCCTTTCAAAGGTCGGTTCATTGCGTAAGACAAATCAATTTTCCATTCACGGCGTGTTCGCCGACAGGTGCGATTGCCGACTCGGCACGAGAACAAACAAGCGCAAGGACAAGCGGAAATGTTCAATAGGCGTTTCACGTGAAAATTCGCTCAACGCCTGGCAGGACGACGAGACAACGAGAGTGACTCGATTTTCAGATAACGAGATGAGTTCCGTTGATTATTAACCGGACACAAGATCGTTCGGATAGCCGCTACAACTCACAATGCAGATCGAAAAGTTGGGGCGAAACCTAGACGGGCAGAACTTGATAGTAAAAATTAAACTTTGTGAGAACTTTCACGAAGAACTCCGAGAACAGGGTTACCTGCCGAAGAACTCGATAGAAGTGACATCCTGCATCTTCGGATTGTTCGGAGCGAAGTGAATTTGCAAAACAGTTTCTTGCTCTTTCTGGAAACTTCCGACTTTATACATACGATGTATCACTTCTTACGCATCGCCGTACTGTAAAAAATTGTACCCCATACTATGTCCAAGAAATTAATTTCCACATCATCACGTCATCTTCGCGCAAAACAAACAAATATATTAAGATGCAAAGCGGGCGCAAAAACTAAAGCGTCAAGGACTCCTATAGCCGATAGACTCAGTAATAGCTTGCGCATCTATTAAGATTGATTATACGTGCATTTAGAGCAATAATGATTTATCTTTCTTAACGAAAGATAAACTATACTGTACAGTACTGTACTATTTCTGTATTGCTCGAAAACATGTTAAATTGTAGAAAAAACTTTACAAAAGGGACAAACTTTATGTAATAATTTCTTTACGTAAAAACGCCGTGAACATTACGACTGCAGTCAAGCATTGCAAAGCATTATTAATTGCAGTCATGCGTTCTTGCAATTTTGTTTTTCATTGCGATACGCTTGACCGCAAATAAATATTAGAAATAAACCCGATAGGATCCCGAAAACATTCCGATAACTGATAACATTCGTGTCACGATTTTTCAACTTGTTATTCACGAATTTACCTATGGTGAAATAATTAATGACGTAAAGATAGTATCCGACTGAGAATTTTTCGCCGTATTGTAGAACTTTAATGAGTCACTCTACGCTAACTTTGTTACATGCGCTGCGTAGTTCTTTCGGCTTGTCGTCCGTTCCGTAATGCTGTTCCGTTTCGTAATGCTGCGATAGACTCTTCTTGCAAGGTTGGGTATTTTGCGTTGTTCATCTAAACGTGCGCCGTGCATAACGGTTCTTTATTTATACGACGAATTTACGAAATTTATACAAGTGCGAATAGGTTTCTCGCACGGAACGAACGAGAGAGAGAGAGAGAAAGAGAGAATAGGCAACCTAGCGAGGTCGACTTCCTCGACGACGACAATCTCTCTTTGTTTCTCGGACGGAAGCTTTGTTCTTAGACCGCTAAATACGCCCGTCCGACTAGTTTAAAGAACATTCATCATGTCATCTTCGCGCGAAACGAACAAATATAAGTTCTTGCTGTTAAACAGCCGTATCTTTTGGTGCGATATATTTTGCACGCGCGTGCACAGCGGGTGCAAAAACAAAAGCGTCAAAGACTCCGATAGCCGATGGACGCAGTAGTAGCTTGCGCATCTATTAAGATTGATTATATGTGCATTTAGAGCAATAGAGCTGCTTCGTAGAACACGATACAATCTTCCCGCAGCGAGTTACGTGCGAGTCGAGGAGACGTTATTATTAATATATACGTTATTATTAATATGCAGGTTAAAATGCTCGGAAATTTTACAGGCTATTAATCCCGATCGCTCGCCGGCCGATCGTTATATATCCGCGAAAGAATATCCATTAGCTAAATTAAAAAAGATCGATCTTCAATTGTCGGTTAGCAAGTGCATGTAAATGTTACAGACGGTATGTTAGGCGTCACAGATGCCTTAAAAATTACCATTGTCATCACTATAATTATCTTTATTATTATCATCGTCATTATTTAAAATATGTAAATTATATATAAATATAATTTATTTAGCACTTTGAGAGAAATCCCCTCAAGCACAGATCGATGTAAGTACAATTCTCCAAAATTTGCTATAATTCTCAATTTTCGTTATACATAAGTTTAAAGATTATAGAAATAATTCCCCAGATAGCAGAAACTTCCGAGATATCTTAAGAGAAAAAAAAAAATGTTTAAGTCGCTCAGAAACTTCTGAAGAAATAGGCCTTTAAAATTCCTACGTTGTTCAATTTTCATTGTAAGGATGAAAATTGTGGAAGTAACTTCCCAAGTTAGCAAAATCTTCCAAAGAAGACATCTTAAAAACATTTGAAAGTTTCCCGAAGACATCTGAAAAGATCGGACGTCTTTCAAAGGTCTTCAAAATATCTTTAAAACATCTTTCAGACGTTTCTCTGTTGGATTTTATTAGTTATTTTATCGTGTAAAATCTAGTTAAAATATTACAAGCCGCATATGTAACATCTGGCAGCACATTAAGTTTCTCCGTGAGTAATAGGAGCGACGTTCACTCGTTTTCCGCTAAATCGCACGCATTTTGAATCGAGGAAAGAAAATCGGAAAAAACGGCAGTGCTATTCCGTGTGAACATATAATAATCATTCTTTCGAGTCAATAAAATGCATCGAGCGGTTCCGAATACAAAAAAAAAAAAAAAAATAAATACGGAGATCTCTCCAGCCAGTAGAGACTGAACAATTACATCGGGCCGACCAGGACGACACTTGATCGAGCTGTATGGATAACGACGATTTTGTTGAAAGAAACCGCTACTTCGAACGTGCTCGCGCGCTTGACACAGCTGTGACGAAAAATCACATGCTGCGAGAACAACGACGTACGTAAGAAGAGCAGAGATACCGTTACATTCCTTTCCGCGTTACTGAACGCGCAGTCGGTAATATTAACAATATCTTTGATCATTAATGACACTGAGCAACGATATATATATATATATATATATATATATATATATATATATATATAATTTAAAATACTTACTTCCCGCGTCACACTCTGGCTTTTTTTGCCCGGCTCGTCGCATTCTCAGCAGCTGGAAAAGCATCTTGCTAGACGAACGACGACGAGGAGACTGGTTCGGACTCTTCGAGAACCGTGCAGCGCGACCGCGAAAAAAGTAACGACGGAGCAATCATTCACCGTGTGTACGACCGCTGTACCTCGCGATGTTAAGCGACTGCTGGACTGACCAGCAGCACGGATCAAGCCGAGCTACATTCGCGCCCGCGTCACCTACGATTTCTTTTGTTTACGCTGCCGGGTTAGAGTAGGGACGACTGATAGCGTTTCCGATTGGAACGGATTTCGCTAATTTGGCCAGCCACCGCCGTGGCGATCCGGTATCGATATTTTGCATCGGTGTTTTATCACTCGATACTTTTTCACATATCGGTACGTGAATATTGAATATCGAATACTTTAATATCGTCTGTAATGGTGATTATTTTTTCGACTTGACTGTCCTCTGATAGCTTGCCTAAAAGCTTTAGTAATTAAATAACTTTTCAAGTAACAAAAGTTTCCAAAGAAGACATCTTAATGACACTTAAAAGTGTCACCAAGAGGTCTAAAAAAGATGGGACTTTTAAAGGTCTTTAAAATATCCTTAAGACATCTTTCAGGTGTTTTTGTTACCGGGGTTTTATTAACCGTTTGAGTGCCAAGCGGCGCGATCGCGCTTCTTCTGTTCTCTTCTGAAAACTGCAACGCTCTGGGCTGCGAAGCCCATAATCACAGCAGGCTCGGTTTGTTTTTCTCGATGCACAACTTTACGGTGACCTTTCAATCTTCGGTAAAAAGAGATATGAAATGATTATTGCATGTAAGCTGAAAACAGCGCAATCGCGTCGCTTGGCAAGTTTCGACACGGAATAAAACAAGCGCTATCGCGCCGCTTGGCAATTTTCGACACGGAATATAACAAGCGCTATCGCGCCGCTTGGCAAGTTTCGACACGGAATATAACAAGCGCTATCGCGCCGCTTGGCAAGTTTCGATCGGGAAATGAGAAAGGCCCGTGGCACTCAAACGGTTAATTATTAGATGACACGTATGATGAATTAAGAAATACATTATCGCTTTACGATTCATTTTTGTCTTTTCTGGTTATCTTATCTCGAGTGGCATAGTATAATGTGATATCAATCTTTGTCACGGGTCATTATTTACTTTGTTATTTAGTTATATGAACAATTACAATTTTTCCAGTTCACTTCGATAGAAAAATCACGAATGGCTGATAATAATCTCGATCTAAAAAAGATATCCTACGACCGGCGGTGGTCTTCTAGGCCCATATTTTGAACTCTTTTTTTACTGATAAAAGTGCATCTAAAAGTGATTTAGAAACCACCTGATTGGCTGAGGAGCCACATTTAAGGTACTTTTATAGTCCTTAATGCTTATCGTTAGTGCACGCACACCGAACGCAGGACCGTTGCGAGAAACTTGAAGAAACTAAGAGTGCGTTCCATTAGATGTGTCGAAAATATCCCCAATGAGTGTTTTATCGAAAGGAGCTTTTTAAGAATTCACATTTGAGAATAAAATGTCCGATAATACATTCTCAAAGACAATATAACAATATCAATAAATCCTCCCATTTTAGAAGAAAAAGACATCATTTAAATTATATCTGCAAGAATTCCTGAATCTGACTTCTAGATGAAAAGAAAATTTTTGCATTAAGATTATAGCAAAAATATACATGTATTGTGGGTATATTCAATCCTGAGTAGCGCGGGCGCCAAGCGGGATGGTCACTTATGCTCTCAGTCGGCATTGCTTAAACCTCGATAATTGGGCGGCAAGTAGTAGTTTGAATACTTCGATGTTTTTATGACATAGACTTATATAATATATTCTTATGACGTTCACAAAAGTGTTCTCGTGCCATATATAGGCATTTTTAGGAAATACTCGAAACTTATTAATATTCTGTTATCTAATATAGGACTGAAGATACTCTTTTGTAATAAAAAATGTCTTTTTTTCGTTTGTTTAATCAATTATTGTTTAAACATTTTTTTAAAATAACGATTTTCGAAAAAATTAATTTCGTAATTCTGTTGTACGAAAAAAGTTATGTAATTTGCGTGCATTGTAAAAGCTTTTACAAAATATAAAATTATATATAGCGTATCACATCATAGCGTCACACCGTTCTATTTGACACTGTGCGACTACCACCTACCGCTAAAAACATAGCGCATCAGAGATTCGATGATGTCGGCAGCAAAAGACTCGATATTTTCATATTAAAGTATAATGTTCAAGCATTAATTTGAGTCCTTTTCGAAATCGCTCGCACATCGGATTTGTTAGTTACGAATTAAAAAAAAAATGTCACAAAAATACGTTTTTGTGACGTTTCAACCACATTCTTCTCATAAACTGGAGACTGGACGTGATAGAGCATTTTTCCTCGCAGATTTGGATTCGGCGTATAAACAATTGGGAAATTATTGGGAAATTACTCTTCCTTTTCAGACTGCAGAAAGAAAAATAAAATTTTACAGACCTATGTAATAAATAGCACTCGAAAAAATCGGCTATAAAAAGAACTGAAAGATGAATACGACTCGAAATACATTAAATTAGCATATTTTTGCGATCATTCGATCGCCAATTAAGTTTTGCCTAATCAATGGAAATCAATGTAGCGGTTGACACGTGGAATTAAAATAGTTTTAGAGAGCAGCAAAGGAGATTCGACAACTAAACCTCTTTCGCAATCGCAAAGGAGAAGGATCAATATAAAAATGGTTTGGTAAATAAAACTGATATAACTTATTTGGATTTATTCGTTACAGCGACTGGGTGGTGGAAAGGATAAGTTACATAAATCTGCTCGAAACATAAAAAGCAACAACTTTTGTTCGTGTCGTAAATAATCGCCCGATGAAATCCACTCCTGCCAGAAAGAAATGACACGCCATAATTGTCAATATTTTATACTCGCTTTGTGAGAATTTAACAGCAATGCAAGTGACTAATTTGAGAGATTTACCTCGCGATATCATAATCGTAGCGCTATTAGCGGTTGTCGCTAAAACGCTACTGCGTTGTTTTTCATTATCGACATGCGATAATGAAAAACAAGCCTGGTTGTTATCGCATTAAGTTAATTAAATTAATTTTGTTATAAGATTTATTTTGTAAGAAGTTTAGCTTCGCGCCGCACATCGCTGCGCGCGTTCGATGTAAACAACGTATCGCGTTATTTTGTATTTAATTTGCATACGATAACATTCTGTTTACGACACTTTCTAAGCGAGATTTAGCGAAGATAAAATCAATAAAATATTAATTATAATTCGATGTATGAGGTATTCTCATGTATGATGTGGAGAATAGTTTGACAACAATTTGGTAATGACGTGACATTTTCTCGTTAGTAACGATAACGGGTTACCTTTCAAAAGTAACTTCCCAACCCTCGATCTTCCCCCGTGAAATCAGCTTTCCGAATTTCCGCAATACCGTTCCCGCGCGGCCGAACCTCCGAAATCAGATTCGCCGATCTTCGCGCGCGCGTGCGAGTGGCCGAAAATACCCGGCAAAACATACCGGGAGCGAAATATCGATGTTTCGATACTTATCACAACGATCCGCGCTCCGCCGTCGAGCGACGGAAACCGGGTCATCCACTCGAGTGAAAACAGAAATTTCGTTATTGATTAAACGTACATCACGCGCGTATCGACGAGCACACGCACACACGGGCGCGCGCGAAAGCTCTACTTTTTCACAGCACGCGTAAAGTCAAGAGACTTTCTCTCTCTCTTTCTCTTTTCCTTCGCCGCGCGATTTCTCATGGGATATGCCGTCGTATCGCGCGAGAAGCTCGCGCTTTTTCCGCTGCGGACCTCGAGCCCTCCGAGATTTCGACCGGGCGACATGACCGATGATCGAGATGAGCCTTGCCCTTTCCGAGCGCCGAAGGGGTTTTGCCGAGACGAAGAACGCGTCCATCGCCGCCCGGGAAGCTCGAATTGCGTCTCTATGCGTAGGAAGACGTTCGGAGCGATCTGCGTCGTCGAGATAATTGTTCGTCCGGAAGCTGTCAGTGGCAATTATCGCAGGGGAAGGTGGTTCCTCCTAGCATGTACCCGGAAGAAGCAAGCGAGAGAGAGAGAGAGGGGGGAGAATGCTTATCGCGCGCTTATATGCGTCACCGGTTGCGTTTATTTTATCGCATCGCGGATCATCGCGACGTTTCGCTATCGAAGCGATAAATGCGAACGCGGAATAGACGGTAAAAGGGGAGAGAGAGAGAGAGAGAGCTGGTGGTGGAACGATTTGTCCTACCTTTGCACTGCCGCTGCATCTCCGTCGTCTGCACACGGCGCGTCTGACTAGAAGACTGCACGGACGTGTGGGGACGAGGAACTCGCGGTAGTCGATAAATTGACAGACGTCGACGTTAGGCGCTGCTGCCAACGACATACATATATGCACGCTTGCAGGCACCGGGCGCGCTCGTACGCTTCGACTATAGCGCGGCGGCCGAAGCCGGAAGTTGACGCGAACAAGAAGTTGTTCCGTTTCACTTCGCCCCCTTGTACGATCCGTCAACGGCCGAAGAGAGAGAGTCGCTCGCAGTCGCGTTTGTTGATACCAGCGTAACCTCCCGTGACCTCGTCTCCGTTCAAAATGGAGGTGAGGATCGTTCGAGGTGCGCAGCGTGAGATGCAAATGTTCAAGGCCTTTACCACACCGATCGCTGTAAGCGGTAAAGGGCGTTCCACAATGCGTCGCAAACGTCTAGTCGCCGGTCGCGAGGGACGGCAACTGCTAGTTACAAAATGGTATTTCAAGCAAGCAGAAGCCAATCGGAACTCGCGCTGGTAGTCGATAGTTCCTGTTTTACCTACCACTTGCTTGTTCGGCTTGTCGGTAAACACAGTGTCGGTAAACGCAGTGGTGGCTCATAGCGAAGACCATGGGAACTATTTTAATCGTCTTTCAAGGAGGATCTTTATCGCAATCTCTTTCATGTACCAATCGACAATGCGCAAACATACACGTTTTACATTATATATTTATTACGATATAGTATACATATAGACAAAATATATTTATTAAAGATACTTAAAAAGGTTTTAACTTATTAACCGGCAGAGGAAAATCTCATATTCTTTTATAATATTGTAATATATCTATATAATAATTTGTACATCGAAATATTGTTTTCGTAAAAAAATATTCCGCCATTACGTTAAATGCCAATTCTCGATAACTAAATGTAATACTGAATTGTGAGTACAGTGAGAAAAACTGCTTTCTTTCTCTTCTTCTAATCTCCATATGCAGGAAATCCTACGTAATCCATTTCTTATAACGCGCATCGTGGGAAAGTGAAATCGAGATTCTTCCCAAATTATCGCTTACATTCTCACGTCATAGGTGCTTGTATACTGTATAATACTTAACCATTTTTCGTTTTTATAGGACGTTCTCGACACACGGGAATTATTGCAGGGAATAAGCTCAAAACTCTGTGTTCAAAAAAGATCGTACTGATGAACACTCGATATGACGTTTTCGAATCCCCGTCAATTCTCGTAACAATTAACAAGTAGTTGTGAGAAATTAGGAAAAGAGACTAACAGATTAAGAGGTTAAGAAATAGCCTGGTTTTACAGATATAATATACCGAGATGTGCGAAACGCTGGTTATCAGTTAGACCGACGATATAAATGCAAAAACACAAACTTTAAAACGCGAGCGACGAAAGAATCTACCCTGATCACAACAGATGTAACAGGAGAATTTCAACATGGCAGTCTTGTTCTTTCTTCATAATTTTCAATCGCAATTACCCGACAGGTTTAGTATTTAAATTCTATTGATTTTTCTGTTCAAATTTTGTGAATGCTACAAGCCTTACTAATTGCGCATTTCTATCTATTTCATTTATGTATAATCATAATATATGAATACCTAGACGCAACAACCTAATCTTCAGATCAAACTAAATTATGATGAAGATTCCCCTCTCATCGTTCATATTGCGTATCAATCTTTGAACGATTTTTAACTTAAGAACGTTTGTGATACCGCTTGCAATATTCCCGTAAAACTTCAAGATCGTCGGGATATTCCTCGAGCAATTTTTGATTTGGCATATAGTGTGTTCCTTCGAAGTGACTGAAGTATCGACCGATTTCTCTGTGATCGATCCACGTCGGCTTTTTCGCTGGCTTTATACAAACTAAAATCAAAATTGTGATATATCCTACACTGCACAACTGATACATATATACAAGCGTAATTCGTAAACGTGTATCAGGATTGCATTTGACGATCATACCTTGAGGAAGGGAGAAGTTTTTATTGCCGCTAAAGAATACCTCGTAGTATAGTATTGTCGTTTGTTTATTACTGTCCTCTTCATCACAAAATATTGCCCCATCCCTCCCCCATCCCGTGATTACGCCTGTACACGTAGGTTCCGACGTATAGTCATCGAACTCCACGATCATTCCAACTGCATAGTTCACGTACTTGGATCTCTTCTTTGGTACTATAACATACTGAAAAAAATGTTGACCGTTTGTGTTAAGTTGTTATTGAAATTTAAGAGAGCAAATTATAGCATAAAGCGCCACTGAAAAATTCGATTTGGTGATTGCTTGACGCGCATATTAGGTAATTCGAATATATCAGGTAATAACACGATTGGGTAATAAAAAAAGTATACAAATTATAACAGTTATACATACCGGTGGTATAGTTCTTCGTGCCAGTGAGAGCTTATCTAATACCATTTTAGCTCCTGACCTCGTTTCCAACGGATTCGTCTCCGTATCCTGCGAATGTATATTCGTTTAAAGATATTTTTCTTCAAACAATTAATAAATTAACGTCGCTTCATTCATGTATAAATATACATAAGTGAGCTTATTCCATAAAAATGACTGCGTTCAATAGAGAAAGTAGTGCACTGAGCGCTTTATGATTGTTGCTCCTGATTGGTACATTCTTTTGGATCTATCGAAAATCGAAAAGAATACTCCAATCACAGACAATAATCGCTAAGCGCTCATTGAGCAACTTTCTCTGCTGAACGCAGGCAATATTTATAAACTAGCTTACATACTTGTACTTTCTTTAATGACATCTCGATGTCCGATAAGTCCATTCTACACGTCGAATAAATGCCAATTAGCCATGAAACTCCTTCCAAATCTTCCGGATTTACCATATGCCGTAGCTCCTGTATCAAGCGATTCCTTTCTGCTTTCTTTCTATCGTTTACTTCACCCGCCATGTGCACATAGTTTAACAGTCGTGCTATCAACTTATAATACCAAAAACCAAACGTTAAAACAAAGCCAAGATAGCAAATGGAAAATGAAAAATTATTTGTTTGATAATCGCTTATACTACTAGCTTGCAATAGTTCATGAAATCGTAGATGAATCCATTGAATCAAACGATAAATTATTTTATAAACACAAAATCATAAAAACAACTATCTAAAATGCGGCTAAAAGTGGCGTATAACATGATGACAAAAACTTTAATTGGACATGACGTTACTATTAATAAGAGAAACATGACTAAAAATTCGACGAAATTAGCGATCCCTTGATAAAACGTGCTTTAATATATTTTTACCTGCGCCTAATTATTTTAGGTAATGCTAACTATTGTTCTATTTCTTTCTCAAAGTAATAAATATTATATGTAAATAATTTCTAACCTGTGCCGGAGTTGGCTTGGGCACCATGCAATTCTTTACTGGACACGTTATATAATACGAAGTATCACTATAAGACCTGGGACATCCTGCTCTGCTCAGAATAGTTCCATTAGAAAAAATGTCAATATAATAATAGCTTTCACTCTCAGCTTTTGTTGTATCACTGTGAACAATAAATAAAACATAAATGTTTATATAGGATATATTTTTATTTATATATAAATATGTCAATTTAAATGTATGTAATTTTACGTATAAGTACGTATATATAAGACATACGCGCTCACATATATATATAAAGATAAAAGATAATTCTAAAGTTATAGTTATACTTACCATCTATCTCTCCAAACCAAAGAGAAATAACTTGAAAAGGTAAAATAATCACAGGGTACACCCAGTCTTCTTGCCACACTCTCAAATATTATTGTCAGCATTAAAACATCTCCACATTTATCTTCTAAAACCTATATTACAGAAAATAGAATAAAAAAA